AACATCGAGATAAAGATAGAAAATTACCAAACCGATTTTCCGACAGAAAAGACAACAAAGAAAATCATCGATGGCGACTTAATGTAACTAGTCGAGAGATGAAGTGATGCGATGGCACGCGTTAATTTCGTTTTGTTTCTCTTCGTTTGCATTTGTACTGTCACATACCGTAAATCACATCCATCTTCTGACCAAGAAGAAACGCCAAAAACTCGCCTCAATTCAGCGCATAGTCATTTGAGTTAAAATAAATTGGTGGTTTTCTTCTTCATTCGCTACATCATTTGTTTCTTTGTCTGTTCGGTGTAATATGCTCATTGAATTTCGCCTTATCGCATCGTGTTAATCTAATCGCTTTCTTGATTTTCAAATTTTAGGCGTACACAATCGGCGCATCATCATCATCATCATCAAGACGATGCTGTCGCGCCGCGATTAATATACACTAATCCATTGAGTTCAACATTTTCAACCACTTTATCAATCAAACATCTGAACGCTTTTTTTCGGTTTTGTTTTGGGTTATGCCATTGTTTTCGGTGTCGCCATTTGGTTTTTGTTTTCATCTCGTTCTCATTTTTTCTCTCTTCATTTTGGGCTTTTAAATTAATCGATTTGTTTGTACTGGAACTTGACGTCACAATTCGACGACCACGTCGATTGAACCATGTATGTAATCAAGATGAAGTTGAACAAAACGTAATTGATTTGGATTTTGTGCGCAGTTTACCTTTTGTTCTTTCTCTTCTCACGTTCATCTTGGTGGCGTTTGGTTTTAATTTGAATTTTCATGCGCACATCCACACAATGGAGGATTTTGATGGAGAAAAAAAACTTCATGCAAATTAAAACAAATCAATTTCGATACACTGACTTGTGGAAAAAAATCGCTTCGGCGCTGGAAGTTCGTATCTAGATCGAATCAGTGATTTCAATCGCAGAGAGAAAGAGAGAATGATTATAAAATTTTACCCGGTGGCGTATGTACTTCAATATCTCACTCTTTTCGAGTCAAGTCATTTAATTAAGTTGTTTGCAAACGATTAAAATCGGATTTAGAAAACCCAGCACGTATCGAGCGTAAGGGAAGCAATAACGAACGAACAAACAACAACAGTAACAATGGAACGAAGACATTTTCATTTCGATCTATTTTTATAATGGAATTGAAAATAGAATTTAAAACTATTAACAATGCGTCATTGAATTGCTCTCGAAATTACTCTCTCACAGAACATTTCCACGTAGCAAATCCGTTTCGACTTCATCTTTGCACCCTCATTTGTCTTTTTTTTTAAATTTCACAACACACACGCACACCGATTCAACAATTAGTTTCCGGAAGGCGGACATCAATTTCAATTCTCTCACCACTCAAAATAGATGTGTCCAGGTCTTTCTCTCTCTCTCTCTCGTTTTATTTGCTTTTCCGATTTCCATTATTGTTGTATCGCTTCTCTCGGAACTGCAATAAAGTAAATTGCGAATTGCTGGTGTCACTTTCAAATGAAAACATTTACTTTTGGCAAAACGGCAAATTGTTCCCTTGGCCAAGCAACCAACCAACCAACCAGACGGACTCTTTTGTAAGAAAAACATTCGCTGGAAAGCCAAAAACGGAACAAATGGTCACAATAAAAAAAGTTCACATGTTTATGGTTATGTAGAAACGTACATATGGTCGACTCATTCACTCGGCTTTGTCGTTGGAATTTTTACGATGTCTTACGCAGAATCGGCAGCCACAACTAGCCTTTTACAACCAATCCATATATGCAAATCAATAAACATATCTTTCGCTTCTTTTCGACCAAACTTTTCTCTCCCATTCGTCCCGCACGCTGTTTGACCAGACTCTAGGAATCAATTTTGAAAATTTGCTCAATGGCCTTACCATTTGACACAGTAAATGGTGCATTTCCAGATAGTTTCGAAGACAAAGCAAAAGGAAAAGAAACAAACATGGACAACAGTCATAAATCACACTGAGTGGCAACATTTACTGAGAATTAGATTTTCTTTTGTTTTCGATGTTTTGGTTATGCCATTTTTTTGGGTCGTTTATGACTCATCCATTTGGAAATCACTGCAGAAACTTTAAAACGAACATGAGTGATGCATGAAAAATGGTAGAATGATTAATTTTTCCGGAATTATAATTGAATTTTATCGAAAGTGACAGAAGATACCCATGTTAATCAGGCAAGAAATAGCCAATAAATTTGTATTTTAAACATAATTTCAGAAATGCTCAAAAGAATATGGGCTGAAATGTTTTACAACATGTTTCACAAGAACCATATAACGCAATCGGTGCTATCACATGTCAAACAATGGAAATGTGAACAGTGAAGAAGTTTACATTTTTTCCTTCTCTTATCCTTCAGTTTCATTTTTTGTGTGTGTGCGGCTGTTGTCATTTTTTGTTGTTCACAGAAACAAGCGAAATCAATGGGATTGTATTTCGGTCAGGTAGAGAGACAGCTGACCCAAAGACCTACACGGCGAACCTTAAAAAAATATTACATACATATGAATGCGGAACGTTTTTTTTTTCTCTCTCGGAAACTATCACATTTTACCCAGCAACACAAATGGTTTTACACTCTCATGGTAGTATAAATCAAAATACCCGTTCATATGACAATAATTTAAGTCAGATGAGAACGAGTGAGAAGAAAAACGAAGAATCGGTTGGTCGAAACCGATCCGAGACGCATTGCCGGCTCATAAATATCATAACGCTCATTAAAACAAGCATAAAACGCCTACGTTTGCACAATTTTTTTTCCAATTCTTTGTTGTGAAGGTCGAAGCAGAAGATAAAAAAATCGAACATTACTTTATGAGGGGATGAAAGTGAGATTTTCAATTGGAAAAAGGGTAAAGACAATGACACAATTCGGTCAAAATTCATGTTTTATTGTTTCAGAGCCTTGTGTTCTCAACAAGTCATTCTACCAATAAAAGACCGTTTTACATTATTACACAACTCTGCAACGCACCAAATTTCGGCCAGAGCGTAATGAAAAAGAAAATCTTTTACAACGCTCTGCTTTGGTTGCACTGAGAAAGAAAGTGAACCTTCATTTGTGTAATAAAAATCAAAACTTTTTACGATTCAAATTAAGCGGCATTAAAACATTTATTTGATAGACAAATTGAGGCTCAATGCGCAATAGAACGAGAAAAAAAAATCCCTATTTAATCAAATTTATCCTCGTTAAAATAATTTATAACGAGAAAGCGATAAAACCGCTCGGTAAAAGTCGATACGTATTGCTGTGGAGTGCTGTGTTGTAATCTTTAGAACTTTCTCACACCGACCCGAAAGGAAAAACAAGCGAGCGAACGAACAAAGGAACACCTCGAAACGAATTTCTATGACTTTCGACACAGGATCGACCAAAAACACCGACAACAATGTATACCCGGCCAGCCAAAAAGGGATGAAAAATTATTATTGATATTATTTCTTGCCATTTGTTTCTTAACTCGGTGGAAAAATCATGTTCATTGTTTGTGTGTACCTCCATGTGACACTAAACTCTACCACTCGAGCTGATCATCCAAAATAAACGAGAAGAGGAGAAAAAACTGTATATAAAACAAAATCGGTTGAAAATATAACTGAGAAAGAGGAACAACGTCAGGGCTTAGGTCAATAAATTATTACCAAACATTTGAGTTCGAAATGTGTACAGCCGTTAAATATATCGGAGGCCAAATCGAATGCATCGTTTGCCGCGCAATAGATTTTCGATAGCCGCCTCATCTAATTGATGCTCACGAAAGATAAACGCTTGTTTTGTATTTGGTCCGGTCACCGAAAAGAGAAAAAGGAGAGAAAAAAAATGAATTATTTTTATGACAATGTTTTTTGTCTGCTGCTTAGCGTTTCTTTGTGTGTTGCATTCACATTTTTACGGCAAATCCAATAAATATAAATATTTAATTTATATTTCTTTTCAAAATAGTTTTGAATTTCATTCGTTAATCGAATCCTTTTTTTCCCTTTTGGCTGGTGCGATCGTTTTTATTATTGTGGCCAATGAATAATTTCCGAAGATTTACTCATGAAGATATGTCAAATAGAGCTATTTAATTTGGATTTCCAAGAAATGAAATCAAACACTCACCAAAAGAGAAACAAAAACGTAGAGAATTTGCCAACCTTAAAACCGATTCGAATTATTTTCGAATCGTTTTTAAAACTGAACATCATTCCAACCATTTACAAAACAATCCATGGATGATTTGAAAACAATTGCAGCCGGGCATTCGAAACAATGCAACTGAAAATGGGGCAGATGCGTCCTGATGTGAAGTTTTACACTTTATTTTCATTAGAACTTTTTGTGTGTCACAAAAATACAATGGTCATTACGAAAGGCATGAACGCGCACACAATGACCGACATACAATTCAACTCAAACTCTTTGAAAAATTGCTGCAAACTCCGAATTCAATGCAGTTTTGCACGGTACTTCGTCGCACACATGGCCTTGTATCGCTCACTTGGAAATTACATTGGATGAAATTGTGTCGAAATACATCTCTATTTGACAAAGTTTCGAATGTATGTGTGTGTGTGTGGGTGACAACTTTACCACCATTTCAAATGAGCCGTTGACCAATTCGATGTGAGTAATCCACACGTTTCGCCTTGCGCCGTTCTGACTTTCGAGTAATGACACATTGCCGTTGTGTGTGCGTGTGTGTCTGTTTGTTTGCCGAACCGACAATGTAGGTTCATTGATTTTATGTGCTTAACGGCAAGCGGAGAGAGATAGAGTGACACGTGTGCATCTTCACTAAATGGTGATTTATGCACTGTCTCAATGACTTTTGACAAAAGCAACTGATGCGAAGAATATTATTTTCCAGCACCAATTTTCATGGGTTTTGATCAGCGTTGTCGCTTTATATTTTCCTATTTTTGATTTTTACTAGTGGGCTCTTGTGATTAATCGTCACTTTGCTCTTTTGTTTAATTCCAGGCGAGAAACCATTTAAATGCGAACACGAAGGATGCGACAGACGATTTGCCAACTCATCGGATCGCAAAAAGCATTCGCATGTGCACACTTCAGACAAACCATACAATTGCCGCGTTGGCGGTTGTGATAAGTCTTACACGCATCCATCATCGTTGCGAAAACACATGAAGGTAAGGATCGAATTTCAAGCGAGTTTTTTTCTTGAATTCTCAGTCAACGACAAGGTTTATTGATAACAACCGTTTTCTACTTCGGAATTCATTAGGTTCATGGAAATCTAGAAGAAAAGTCTCCATCGCATCATTTCGACAGTGAAAATGAGGATGATTCGAGTTCGTCATCGATTATAACGGGCGGTGCACAAACGCCACCATCTGCAAACCGGTTGGGTCACAACACCGATGCAAATTCATTGAAATCACACACGCCACTGTCCATCAAATCGGAGCACAGTTCAGCACACACAAGATCTCCGTCATCGGGCACATTGGCTCCATCGAATAACAATAACAATAACAACAACAATTTGCCAGGAAGTACCTCGTTGTGCATGCCACCAGCCTCACCGTATGGTGTAAATACGAATTTGGCACCACCTCTTAGTGCCAGCCATCATTTCAACCATTCGAATCCATTGCTTTACCATCAACACCACACACATCATCACCATCATCCAAGCAACGATTGGTATCATCATTCGGCAGCCGTTGCAGCCGCTCCACCAACCGACATTAGCCATCTCAACCATTTCACTCATCATCCACATTTGATGCACCATGCAACTGCTTATTGAACTTTTGACACCAACGACAACCCAACTGGTTTTTACTGAAACACAATTTTTAACCGATCCAAATACAATAAGCATACGTAACACATTTTTCTTTCCTTTTGTAATCAACGAATCAAGTCATTGATACAGTACCGCTTTGTGCCTGCTAAATGCATCATTTCAATTGGCAAAATTCACAACGTTTTTTATTTTTATTTTGGTTTTTCACACCACTTTGTTGATGAAATGGCTCAAGAGACATGAAGAAGTATCGTTCAGATGGAATGTTTTAGCGCTCTTTGTTGGATATTTGATGTACATACTTTGCTTTTCAACTGAATCGAGTAATTTAATGGATTCAAGAAATTAATGGAAGAGAATACACACACAAACAAAATATTGTATTGGACATGATGAACGTTCATGCTACGTAAATATTTTAATTTTAAACAATTTTAGCTTATAAGTACCTAAACATTTCAATTTCTTTAGTTTATTATTATTTTATTATCACCCTCCTCAATTTAAATTGTATAGTGTAAGAACTAGAGCCAAAAACAAAACAAATTATTCTATTAGCATGTGGCTGATGGCGCTATTTATGTATATATTTGTAGTGTTTGCGAACAAAAATGCCCGCAAAAACATTTATTGAGATTTGAATTAAATGTATACTAGACGCATAACAAAAAGCATAAATTATCCGAATGAAAATGTTTGAAGATGAAGAAAAATCCCATATAATACTTTAGCGAGTAACTATCTATATAGTATTCAAATACTTTATTGCAAATTTAGATGTGAAATAAATCGAGATGTTGTAAATTTAACGCATTTTTCGTTTTCTTTTTCTTTTGCTTGATTCTTCTTGAGTTTTCTTTTATTTTTCAGATCGTTTGGTCTTGATTTGATTTGACAATCTTATTTTGAATTTGTGAGTTCGAAAACAACTATCTAGTGGCAACTTAGCTCGAGGAAGATTTTCTTCTACGATTGACCTTTGGTTTTTCTTATTTTTGAACTTATACAAATTTTCATTATTACGCAGCATTGTTTCATAAAATATGGTCGTTTCATTTTCAATCACCAATTCAATCCAAAACTGTTTTGGGTTGATACGCCACTTAATTAAAAATCCTTGATACGTAAAAAATGTGCATTTAAAAGCAGATTTTGTGGTTTCATCGTATGTAGTATTAAAAAAATACAATTAAAACAATGAAAATTACAATTAAAACAAAACAAAATAATGGTATTTACACTTCAATTCGTTTGATTGGCTTTGAATTGTGGCTGGAGGACAAAAAAGGCACAAATGCATTGGTTTTAATGCCCAATTGTTGATAGTTGAATGCAATATTTAGGAATTTGCATTGGCAAAATACAAAATACCCAAGTAAATTGTTTCAATTTAAATGAATGTACCACACAAAGAATGTGGAAAATTGGTTTTAACCACAAAATAAATGACAGGCATTGAAGTGTTTGATAAATGTAGTACAAAAAAGGCTGCAAAGATGAAAAAAATAGTGTAACACAACTCATTTGACGTGGTTTCAGTAAAATGATTGATCTCATTCGGTCGCAAAATTCAATTAAACAAATTCAATTAACAAAAAACGGTTTAAAGGGCAAAAGTCGAAGATCAAATACGTAACAATCGTGTGCATTGGTTTTACTGAAATTAAAAACAAATTATTGAACGTAATTTTTAGGATCACAATCTTTTTTCGGGATATAAAAAAATAACAGAACAGAAAAAAATGTTTTACTGATGCACGCACGACTTAATTTGAGGCTAGATTGTTTATATCTTGACTCAATTTTGAATGAAAATTAAGTGAAATTAGTGTTCAATATTCCAAATGCATAAAAGTCAGAGCAGCCAGAGATAAAACATATAAAAGCTAACCAAATATTTGCAAATTGTTTACTAAAAAAAAACTATTATTATTGAACGTTAGTGCGTTATAAGTGGAAGAGGAGCTATTTAATGAGATGTAATTGCCGAGAAAAAACTTATAAAATAAATTCATTAAATCAATAAAAACGGTTTTTTTCTTTCACTAAATGTTCATAGAACAGCGTTCAAGTACTATTTTTAGCCTAACACATTTTCGACGATTCACGATTCGATCGTAATGAAGACTTACTTTTTAATTAAGTTGGTTCTTCTCGCTCTAGCGATGCACTGAACAAATGCGTCTGTTTACAGCGCGAAGCAGCGTTGAATGTGGTGTATGTTCGATGACGAAAATCCATTAAATCATCAAGTTTGTAAACACAAAGTCATCGATTGACACTAAGAAGATTATCGTAGCGCGTTATTTGTTTTTGAGATTTCTATTGAAAATTTGTATCCTAGATTGACTTGACTTCTTGTGGAATTAATGAAAGAAAATTCCGAAATAGTTTGTATAGAAATGCTAAACATTCAAATCTTACAGCTATTTTGTTCATTTTTCAAAGCTTATCTCGTCGATGACTTTTCTATTTTTTTTTTAAATTTATTTAAATGATCGATATAAATTACACAAAGTTGCATGATTAGTATGATGATATTGTCGTCGTGTATTCCGCTCTCTCTCTCTCTCTCTCTCTGTCTGTCTCTCTCTCTCCCCATATATTGATTGGTTGGCTCAAATATTCGATATCACAACAATTTAATCAAAACCAGATTAGTGAAGTCGTCTTTGTGTTGATTGCTTGACTAGACGAAGAAGACGCAGCAGCAATTTGTTATTCATTGGTCGCTCGTTACTGTTGTAATCCGGTTACAACAGAAAGTAACTTCTCTTTTTATATTGATAAAATTAATTAAATGCTGATTAAAGATCTAATGCGATTTTATTGCAATTTTCGACTCAAAGCAATGCAAATCGGATTTTGAATGTGTTTTCGGATCATTGGAAAAAAATTCCGTTGAAACGATTTGTGAATAAAGTGATTATGTCGGTTCTTTTTAAACGGAATACGTCTATTCAATTTATCATTTGAGAAGAGGGGGATCAAAATTAAATGCAAATGACTTCAAATTGATTTACACGAAGACCTTTGGCAACGAAATCGAGTCGCTCAATTGAGCATTCATTTCACTGATCGTCTTACGAGCGCTCAAACAACAATACGCATACGGAAGCACACCGACCAAATGCACTGATATAATATTCATTTGGCTGATCTGAGCATATGCCACGGCTGAAGCAACATCATTGACTTTGCTTTGAATTTTGTGACATCTGACTACAGCAGACATCAAATCCACCCATTGCCAAGGCGCCGAACAACACAGCATCGACAATTTTTGGAGGGTGACTTCTATGACGGGTAATATAAAATCTCAGCCATCTCTTGACAATTTTCTATTCCATAAAACATATTCTTTTTGGTGTTGTCTCGTTTGGCTTTATGATGGTGGGGTTGGTCTTATTGGTGTTAAACCATAAAAACCGTTGCAATGATACACTTGTGTAAAAGAAAATGATTTTGAGCCCTCGCTTATTGAGCGACATCACATTTTCTACGATTCATTAGTTTCTGTTTATTGAAAGAGGAGTCACATTTTCTTCTTATTTTTTCGCACAAAATTGATGATTTTTCTGCTATTTATTTCCTCATTCGTCGTTTTAAATTCGATTTTTTTCACCATTTTTCAACAAAAGCACGGTTTGCTACAAAAAAACGTACCATAATAATTAAAATTCGGAAATATATAATCGAATTTGCTTTTGATTACGAGTTTTTGTTGAAAAATAGTGAAGAAATCGAATTTAAAACGACAAAAAAAGGGAAAAAAGCAGAAAAATCACCAATTTTGTGAAGAAAAAAAGAAAATTTGTTTTTGACAACAAAATATGCAGCGATCGAAAAAAAGTATTTATTTTATAATTCAATTTTTTTGTGCTGCGTTTCAATTTATCGATGACTTTCTCATTTTAATCGGCCTCACTATTGATAAAATAAAACTGGCGTACATTTTTAATTATCTGTAATGCCAAAACCAAACAATATTTCACATAATATAAGTCAATTGCATGTTTTCCATCGCGCGCACACACAATTTTCCTCGAATTGAAATACGGAAGCGGTAAATTGCATTGCTTTCTCTCTTTTTGGGCCTGGAATGTACAAGAGCAACTTTAACCGGATTTATGAATATTACTCTGTGTTGTTTGCACTGAGATTTGTGGGTGTATTTCATAATTTCACACACAGAACATGGTGAAAAAAAAATGATGTATTGAGTTCATTTTGGTATGATGGAAGCGCGGTAGCGGCAATGCGAAACAAACAGAAACAATATCAACCGCACACAAACACACACACACGCTCGCACGAATCAAGAACTGCGTAAATTGGGGGAGAAATTGAGAAGAGCTTCATTGTAAATACATTGGCGGATGGTAAACGGAGGGAGCGAAACGTGTGGCAACGTACTAATGCAAATATAGTGACTACAAGGAAAAGAGTGCATGTGATACGTACACGACGAGAGCGTGTGCATTTCGGCGTAAATTGTTTTTTTCTTTCTTTCTTTCTTTCCTCTTCTTTGTGTGTTTCAACTTGCCATCAATTATTGCTCCAGTCGATTCCAGCCCTCGTGTGCGATGATGAACTTTGTTTTTATTTATTTATGAGGTTTTCACAGTTTTCTCAATGAATACGATTATTGCCACATTATGTGCCATGATTCGCCCTCTTACCACCGTATTTCAATGTTCAGTCGTCGGTTTTGTTGTTATGATTATTTATTTGATTATTAAATAAGATTTGCGCGGTGTGTGTGAGTAGAGACTTGTGTGCACGGTCGACCGACCGACTTGTATTGGAAGACATTTTAAGTCAGAACTCGCGTCTCTGTATCAAGTTAACTGATTTTGTATTTTTTATTGGGATTTATGTCATTGCATTTCGTTTCGTTTCGTTTAAAATGCAAAGAGTGGTTTTGATTTTGGCCAGACGGACGCGGTTGAACCATCAATGCCAACCGTTTATGAGTTAAAAATTCAAATTCATGCAAAAGAACATGTTTTCGAACGAAGGGCTTGCGTTGAGCCAGTGCAAGCATAACGCATGGATTTACATCGTTTGACACTTATTAAATGCTGATCTGATTTAATAGTTTTTTTTACTTTTGGGTGCATAGACCAAACGCTTTCCTGTCAATATCCTTTTGCAATCGTTTGTATCGTTTCGTTTGGCGAAAATTTAAATTTCAATTCGGGATGATTGATTAATCGCTTGTGAGGGTAGAAACAATTGTGATTGCTGTTTTAGTCATTCTTCGCTCATTTATCGTGATTACAACTCATTAAATGCAACGACTGAGAAAACTAAGCATTTTTTTTTGCTCAGAACAACACGTGCTAATGAGTGAATGCACAAGTTTTGAGTACAAAAAATCACAAAAATGCCCAGAAAAATTGTAGCATGTTGAAAATGTCCAACGAAAATTTGTAGCCAGGATGCCATCAGCAATAGAGAATCTTCAACAAGACAACAATTTGCATCACAAACCACAAAAATGGCAAAAAGATGTAAGAAAAAGAGCACATCAACGATACATGCATATCAGAGAGGGATCGAAAATCGTTGTTAACAACTAAGTGTGCGTTATGAATGTGCGTTCTTGTGCTGTCGGTTTGTTTTTTCGGCAGGAAGTTGGGAAAATGAAAATCGGAAAGTCGTTATGGATATATGGCGAAAATCATAAGCGAACGTTGAATAGAAGCGCACGCCTGCAATCATAATGTGGAAAGCATTTCCATTAGCAATGGCATTCTGTCGGAGAGAGATTCTTGTGAAAATGAGTTGATTCCGGTTCCGGTGTCGTTTTTATGAAGTGTTGCCGCTCGTGTTCTTCATACTTTCCGAATTCCGTACGACGAATCATTGTCGAGTTTCATCTTCCATTCGGTATACGGTTTTTAATGGGGAGAACTTTTGAATGTTAATCGACTTTGTGAAGAGAAGAAAAAAACGCAACGATTCTGCGAACTGCGAGCATTTATCTGAGTGGATTGGAGTGTGTTCAGCCAAATCGCATCGACGTTGCCATCCGAAAAGTCGACGAAAGAAGAAAAATGTCGCAAAATAAAGTGTCAACGAAAACAAAGTAAGTTTTGTTGAATACATTTTTATGAATAGTTTGTGTCGTTTAGCCCAATTTATTAGCGAGTCTGGAAAATAGAATTCGTTTTTTTTTCTCGGTTGTGTAAGAATGTCAATATTATTCCAAGTGTCACACAAACGATAGCATCTCTATAGAATCAGCAACAAACAGGAAACAAGTGAAAAAAAGACGATGCTTACAACATAAAAAAAAATAAGACTCGAATACACGCACGTTTTTGGCATGAATGGCGCAGAAAAAAGGAATGAAGATGCGACAAAGAGAAAACACACACACACACAGTCGCCCATTTTATTTCTTTCGTTTTAGGAGGCAGTTAATAATGTTCACTCATTCACGCACACTTTGGCTTTGTGTGCTTGTGCTGTCCAGTGCTGCCATTCGCGAACGACATCTTCTTCGACTTCGGCTATTATCCTTGATTGTCATCGGTGTCGAACGTGCTCGATTCTTTATTGCATTTTCGTTTTCTCTTCTCGCTTCATTCTTTTATTGCGTGAATAAATTTTCGTTCGCATTTCGAATCGTCTTTCTTCTTATTGGCTTCGATTCGTTTTTGCTACCACATGAAAAACGTTCAACTTGTTTCAAACGGACCATCATCCTTAAGGAATGTGATGGATAATGTTTCTGGAACAAAATACAGTAATCTTCCGCAATTATTTCATTGACAGGGAAAGCATTCGCTTGTGAACACTACGTGTACCGCTTTAACTAAATCGTCTGAGTCATGCATCTCAAAAAGTCTTACTGCTCGAATCGCTTGCAAAAGATGTTGACTTTGCATTAAAAAGCATTTTTTCTTCTCTCTCAAGAAACCGTTTAAAATTGCCAGTTCAGTGATTGTATCGGGACAAGCGCAGAAAACAATGTTGCGACAGAGAGCGACATGTTTTTCTTGTAAAGCCAATTTAAGCAAAACGGAGCCAATCAAATTTATGCATGGATTTGCAATATGCTCGCTCATTCAGTCGACCCACGCATATTTGCCATCGTTCGACCGTACAAGAAGCGTGCTCACTGTACTGGCTTCGCTCGATTTAGACAGATCGGCACGTTGAACAACTCCCATCTCTCTGGTGGCTTTTTCAATGTACACGTTTTGCACGAGGACCAGGAAATAATTAGCTTCGCAAAAAAAAAACTTCAACTGCAAAAAGGTATCGATTCACACGATGGAACACGTGAATTCTCGGTTATTTTTGTCGTTCGAAATTATCTGGCGAAATTATGCTTGGCTAATTCAAACCACCAAAAGGAGATCATATACGTGAAGTTCTATTCTAAAAACATAATGACATTGAATGTAGAATTTTGTTTAACTTCTTCACTAACGGGTTTTCCGTTTGTCACTTATCTCGACGAAAAAAAGGGAGTGTTAAAATTAACAAAGCGATAAATGAATCGAAAAAAAAGTATTGAAAAAGAATGAATATCGATTTTGTCGCTTTGAAATCAGTGTTTTATGATTTGATTCTTTTGTTGTTGGATGGAGGAAAAGGTCGAAATCTGAAACGCGTTGTGTCGGCCATAAATAACATTAAAATGATATTTTAATATTCACCTGCACTTTGTTTTCTCTCTCTCTCTCTCTCTCTCTCTCTCTCTTTTTTTCATTCTGCATTCTTACGTGTGTCGCTTGGATGAGACCAAAAACATCAAAAAACGAAGAGAGCGAAAATCGAATGATTTTATTCATTCGAAATGGACACACGGATTTTTTCTTTCTTTCATATTCTTCGTTTTGTTTATTATTATTTATTGAAATATCGATTATGCGCTCCTTTTGTATCTCCAATGATGGTCTTCTCTTTTTTCCTTTGTCATTTTCCATGGCTATTGATTGTCTGCGGTGTAAATATGTGTGTATAAAATATCATAACGTATAATCAATATAGGTACACAGGTTTACCTGATTCCTATCAAAAAACACATTTCCAATATTTTCACTTTTTCTACGTTTTATTTAGTGTGTAAGGTCTTACTAAAAGCAATGGTCAACATCAGTGTAATCAAACGGAAAAAAGAATAGAAAAATTGTTCAAAAGATGAGCAAAAAGGAGAAAAAAAAGTTGCTCAACAACTTAATAAAAGTGAATATTCAATGTAATTGAATATCATGACTATATATATGCTATGACCCGCAACAAAAACAAACGTGATCAATGTTTACTTATGATTCATACTCATCACTTCAGACAGCTTCACTTTTCAAACGTAGTATGACATAAAATATTTATATGCGCACATCTTTTTATACTTATCTAAAACAAATTCACAAGTCAGAATTAACACGAGTTTATTGACGGTGATTTAGCATATCCAAACGCATCGAGCATGACCTATTCATTGACAATTATTCATTGTGATTTGCATACTCATATAATATCCGCAAAATTTTGTGTGTGAGTACTCTCGTACGTTTCACATTTACGCTCAAAATTCAATCTAAGCAATCGATCATATGACATTTTATTTTAGTTCATCTTTTCAAACATTTTTATTTAATAGTCTGAATATTTATGATATTTTCTTTGAGTTGGCCTCAATTTATGAAAAACACAAAAACTCAGTTGAATTATGTATTATGTTGGGATCAAATCCAATTTTCGTTGGATTTACAACTTTAGTTCAAAATCAAATAATGAAATTATCCAGTTGAATTATAGTTACAGAATATTCAAATTTCGGTCAATACTACTGACTCAGAAGTTGATATTATATAATTGACTGAATCTGACTAAAATTGTAGCCGGAGAGATCATTTTATTTCGAAGCCAATCGTTCCAAACAAAACGATTTGCTTCAATATCGACATCATTTTTAGCAGTGACGAAAATCACAAATTACTAACAATTGTACTTTACACAGGAAACGTCTTCGACGAGATCTCTTTCATACTCCTTAGTTACTGTGTTTCGAACACTATTGAATAGAACTTCATCATACATGTAAACAAGTATTAGAAAGAGAATGGTTTAACGCTTTGTAGTCTGTTGCACAAAATTTGACTGTGTCATGCAATAAAAGCAACATTGTCTTTAGTATATAAAGCGCTACTATCCATCACAAGCAATCAGTTGATTTCGTCTTTAGCTCGTCGGTTTTAACCATACATCGGAAATTTCGTCCAAAATGAAGTCTTTTATTGTGTTGGTTGTAATTTTTTGTGCCATTGGATTGTCTGAGGTAGAATAGTTGACCTAGCACTTTGAAGTTAATTCATTCGATATGTACTTACATTGGTTTTATTTTTAGTGTATGACAAAAGACCAACGGGTGGAACTGTTTGTGAAAATGGCAAACGAGTGCGCTGCAAAGGAAGGTGCATCAAGTGCTGATGTGGATGAATTGGTTGTACATAAACCAGCAAGTTCAAAGGGTGGAAAGTGCATTAGAGCTTGCATGGCAGAAAATATCGGAATGGTACGTTGAAGTAACAAGATTATTTATGATTTTTTTTTTTTGAATAACGTTGAATTAATGAGTTTCATTTTATCTTGGCTGAAGATTAAGGACAACCATGTGGATATTGATAGTGTCGCTAATGTGGCCGCAATGGCATTTGATGGAAATCCTAGCAAAATACAAGTGGCTAAAGATCTGGCAAATGAATGTGCTGACGTTACGGATGACGATCGATGTGAAGCTGCTGCTAAAATTATGGAATGCGGTCAAAATGCTGCCAAAACCAGAGGCATCATCACATTCGATGATTTATAAAAGACGCAGCGATGTGCTAAAATCAAGCTAAATTTTGTCAATATTGTCTAAACAGATTATGATTCATTGTTAGTTTTATTGAATTATACATACTCAAACGGAAGTATTCGAATAAAAATGTTGACAACGTATTTTGTGACCTTCTTTTATTCTCTTATATGTTTACACGTTGTAGAGCTTTATCCTCAAGATATTTCCATCTTTAACAAATGAATATGTGTCGTTGAGAATAAAAATGGATTCAGCCGAAACCGCTCGTTTACATGTGAATCATTTTTGTGTTTCTGGAACGAGATATGAGGCAAGTATCTCAAGCAAAGATGAAGATCTTGAAATGTTCTAAAACATTGCAGCAGACATATGTCTTCTATCTCTTACCAGGAATACAAAAATGATTCACATGTAAACGAGCGGTTTCGGCTAATTCCATTTTCATTCTCAACAACACAAATGTATAAAAAATCTCTTTCTTAACCCTTTAACGACCTTTGGGACACAATGTCCCATTTTGTTTTTCGTCAATAATTTCCACATTTTTAAACCGATTTCAATAAAATTGGTTTCTTTTGAATGAGAATGAATGTAGCTACCAGAAAGTTTGTATTGGATATTTATCATCACTGTGCTCAAATAGAACACTTCAAAGTCGAAAAATCTTAACTTTTTTTTTCAAGTGACGCCAAACCCTATATAATTTGAACGGTGCAACTTTTAGAGCTGAAAATTGGAAATGTTGTACGGAATGTCTATTACTTTCTAAGAATAATCGCCTTTTCTACAAAAAAATTTTGTTTTAAATTTTCATTGCTTTTGGCGCGATGGGAAATATGTGTCCCATTGGTCGGTAAAGGTAAATAATTACCACTGATTTTCCTGTATTTCAACCACTTTTCGCGAATTTTCAAACACACAAATTTACAAAAAGATCGTTAAATTCGTGATTAAATGGGCACAACAAAGCATGATTCAAACCATTTTTGGTTCCAAACGATTCTATAAATTTTAAAAATAAAAAGATTTTACACGTTACGGTTAAGGTTCTTATGGGAGACATGTTTTTTTTTCATAGAAAAATAGTTGCCGTTACCTACCAATGGAACACATATGTCCCATCATTTTTTTCATATTTGCAATTAAAAAAAAAAAAATTTGATAACATTTTTGTGAACATTTTTGTGAATATTTTTGGGGTCGCTGAGCACGAATCTGCAATCAGAATTGCAAAATTCCCAGCCGTTCAGTTCTGGTCGTCAAAGGGTTAAAAAAGAGGCGAAAAATGAAAGTAACGTATTTTTGCTAGTGAAATCAACATCATTTTTGGTAATATATCACTACTCTGGGTGACGTGATATTTTTGCCATGCTACTGACTATGGTTAATTTTCAAAATATTAGTCCAAATTTGCAGTCTAATGGAAAAAAATAATATTTGCTGAACAATGACATTAAACCATACAAGTTCAAATTGTATTGATTATAAGTTGCCTTCAGAACTTTGCATAGAAACTCAATGGTTGAATAAATTTTGGATTGGATGGAATTAGAAATGGTTGTTTGCTTTATTCTCTTCATGATAATATTGTCAATTTAATTATATATTTGGCAAACTTTGTATCTACCAACAACAAGGTTAGGCACGTGAAATAGTTAGTATGAATGTATTTGAACATAGTTAGAAAATGTGACTAGGTCATTCAATCAAACTCAGCAGCGCTTTTGTATAAATACGACCAAAAATTTGGCAAATGTTATCAGTAGCATTTGAAATAGTGTTGGTGTAAATCTTCCAAAGAAGTGATTCAAAAATGAAATCTTTCATTGTTTTGGTTGTTGTGTGCTGTGCAATAGGCTTGTCGGAGGTAAAGTCATACGAATTTGGTTCCAATTTTTTTTTTAAATTCACATTGAATCTCTTTCTAGTCTCTGTCAAAAGAGCAAAGGAAGGAAATGTTCTACAAAGTGGCAAACGAATGCGCCACAAAAGAAGGTGGATCAAGTGCTGATGTGGATGAAATAGCTGCACACAAGCCAGCAAGTACAAAAGGAGGGAAGTGTGTTAGAGCGTGCATATTCGAAGCAGTTGGAATTGTAAGTTCGGAGCCTAGGGGCAAGACACGGTATCAATTTGTCCTAATTCAACTATTTTGAACGATTTTTCCATTGTTTCTTCTAATTCCATAAGTTTTAGCTAATTTTTTTAGTTTTTTCTTCCACACATTTAGTATTACCAATGCATTCCTTATGGAGATTTTTGTTTTGTTTATTTATTGTGGCTTATAAACAAATCTGCCTATCTTTTTGCATTGTCTCTGTGTATTTCTTATGGACATATACTATGTACAGTGCAATGCGTTGATATAGACAGACTTGTTGACAAATAACGGTAAATAAACAAAACAATCTCCATAAGGAAATGTATTGACAATGCTAAATGTATGGAACAAAAAAGTTTCAGTCTCTCTAATTTTGCTATTTTTGAACGAAATATCACTATTTTTTTAATCGTGTCTGTCCCCTAGTTCGGAGCTCATGATATGTTAATCACTCTAAACAATTTTTAAATTTTATTCTAACTAAAGATGAAGAACAACCAAGTGGATGTTGAAAGTACTGCCAATGTTGCTGCAATGGCATTTGATGGAGACGCTGCTAAAGTGAGTGCAGCACGTGATCTCGCCACTGCATGTGCTAGCGTTACTGATGCAGATAGATGCGAAGCTGCCTTCAAAATTATGGCTTGTGGACGTGATTCTGCTAAAGGCCGCGGTATCTCATTCGCAGACTTGTAAAGGAATAGATAACTACGCTATGGGCCAACTTGGTTTAACCAAGAAGATGAAATTGATTTTCACAAATTATTGCAATGAATTGCATGCAATTTCATATTTGTTTTTATATACTCATTCTGATGAGCACCTTTGATCAAAATGCACAAATAAAAATGATTTGCAAAAAAATGTGTTGTTTGATTTGTTTAATTATTGGTATTAATCATGGGATTTTCTAAAGCTTCAATGAACAAGAGAAATCACCGACTAAATATGACTTCAGAAAATTTAGAGATTTTTTATTTCAATTGTTCTACCGTGGTGATTATACATATCCATTGGTGAGATGTAAAAGGATATACATGCTTCTTTGTCCATGAAAAAAGAAATTTCAAATTATTTCATTCACGAATTATTTTAGCAGATTTGTATCTAAGCCAAAGTTGAACAACTCGATGTGCTTTACAACCAAATGGCAGACAGTTTTCTCATATCCTTTCCCAAGCAAAAATTCACACTGAATCGACGTTGCGTTTATTAATTCTTACATATTTTTTGCTCAAAATTTTTGAGATTCCTTTATCCCTGAAATTGTGCGGTGTGTCGAATTCTACAACTTTTTTCACAGACACCATATCAATATTTGTTATCAGTAACTAGAAAGTCAGCGAAAAACTGCTCACAAGAACATATTTTATTTTTCAAAAATGCAGATGCATTGAATGACATACATTCTTTTACGTTTCACCAATCGCTACTAATTTTAATACTCATTTGCATTACTAGCAAATTCGAGTGATTCTTGCAAACATGAGAATTTCAACGGAAGTTGAAGAATTCACTTTTCATAGAAATAAAATAATCAATTGTATGATTACGACACGATTCTGTTGGAGTAAGTTCAAAAATAGTTAACATGATGATTCCGACTTTAGGTTTGAACAAACTGACCTAATAATTTCCACAATCGAATCATTGAACATTTTCATATAAATATGACAATAAATCCGTCAAATCGTTCATTCGTTCGTAGAACAAGTGAACTGTCGTGTTATTGCAAAACAAATCTTTCTAGAAAATAGTTTTAATTTCAATTAACAAAAAATGAAGAGTTTGATTATTTTATTGGTTGCATGTGTTGTGATTGGTTTTTGTGAGGTAAAAATCCGATTGTAAATTTAGTCACAGCTATTAAATTTAACAATATATTACCTCAGTAGTGTAAATGGAATGATAACGTACATGATTTTCTATGAATCATTTGTGTTATCATAATTACGAAATACGAATATTGATTCGACTTATGTTCTTTTTTAAATCTAGCCGATGTCAAAAGAGGAACGGATCGCGAATTTCATGAAAATAGCCAGTGAGTGTGCTGTAACAGAAGGTGCGACCGATGATGAAATGGCTGAAATATTTCAACGTAAGACACCAAGCACAAGGGCGGGAAAATGTGTTCATGCTTGCCTGGGTGAAAGAATCGGAGTCGTGAGTCATATTTGATCATTTAGAATTCACATAACGTTGCATTTTTATATTCTGTTTTCACGTCTGATTTTATAAAATCCATTTCACTCTATTTTCTACGGATAAAAGATGAAAATGAATCAAGTCGATGTGGAAAGCACTGTTGCAGTTGCGGATATGGCATTTGATGGCGATTCAAGAAAAGTCCAAATGGCTCGGGAGCTGGCTAATGATTGCGCGGGGATCACAGATTCGGACAGATGTGATGCAGCTGTTAAGATATTTGAATGTGGACACAACGCCATCAAAACCCGTGGAATTACTTTTGAGGATGTATGAAAGTATTTTACAATGTTCATCACTCGAAGATCAACAGTCCAACGAATATCGCTTAGCCAAAAATTGCTTTGACTTTATTTTTCATAATTCATTTTTATGCACGCATGCTAGCTTGCAGTTCATATAATAAACTAATATCTATAGAATATTTACAATTTTGTTTTTCATTCTCCTCTATTGACAAATTCGTATGACAAAACAATAAAGTTGTTATCTGACCTTTGGCTTGATCGGACAAATGACTTTCCAAAAATTCATAAGCAATACGCATCGATGTGGAAAAACACAAACGCACGATGAAATGACACTCTGAATGGTATTTGTCATTCGTTTCCGTTGAAAATGAAAACTAGAGTGATTTTGATTGCGCATTCAAGTCTTGTTTTCTTAAATGAATTTGGTCGTTTTTAATGATTGAAATCACTGAATCCATGATCAAAATCATTTTTGTATAAATATAACCATCAACATAACACTTGTGATCAGTGTTAAATCAAGTGCACCATCGAAACTTTTAATACAAATTACAATTCAAAAAAAAATCTAAAGGTTTAGCAAAATGAAGTGTTTCATTGTCTTGGTGATTGTTTGTGCAGTGTTTGACTTTTCTGAAAAGCACTGTGATAAAATGGAATTTCCAATGCATTGACTTGATCAAATTTTTGTTCTCCACTTGTAGCAAGCACTATCGAAGGATCAGAGGAAGGAAATGTTTATGAAAATTACAAAAGAGTGCAGTGCCAAAGAAGGAGCCTTATTTCGAGATTTGACCGAAATATTTGCACGAAAGAAACCAACATCAACAGCAGGAAAATGTGTTCTCGCTTGTTTAGGTGAAACTTTCAGAATCGTAAAACATTATTAATAGTCAATTAGAGCTCTACAGCATCTTTTCAGGTGCATTTTTTTTGTCTAAACAAAAATTCCATAGATGAAGGACAACAAAGTGTATGGGGAATAAACAGTTTGTCTTGCCAAGAGGGCATTCAATGGTGATGGTGCCAAAATAGAGAAGATTCAAAACCTTGCCAATGATTATGCTGCGCCTCTGACACGGATCGATGCTAAGCGGCTGTCAAAATATTCGAATGTAGTCACAATGCGGCTAAAACTTTGGGTTTCGGCTTTGAAGACGTTTTAGGCATTGGAAAAAAACCTTCTGTGAAATCAAAACTGTTTTTTGTATTTTTCACTTATTATTGACCGGTCTCTTTAACACAAAATGCAAATAAAAAACCGCAGTCAATCTTTCGATTGTCAAATACACCAAATGTATAATTTTTCAAGTATTTCCTGTTCTTGTCATTATACTTAGATACTTGAATGAAAACCGGGATTTACCGGATAGAAAACACCTTTTCGTGGGACTATTGTCAATTTGTCATGGTTCATTTTGAACAATTTTCAATTCCGGTAGTAATACTTCGTCATTCAGAATGGCTCACTCTGCATTCTCTTTGTTACATTGGAAACGCGTTTCATTAGCTTGACTATGAGCGGTCGCTGATATGGCATAACATTTTACATTATTTCGATTGAATGGCAATTCAAAGAATTGAACGTTTGACTTTATACTTAAATGGCCACTTCCTATAAACGCTAGACATGTGATTACTCTAGTGCTAGTGCGTAGAGACTTTTTTGTTTGAAATATATTATAGCAATTTGTATGTATTTTTTGCCTTTCCAATTCCAAAAATGACTTGTACTTCTTAATAATCAAAGTTCTGGTCAAATTTTCGTATAAATATGGCGACCAATTGTTCGTTTCTTATCAGTGTCAGTTAGTTTGAACTCACATACGATTCCATAAAAACTGTGTTAAACTTAAAATTTCATTCCAAAATTAGTAAAATGAAGTGTTTCATTCTTTTAGCTGTTGTGTGTGCCACCATTGGCTTTTCCGAGGTAAAAAATACTTATTTCAACGTAGAATATTCGCGAACCAAAACTAAACTTAGACATTAAATTCCTTCGTACCGTTTTTAGCAAGCCATAACTAAGGAACAGGCAATAGAAATGTACAAAAAGTTGGCCGAGGAATGTGCCGCAAAGGAAGGCGCTTCAGCTGCTGATATTCAAGAAGCATATGCAAAGAAACTACCAAGCACTACACCTGCAAAGTGCATGCACGCTTGTATATCTGAGAAAATTGGATTCGTAAGTTATCAACCTATATAATTCAAAAGCAAGTAATTTTTTAACCAATATTTCTTTATTTATTCTCTTGCAGATGAAAAATAATAAAATTGACGTTGAAGGCAATATTGCACTTGCCAAAAAGGTATTTGATAACGATGCTGCGAAAATTCAAACAGCCACTGACATTGCAAATGAGTGTACAGGTGAAACGGACGGCGATAGATGCGAAGCTTCTGCAAAAATATTGGCATGTATGGTAAAGGCTGCCAAATCGCGTGGTGTGAGCCTTGATGATTGGTAATAATCCACTGTTAATCCAATTGAATCAAATCAAAATGGACAATATTATTTTCGAAAAAAGTTATGTAAATTTGAATGTCGCTTCCAATTATCTATGTTTTTAACGAAATAATTCATTTAATTATGAATAGAAAAATACTTATGTTGATTATCACTTCCAAGCACAATTTATGAATAAAATAAATATATGCAAACAATCAATTGTGTGTTATCTTTCCAAAATTTTACTCTGTTTTCATTCGAAAATGAGAATCGAATGGATATGAAACGTGAAGACGCCAGAAATAGCGGAAATATGTTGAAATGTGTGATGTATGTGTAGCAAAAGAAGAATCTTTTATTGCAAAAGCATTTATTGTCCTGTCTAACGCGAGCGCCATCTATTCGGTGTGAACATGAAACTAAACAAATTGACTCATTCAGAGTTATAATACAAAAACAACTCTATGTATAGAAGAAACGCTGCACTTCGTTCTGTGCGGCACATTTTTTATACGCTGTCTTCATTCCCGCCGGTTATTATATCGGTTGGCAGCTCGAGTTGCTTTGTTTGTTTTCATGTTCGCACCAAACAGGTGGCGCTCGAGTTAGGGAGGGCAATAACTGTATGAAATACATACTTTGAATACCCATTTGAACTAAGTCACATTCAAGGGCTTCTTGAAAGCTGGAATCACTCATACTTTATTTTATTGTTGCATGTTTAGGATTCGGTATCAGATTAGGAATCAATGTTGTTCTGATTCATAATTCCAAAGGAGTCTTATAAACCCAACATAGTCAAATCAACTTCACCTCATGGGAAAAACCCAATTATAAACTTATCTTAAAAACCCTTAAAGGTTGGAAAAGGAAAATCTTAGAATTTTTATTAAGATACCTTAAGCAAAAAACCCAGGAATTCTGATTAATATATGAATATAAGGAGAGAACGGTTACGTTATTCGGTCTGTTACATCATGAAGAACAACGAAGCTCATCGCACTGCGAAGAACTACATTTACCACTCTAACGACAGTACGCGCTTGATCAAGTCAGTGCGAGAGAGAATGATGAAATTCGATGTTAAATATTTGTATTATTTATTGTTTTAATCAGTTGCAACGTCCATAATGCAAGTAACAATTATATAATCTGTTGAACGTATAACGTTCTATTCATTAATGAATAGCAATTGCTATTCAAGTATGAATTTCCTACACATAAATGAAAGTGAACCACAATTTCGGCTGTTTTGTCATTCATCGTTCATTATAATGAAATAATTATTTGGCAGGAACAACGCCGTCACACTGAATTAAACATTTTGCATTGGCAGACAATGAGGTGATGTTACTTGTGGAATAGTACTTAACCCTTTGATGCACAATATTTTGTTTTTGAATCATTTTGATATATGTTTTGTGCCACGATAAATAGAGAAAAACCTCATACTTAGAATTTTGAAAAATTGCGTATTTGTCGAGAAAATCGGAAAAGAGTCAAAAGTGTCAAATCACTATAAAAGCTTGAAAAAATTAAATTTTATAAAACTAATGATGCAGAAAGTTAAATTGATGTGTTTTGGTCCTACGAGTCCTAATTTGACAATTGAAAAGAATGAACAAACCCACAAAATAAGAGGAAGAAAAATGTGGAATTCTGCTATAATTTCGCATTTTTTTTACAGCAGTACATGAACAGAAAAAACTTTCCATTCAGCCAACCGATTGTAGCCTGTAAAGTATCAAATGAAAGCTAGTTCATTTCCCTACATTTGTTTCCAAACAAGAACGCAAAAATATTCAGTGGTTTCATAGCTATAGCGTCTGGCGTATCTGGTTACTTTAGGAACCGAAATGTGATAAAGGGTTAATGTTACTTCGACAAAGCGATTTACCAAAATACCGTGCGATGGATGTCTACAATCAAACACACGATTTCCTATCGAAGTCGTGCTAGACGTATGATTATAATTAAATACTAGAATTAGTTTTTTTTGTAGCAATCCACTTGTTTTGCCTTTATCGTTCCAAATCGTAAAAATGACTTGTACTTATCGATTGCAAAATTTCGTCGTGCATTTTTGTATAAATTTGGGGCCCAATTCCCGATTTGTTATCAGTATCAGCTAGTTTGAATTTACATTCAATTCCGCCAACTCTTGGATTCATTAAAAACGTTATCAAAATGAAGTGTTTCATTCTATTGACTATTGTGTGTGCCACCATTGGCTTTTCCGAGGTAGAAACTGTGCATATTAAACGTGGAATACATTCAAATCTTTACAAAAGGCAAAATCATTAGATTTTTTTTCTAATATCGTTTTTAGCAAGCTATATCAAAGGAACAAGTGATAGAAATGTTCAAAAAAATGGCTGAAGAATGTGCCGGCAAGGAAGGAGCTACTGCTGCTGATTTACAAGAGGCAGCTGAAAAGAAATTACCAAGCACTCCTAGTGGCAAGTGCATGCATGCATGTGTCCTTGAAAAAATTGGATTCGTAAGTAATCCATGTATATGTATCCCCTGAATATGTTTTTCTTATTCTAATCTAATTTGGTTCCCATGAAGTTGAAAGACAATAAAGGAAACATGGAAGGTTACGTTGGATTGGCCAAAGAGGTATTTGGAAACGATGTTGCAAATATACAAAAAGCGACTGAAATTGCAAATGAATGCGCAAATGTATCGGATACCGATAGATGCGAAGCTGCTTTCAAAGTAGTTAAATGTGCCGATGCAGCTGCTCAGGCACGTGGAGTTAGTTTATGCTTCGGAGAATGGTAGTTGCCGATTAGTAGACAAAACGAATCAAATCAAAATAAGAAGTTAAGTAACGAACAGTGCAATTAGAATGGGAGTTTCATTTTTTTTTGGTTATTGTCGATACTAAGTATTATTATTGATTAGTGATCGAAGCACGGATTATGAATTAAAACTATGCAAACACTCAATTTTGACAATTTGGTTGTGTTTTATTTTTCTTGCTCGCTTTTAGAGTTATTTTTAATTGTTCATCAAAAAATCTAATGGAGGAAATACAGTTAATTCGTGGGAATGTTGAAAATTTCGATTGACATATGAACCCGTGAGCATAAAAACGACTTATTAAACAATCGCCGAACAAAACGATACAAGAAAAAACTACCAAACAAAACACACGTTAAAAACGTAACACAGCAGGACGGTACCGTTCAAAACGAAACTCCGCTGTGCTACACATTACCGCTGTGGTACGTTTTGTTCGGTAGTTTTTTCTTGTATCGTTTTGTTCGGCGACTGTTTAATAAGTCGTTTTTATGCTCACGGTTTCATATGTCGATCTATAGAAATTTTGATTATCTATTTTTAAGAAAACGAATTGATTAGTTTGACAGCAAAAAGTGATTCGGCACATATTTTTACATTAAATATTAGATTCACAATTTAATTTCACATTGCTATCGCCATTTTATGGTCTTAATCCGTCAAATTTGAATAGAATTTATTTAGTGACCTTGTGCCGACATGGTAAGTTCATCATTTGTACGTGAAGTCTTCTACTGAAAATCTCCAAATTTGATTATATTAACAATAAACCTTATCAGCAAATTAGCACACGATTCCAATCAAGTTTAATGTTTTCACCATATGAAAATTGTCATAATAATTTACCCATATCTTCGACTATCGAAACGGCCCAATCAATTTAAATTCGTAATTGGTTTTGTCATCCGAAAAATGTTTCTATCCGATTCAGTAGCAGCCAATCGATACCAAATAATCAAAAGAAAATCTTATATCAAAATGTCAAACGCACTTTCGTGTATATGATTTGAGTGTCAATGAAACCGACAGACAATCACATAATAATTGTTTTATATGCGATGCGTTGCCGACAAACGGAGACAAGGACGCCACTGAATATTCCGAGAATGATAATTATGAATTGAATTGAAATTGTATCGAGTTCACTGTTCGTTACAAAATTAAAAGGTAAAAGAGATTTACGCAAACGTTCAATAATTACGGAGCGAGGGAGAAGTGAATTAGGGAGGGTGTATCAGTGTGTTGAGAATGGCAAGCACCAAGAAAGTGATGTCATAAACAGGTCTGATCTGAAACGAAACGTGTTGCATTGCACGTTGGAATACAATGAAATTGCGCAAAAAACAACCGTACACGAAGTGGATAAAAATAAAAATCAATTTCACTCTGCTGAACAGATATTCCATGTCCTATTCATAACTGTATCAGATCAGCGAAATACGCATTCGTGCAACAGTACGTTCTGACGAACAGAGTGAACGGCTGTGTGTACAGCAAATATTGAGATGTGGAAAATAAATTGATGTCAAAACACGTGCCGAATCCATTTCGAATTGTCAGTGGGAATTTTTTGACTTGAAACATTCGCATTTTCATTCGTTTGCTTACATAAGTTACTTTTTTCTTCTCTCGATTTTGTTTGAGCTAACATTTTATGCATTATGATTTCGGAACTTGTGTATTTTTTTCTCTTTCTCTCTCCTTCGAATTATTACGGAAAATAAAAGCCAAAAAGAATGCCAAAACATCATCTTGTTTTGTACTCCTTAAGATTTGATAAGAAATTTTATGACGTCTTCACACTGTTGAAGGATGATATGAGGCTTAAATTCGATCCCATTTCATATTGAAATATTCAATTCACATAATTAAATTATTGAGATATTTTTAATTTACAAAAAATTATTCATCACATACTCAGTCAATGGATGAATATTCCATGGAAAATTGCACTTTTCAGTTCACTGGCTGCTTTCGGTGTATATTTAAAAAATCAAGTATGTTTCTATCTATTTTTCAAGTAAACTTTCAATCAAAATGCCCAAAATCCAAGGTAATAAATTAGATTCTGGCATTTTGTTTAGCTGTAATCAATCAACTGAAACTGATGTTGTGAATAAAAACAAATGAAGTATTCAGAAATATACATTTTCAGAATGAAAACACAACATTTTCCGGAAAAGAGTGTTTGTAAATGGATTTCCACATTTAAATTTGGGATCGATGAAAAACAAGTCTAGCAAATAAATGAAAAGAAGCAAAGATATAATGGCGTCTCCACCAGCTTCATGAAGCTTCTTCTTATGAAATGGAGAGGATAGCTTTCATTAGGTAAAAATCAGAGAATTTTAAGAATTATTTTTAATTTGAGCTCATTTCAGATCTATTCTTCCAATAAAATTAATATTTTATCTTCTTTTCCTCAGTCTACCCACATAAATTCATCAACTTTGAACATGTGTCAAAGTGGACTTTTGGATACAGTGACACATTTAAATAAACCAACACAATACATGCATGAGAATCCGACTACTTCGATTTTGACAGGTAACAAACCAAATGTCATCAGTTAATATGGCTGCTACAAAAAGTCGTCGACAATAATGTTAGCCATCGAATAGGTTTTGTAATTTTTATCAAACTAAAGACCTGACTGAAATCAAAAAAAAACTTGTACAAAAACATCTTATCAAGGGTACCCATGCGGGTGGAACCGTTTTCGTTAGGGATTGTGTGCATTTTGCAATAAAAGCCATCGAATTAGTTTTGGTTAATCAGAAAAAAAGAAGCGAAGGAGTGTGTTGTGCCAACTCAGTATACAAGAAAGAATTGTGTCATTTATGGTGTATTGTTCGAGTGAGAAACGGCGATAAGTGAATAATCGGTGACCATACACACAATACACACAAGGGGAGTGCATACATAACTCGCACCGCTCACACCTGTATGTTGAAGTTGCAAGTGCCGACCATAAGCAAAATTCACCGTAGTCGCACATATTCTATTAATTGATGCTGATTTTTTTTATTACCAATCAACGCTATTGTTGTTCGACTGATTGAGACGATTTTGAAGGTGTGACTAATTGTAGCGATTACAATATAGGAGATTGAGAGAATAATTTTTTGTGTTAGGATATTTAAGTTCATTTCACATTCCGGTGCTATTTAAACAGAAGGTATGTGACTCAATATCGATAAGAATGCTATGCACATTAATAATGGGCCCTTTACACTGTTCATTCCTAAACAAATATTTTTCATTTTATCATTTCAGCTTTTGAGCTAGTTTTCTTTTTAATTGTGTAGTTTTTGTAGATTCACTCGATTCAAAATGTCATCGTCAGCTATTTTCGTACTCGATGTCAAGGGAAAGGTATGAAACGAATTAAAAATCGATTAATTACTTGGTTTAATCATGCTCATCTCGTTTTGGTTCAATTTCTTCGACCAGGTGTTGATCTCACGAAACTATCGTGGTGATATAGATTTGTCGGTGATTGATCGATTTATGCCGTTGCTGATGGAAAAAGAGGAGGAAGGTCTTATCACACCAATTATTCAAATAGCCGAATGCACATTTGCCTACATCAAAACGAATAATTTGTACATAGTGTCGGTGACGAGAAAGAATGCCAATATTGCGTTGGTGTTTGTGTTTCTGCATAAAATTGCTCAAGTGTTCATCGAGTACTTCAAGGAGCTGGAGGAGGAGAGTATTCGTGATAATTTTGTGGTTGTGTACGAATTACTTGATGAGCTTATCGATTTCGGGTATCCGCAAACAACCGATAGCAAAATTTTGCAGGAATATATCACACAAGAAGGTCACAAGTTGGAGATTCAACCGCGTATACCGATGGCCGTAACAAATGCCGTGTCCTGGCGTTCCGAAGGCATTAAATATCGCAAGAATGAAGTATTTTTGGATGTGATCGAAAGTGTCAATTTGTTGGCCAACGCCAATGGCAATGTGTTGCGCAGTGAAATTGTTGGTGCGATAAAGATGCGCGTGTATTTGTCTGGAATGCCCGAGCTACGACTAGGCTTGAATGACAAAGTTCTGTTCGAGAGCACCGGCCGTGGAAAATCGAAATCCGTCGAACTAGAAGACGTCAAATTCCATCAATGCGTTCGATTGTCACGCTTCGAAAACGATCGAACCATTTCATTCATCCCGCCAGATGGAGAGTTCGAATTGATGTCGTATCGTTTGAATACACACGTTAAACCATTGATTTGGATCGAATCGGTCATCGAACGACACGCTCATTCGCGTGTTGAGTACATGATTAAGGCGAAGTCACAATTCAAACGACGATCGACGGCAAATAATGTTGAAATCGTAATTCCAGTGCCGGCCGATGCAGATTCACCCAAATTCAAGACCACCATCGGCAGTGTGAAATATGCACCGGAGCAGAATGCTATCACATGGACAATTAAGTCATTCCCGGGCGGCAAAGAGTATTTGATGAGAGCTCACTTTGGACTGCCAAGCGTTGAATGTGAAGACAGCGAAGGCAAACCACCAATTCAAGTGAAATTCGAAATTCCATACTTTACCACGTCTGGTATCCAGGTGAATAGTCCGATTCCCAATGAATCTCATCCTTTCATTTTAATCAGATGCTCTCATTTGCAAAATCGATTAATATCTTCTTTCCCTTCTGCAGGTGCGTTACTTAAAAATCATCGAGAAGAGTGGCTATCAAGCGTTGCCTTGGGTGCGTTACATCACACAGAACGGAGATTATCAGCTTAGAACGAACTAATTTTGAATGCGCGCGCACGCTTGTTTTTTAACATCTAAACAACAGCAACATATTTGTAAATTCGCGACGAAAGATCTACCAATTCGGCCATTAATTTTTAAAAAAACAGAATTGTCCACAACATTTTATTATTATTATCTGTAAATCTCTGTGCAGTGAAGACCATCCAATTGGAAATAAAGTTTAACTAGTAATTGAAACAAAAGAAACTTTTTCATTGTGTTTTATGAGCAAGTTTGAACATCAAAAGATTTTATCTGTGTAAGTTGCTTCATGGAAATAAGCAGTAATGAAAGGCGTGACCATACATAAGCTGTGAAAAAGGATAAATTATGCACACAAAAACACTCATCGCATCAACAATAAAATCCAAGCAAATATGCATTTAGCGTTTACAATCTTCAGATTTTTATCAATTTATTCAATTAAAAAATGGAAATAATACATTGAAATACAGTTATATTTAAATTAGATTTGTTCAATATAATGTTCTAAAAGTTTTTCAAAATATTCAATCACTATAACTTGTTTTATTTTTTCATATATTTTTTTAGTTAGTTTTTGCAATTCTGAAGATGCATTATAATTATATTTATTATTATTTGAATATATGCGAGTTTTGATATTTTCAAACTCTTTAATGCACTCATATTGAAATTCATTCTTTGCTTTCTTAACAATATTCGATTTTACTTGATTTTTCAACTTCCTTTTATAAATTTCTAGTAATAAATTTAATTCCTCTTTTTCCTGTTTCTGTGTTGCTTCGCCTATTCCCGCATTTTTTACTTTTTTCAACATTTTGTTTTGTAATGATTGTTTTTTTTCTACTTTCGAATTGTATTTCTCATTCTCCTTCCATGTATACCGTCCAATTTTTTCTTCGATTTGATTCCGAACTTTGGAAACATAGGCATTATATTCATTTTTCAAATTCATTTGAAATTTTACTTCTACTAAGCTAAACATGTTTTCTAAGCGCAAATTGTAAATCAATATTTCGTTGATTCGCCACGCTTGTGGAACAATTGTAGAACTATTCCTTTCAAATCCCTGTTGGAACAGGATTTTTTCCAGTGCATCATCTATATCTACGATAAATTTTCCGTTACCACGAGATATTATACAATTTTCCTTAACATTCAATTCAGCAGCAAGCTCTCTTATGTTATTAGCAGACTTTTTTTCAGAAGCAAATACATCAAAACCATTTTCCCGAACAATAGCTCTATTATGGGCATTCTTTATATTCAGAAATTTTTTAAATTCAGAAGCAAATTCATCTAAACATCTATATTTGAAAAAAACAGTTGAAGCAGCCCAACAATCAGCTAGTTCAGATTTTTTATATGCTGAAGTAAAATATAGAGGCTGCTTTGCAGCGTTATATACTGATTGAGTGAAGTCAGTGCAATCGTCTGTGAATAATTCATAACGTACATCTATTTTCCCTAAACGTCTATCGTTTGCATATTCAAATGCTCTTTTATATTCTTCCTCTTCACTCAGATTAATTGTTTTTTTAACAAGATATTTTTTCTTATCTCTTTTCTTCAACTGCTGTAAACGCAAAACATTTTTTTTCTCTATCTCACTTTCTATCTTTCCTTTTCCATCAATACATTTTGTTCCACCTTCTGCAGCATACTTTCCAAAGAATGTTTCTGTCTTGATTTTTCCGTCATCATCTTCTAGACTTACAAAAAAATGACCTGCAGAATATATTATGTTACCTTTATCTAAAACAACGTTCCGATGATATATATTTAGTTTATATCTTGATTATGAAATAAAGTACATTTTTTCTAATAATTCTCCTTTTTTTCGTCTGGTTATTCTAGATCGGTGATATTATTACTTACTTTTTTGATATGGTGATGTGACAGAGGTGATTGTAATGCTACTGACTCTTTCAGCAATTTGAACACAACTGAATCACACGCGTCTATGTCGACCTAATTTATTCGCGGTCCTAGCGACGCCAGCACTATGGAAAGTATTGTGGATTTCCGTTCAAAAATGACATCCTCAGATCAAAGTTGAAACAAACACTATGTGATAAAAAAGATATTATTATATAGAAATAAATAGATAGATATATCAATAAATCGAAAAATATGATATCGGTTTTTTATTAGGGCAATTTATATCCCGATTTTGCAGCTGAAACACTGATCCCAAGTTTTCGCAAGCCATCAAAGATATACATGTTTCGCTCTTGGTGTCACTCTTTTTATCTTTAATACAATGCCTGTTGCGTTTCTTACTTGTTGCTAATGACGTTTCGCGTAGAAAGAACGAGAACATGCTCAAATACGATCTTGAATTTCATAACAAATTACAATTATTTTTTTTTCCTTGTGATTCATTTCCAATTACTTCAATAATTTCTTTTAGATTCACAAAATTAGTTTATTCAAAAGAGGACATAAAAAATAGAACATAGAATTAAGATCTTTCTCTCTTTGATTTTTGCTTCATTTTTATCTTTGCATTGTATAAATTGGAGTCTTATATGATGTAATTCCCCTGATTCTCCTGAGCCGGGCCGATTTTGCCATGGTTTTCCGGAACCAATCGGTGGTATTTAATGTCTTTTCATGAATACCATCATCCCTTGTAATGTAATTGTCTCTTTGCTAAAGACGCACCATGGACGGAATTTATACCGTATTGGGTCTTTGACCAGCATGTTCACAGCTCGCTGTGAGCACATATTGGTATAAGTGTAGGCTTCGTAATAACCCGAGTAGCAAATTTCCCCTTTTTCTCGGTTGCAAATGGGTTACTATAACTTAAATACAACTCCAAAGATGTTGCAAGCCGATCTTTGTAACGTTACAATAACCGTATTGTAAGCTGTTTAGCCGCGAGACGGGGCTTATTTGTAACAAATTGGTTATAATTCGGTTATAATTCGATTTTAGTTATGTTATTATATCGTTGCAATAGCCATGCTCATAAATCGCATACTGTCATATAACCAAAGAAAGTTTCAATAAAGTTACTATCGAGTTTCAATTAGAATGTTCATTCTTCAATTCATTCCTTTCAATGGCATCATCATTTATCTCTATCTTTGCCAAATTCAACTTGAAAAATATTTAATCGCTGGGCAATTACATATATATGTGTGAGAATGAAAATATTTTGCCGATTTTGAACATTTTCAAAATCGAAATTTTACAACGAATGTCATTTTGTCGTCAATAGTGGCCACGATAGGCTCTTAAAATTCACGCGCCCTTCAAAAAATGCAATTTTGAGAAAAAATGTGCAAAATATTTTTTTTCAATTTTTTTTATTTTTTCGTTTAACTATCTCAAACCATTTCAAATACGATTTATAATGTCAAAATTATAATAATTAGCTAAAACGCAATGTTGAAAATGCATAAATATATGATAAATTCGATTTTATTTTCGAAAGAACAAGCGCATCGATGCGCAAAAAATTCCAAACAGCAGTAAATATGGAGATTTTTACTGCCATTGTTACTAAAACTCAAATGTAACTCAAATAGAACCTTGGAATTGTTGTAACAATACTGCTACATTGTAGTAATGTTGCAGGAACTTCTTAGCTTCCATCTAGACTTTCATCATATAAAACACGTTGCAAAAACATTTCGGCAACATATTTACAACTTGTGTTATTCAAGTTGCATTTCAGTTTTTGAAATGTTGTATAAACGTAAGAGTAACAAATAAAATTCTATTTTGCGTTTCAATGTCAAACAATATTTTGAATGCCAGCATATTTTTGAACAATTCTCTACGTTTTTTTCATAATTTCCATTCTTTTTGATTTTATCCCACGACAGTTTCAATGAAATTGGTCTGTTTTTGTTTTGTTTTCCATGATTTTATTTTATTGCCACAGAATTTTGATTAGGCGATGTATTCCTTACGGAAAGAATTCTAATGACAGCCAAATTTTATTTCTTTATGCAACGTATCTACATTCAATATGTTTAGTTGAAGTAACCTTACTGTAACCTCTATATAACATGAATGTAACTTAATTATAACTTGAATTACGTTATAGTAACAAGAAAGATAGTAATGAAGTAGTTTCAACACAAGTTGTTTTTTTTTGTGATTTCTCTGTTTTTATTGTAATGATTGGTTTTGGATTGGATGAAATCCACCAACGCGAAACGTTTAACGTTCTCAACGTTTTCGAAACTCATTAGCTTGGCAAATTCTTCAACAGGAATTGCATTCTTGGACCAAATGTATGAATGTTTGACAAGGTGAAATGCACTGACGTATCATGGTTACGTATGTAACCAAATCGTAGTTGCAGCAACGTTACAATAAAGTTTTGAGATTATGAGTTATCTGGCAACCAGTTGGTAAATTTGTTAAAATATTTCTCCTTTTCTGCAACTTAAAAATAACTTTTCTATAACTTATATATAACAAAGCGGATGCCTTGTTACCTAAAAACCACATTGCAACTGTTCTATAACATATTTTGTTGCGAATAACTAAATTGAAACCGATTTATAACAAATTTTGGTTGCAAGCCTGAGATTTTTGCTACTCGGGAAATAAATAAATAAAAAGAGGATTTTAAATGGCCAAATTTAACCTTTTTTTGATTTTGCACGATGTCTTTTATTGTTCGGGAACAAAGCAACATATTCTCGAATTTACGACGAAGACACTTGAAAGTGAGGCATGTATTTTTTCTAAGTTCCACTATAAAAGTGCATGGATATAAGAAATTCAATTTCAAATTTCTCTTCTGCGCCTACGTTTTTACCTGGAAAGTTCTGTGTTAGCTAATTTTCGAAAAAGAAATTTGTTCATAATAATCAAAGTCTGTATTGAAGAGCTGTTACCGCATAGTACGAACTTAGTCATCGTTCATGACATTTTTGCGATGTTTTGATGTGCATAAAAGTACAGACTGCATACCATAACTATGGGTAAGTTCTGTCATTAAGCGATTTAATTCAAAAAATATAGATAGTAAAGAGCAATTCATTCGCCTGATTTACGCAAATCAATCGAAAATATCATCAGAATGTAAAATGGAAAGTCATAACGAAATTCCAAAGTTTGATACCACTTTATGAAAAAAATCCACAACAACAGTAAATACACAGTCAAGTTTAATGGTAACTTCTCAACTTATGTGCCTTTTCGCTCTGAATATACATCAACAAAATTCCAAATGCATCCAGTCTTTCTATTTTCATTTGTGTTTGTGTTTGTGCTTGTGCTCTGTCAAAATATTATCGCTCTCCAAATTCCCGGCGACAGCAAATGTTGCAATGTATGGATAACAGAACACACTCCGATGAATAAACATGAACAGTTTTTTTCAATTAACTTTGCCTCTTATTACATCATCAAATATTCGCATCTCGACCGATTCTCGGGCGAAATCGAAATGTGTTTGTGTGTGTTGGCGCAAAACTAATATTTGGACAGATTTTTATAAATCACACTAACGCGAGTGATCCTCCATTTAAGTTTTCAGTCGACTCGTTGACACAGTTAGTCACGTTCCTTATTCACTCCATTCATCTGTTTCAATTTGATCGAATTCAAAGTGTTTGTTGCGGTGAATCCAAGGTAGCGTTGTGCGCATTTGTTATTTTTGATTTATGAAAGTAAATTTTGTTGGAGAAAAAAACAGTGCAATTTACAAATACTTTATTGTTTAGTTCAGTAAATTAATTTAAAGTTGATTTGCACGTGTATGTGCTTACTTTTCAGGCAACAATGATCGAAGCACTGAAAAGACATTTGGCGAGCCGAAAGATTGCGCCGATCCTCAAAAAATTAGAGGAAAAGAATGAAGACAATTCCGAGAAAGCATTGAAGTTCTTATGTGTCTTGGACTATGTCACGGAACAAAATGGATTTTACAAACAAATGGATGATCACCCAAAATTGTTGCAACAGTTGATGAGCTTCAATTCATACGAGTCATTCAAGTACTATCACTATCATCTCAACAAAAATGTGTCGAAAGTCATCGGAAATCGCATTTTGCGTTGCAAATTTTGCGATTTGATTGGGCCGTATGCAATCATTTTAAGCCATACTGCCATCAGCCACAACGTCCACCTTGGGATCAAAAAGTGCGCATATTGCAATCGCATGGATCTTTTGGATCATCCATTGGACACGTGTTACAGCAATTACTTGACAAAGTATGCCATCGATGAAAAGAACGTTGCAAATTCATCGGAATTCTTCGTCATGTTGAAGGAAATTTCGACAAAGCTCGGCGTGCTGATCACCCGTACCGATGCCTTCGGAGGTATTGGTAAATCGAAAAAAGAGTACGTGACTTGCAAAATCCCAGGATTCCCAAATACCTGCACCGTTTTTACAGTACCTCGCGCAACTAAGAAAAAAGTCAAAGATAATAACTTGAATATTATGTTCAAGTCTATGGTTGAAAACATGTACGGTGGAAATGGATTATCGCGGCTGCTCGACAATGAGCCCGATGAAATCAAAGACGAGAACAATGAAGAGAACTGTGAAGCTGATGACGCAATCGATCCATTGAATCCGGTAAATTTTCATGTTCATTACCATTATCATTTTTACTAAATAGAAAAGCAAGTTATTTTGAATTCGAAGAAACAAAATAATCGCAATTGATTTTGTCATTTCAAAGATACACAATGAACGTGATCCATCCCCGCCGATCAATCGTCAAGTCGATGAAACCAACAATACTGATGCTTCTGCTAATGATGATGAAAGCACGTTTTCCAATCGTGCACTGGCAACATCAAATTCTGCTCTGGAAGAACACTTGGTAAGTGTTGCTTACATGAAAAAGAATCCCATTTTGTGGAATAAGATCTTAAGATTGAATGAATTTTTCGTTTCACTTTTAGCAAGATTCTCCTTCGCATGGTGAACCTGGTGCAAACGGTAAAGAAATTGATGTAAAAACCGAAACAGATGCAACAGACCAATCGCCAGTTTTCGAGTCAGTGTTCTACCAAGGCTTGGAGCACTGTTTGAAAAAATGTCCACCCGAAAAACGTGCAAAGTATGAATCGCAGCTGCTAAAAGAAATCATCGATTTGACAAAGAACGATTGAAACCAGACTGGAATGTTTTCATCAACTACTGCATCGTGACATCATCATTTATTTGCAAGTTTCCAAAGAGTTTAAAAGCAAAAAAAAACAATATTGTATTTGTATGTGATTTGAATCAATTTTATTGTTTAAGTATCACAAATTTCATCAATATTATATATGAACATTCATTTTTTCGAACACTTTAATAGGCTAAAACTACTTAAGTTTCATCAAAATATTTTATGTTCTATGAAAAATCGGTCAAAACTCAATTCTTTTTAACATTAATAACCGAATTGGTCAACACATTTGGAATCACTTGTTAGTTATCATTACTGTATTTCACATTGTTTTTAAAGAAAATTCCAAAATCAATTTAATAATTTAATTCTAATCACATTGTCCATAAACAAAATTCTAAACGCAATTCATAACTTTGCCGAAGCCGATCCAAACCTCAACATTTGATTATACCATTTGTTCGAATAATAAACAAAAATGTTTTATTGACATTGTTACCAACAGAAATTCATTGAGTTTCCTTATTATGACTCCTCTGAGATTGTTTATATTAACATAATTATGACAAACGCGGATCAATGGTGAACAAGCGAGTAAATGCAATCGTGTCACAACATGTCTCAACAAGATGTGTTCTGAAAGTGGCATATAACTTTGGTTTCATCGTGTCCAATTTCCATTCCAATTAGTTTGTTTGGGTTTGTAAATGGCAATAAAATCATACTGTTTAATTTGAACCAAAATTACAATACGCTAGTTGTTTCAATTTCAGTAAGAGATGCTCAATATTTGTGAGTTGTCCAAAACGATTGCTTAAAATGAACAAACGTAGTTTCGTGTTCGCTATCCCGTGAGACCACACATTTGAACAGAAGTGTTTCTTCACTTGCTAGATCTATCACTGCATTTATCACGTTTCACTTTTTAAAATTGTCAAACCGTCTGACCAATATTTTGATGCCCTTACTGGTAAAAAAATATTTCAGCGAAATTCGATGCTCTTTTTTGCCATCCGATGTCAATGTTTCCGACAGTGTAGCGTTGAAAAATGATTCAAAATCATGTGTAATTCTTTGTTCTACTTTTTTGCTTGTGATTCCAAGTAATACTCGCGACATTTGTTCCAATTTCAAGCGATATGACGGTAAGACTATTTTATTTTCATCACCCTTATCTATCAATCTTTCAATATATTTGGCCATGTGTGTCTTATATTGATTCATTTGAGTGTAAACATTTTTAAATTCCCTTCTAGCATTTTCAAACATTTTCCCTTTAACTTGAGACTTTAGTTTTCCCTCGAAATACTCTTCTAGAACATGATATTGATCATTTTTCTTTTTTATCAGTGCTTTTAGCTTTTTAATTTTTTTCTTCATTGATTTGTCTTTTTTTCTCGTTGTTGTCTCTTCCACTTTCACTTGATATTTAGCCAGTTTAGCATTAGCTCTTTGTAGATCCTTATCAAGCTTCTTTTTGAATAATTTCTTCTTCTCTCTGACTTTTGCTTTGAATTTCACATTGGCATCGCATTTGTACTGTGCAATTTTATTTGCAAGTAGCTCTCCAACTTTGAAAAGTCTAATGTCATACTGCTCTTTAATTTTAACTTTTACCAAATTAAACATATTCTCCATTCGTAAATTGTAAATGAAAATTCTATTGATTTTAGAGGCTAGAATATCTTGTTGATTCATTATTTTCTGCAAAGCATCATCGATGTCGATGAAAAATGCTTTGTCTGAGATCGGTATAATGCATTCTTCACCAATGTTCAATTTCGCAGCAAGCTTGCTGTTGTTCGAAGTATGAATTTTTTCAAATCTAGACACAAATTTATCCAGGCAACCATATGCGGTGAGAACTTTTCCACCCGCCAAACTTGAAATCAGTTCTTTCGTTCTGTACACTGAGGAAAAGTAGAGAGGCAGCCCTGCAGCATTATAAACTGATTGAACGAAGTCAGCACAATCAGAAAGTCCCAAGACATATCTATTCTGTGCTATTTTCCCTTCACTTTTGCTTTCTGCATATTCAACAGCGTTGCTATATTGCACTTCAGTCAGATTAATTGTCTTTGTATCAAGATACTTTTGATTGTTTCTTATCTCGAATTTTTGTAAACACAATACAAATTCTTCCTCTTTGTCACTTTCTATCTTTTCGCGACCGAATATTGCTTTTATTGGACCACCGCCTTTAGGATACTTTCCAAAGTACCGACGTTCGCCATTTCTTTCAAGGCTAATGAAAAAGTGACCAGTTATTGACTTCTCCACTTTAGTATAACCATTATTTACAACAGCCGCCCGATGATGAATATTCAATTTGTATGTTGACACTTGTGATGGCGTTGATTCTGTAACAGCGCCTAGTGTTTCCTCCTGGATGGGTTGAATTCGAATCGAAACAATTGGAACAACAGCACTGGTAACACAACAACTGGTACTACTGGAACAACAGCAGCCCATATTCTGTATGTAACGAAACAATTTCACACAATTTGCACTTCGTTCGCAAAATTTTCTGTGTATGCTTACCGAATCCACAGATATGTTGATAGATTGAGATTAGTAATTGCAGTTGATATCCAAATTGATATTTGTTCTCAAGGAAGTAAAACTTGAGGTAAGCAGTATCCAAAACTAACGCAGTCGAATATGCGAAAAACTCAGTATTGAGGTAGACAAAATAAACTGCGTCACATTCGTTATTGTCGTGCGGAATACCAGACGAATGAATGATCACACCGATACTATGATGAGTCAATAAAAAATTAGTAAGTAGTCAGGCATACAAGTTGTGAAGTGGAATTATTATTTTATTTGTTTTCTTTCCTAAGCTATCATTTTATCATTTGTTTTGTTGATAAGAGTTTGACAATTGCAAAAATATAACAGATAAAAAAAATTCACAGATAAAAGAGCCTAATGCTGTAAAATAAAAACCACTTACATTCGAAATATAACAAAATATCCGCATAGCATCCTATTACTACGTTTTACCATGCAAACGTTTTGAGTGCACAAGCACATTCGATACGTGAACAGATAACAAGTGGTTTTTATTCTATAGCAGTCAACTGGAATTCAAAGCAAGAAAAACGAATTAAGCTGTCTAGCCTCTCTGTGTGTTTCTGTGAAAATTGGACGATGATTTGTAAATACGAGGGAAATAGATTGGCTAACTTTATCTTTTAATCAAACCTTCTTCTTGGCTCTTCTTAATGTTCTTTCTTTTTCATGTCCAATTAGATTTCCCCATTGAAGTGCTTCAACAAAAACTCTTCCAATAAATTTTTCCTATTATTTTTATTTCATCATTCATAAAATGTGTGTGAATTGTAGTTTAACTAAATTTATACAAATTAACCAAAAGAAAAACCATTCTATGGCCAGTACTTCGCTCTCCATTTGTTCTTCTTGTCGTGATATCCACCGATACGTTCATTTCTAGGTATGTACAATGGATGATAGTCGTCCAATCGTCGATCCCATGGATCTTGATTGAGTTCGAAGAATCGTCGGCGTGCATCAATCGGCCGTGTATCGAATTTGATCTTGTAAATCCATTCCCACAAATATACCTCTGGCACAAGATCTTTGCGATGTCTCGGTTTTCCGGACATTAAATGCTTGTAATTTTGTTCCAAGAACGCACGACGTTCAACATGGTCGATATCAGCGATTGTTTGCTCATCGGTTCCCAAGTATGGTTTCATATCGTAATTGCGTTCTTTCGGCTCGGTCAAATAAAACTGAATGAGATAACGTAACACTTCATCGTTGAAACCAATCACTTTGCCATTTTCATCGATCTCTTCGAATAGTTTCAATTCCTCTGTTCCCCAGCACTTGTTTGCACGACGATTACGATCGAAATGAACGGTTTCGAACACGGTTGTGTTCAGTTGATAAACATAGAATGACCAATTTTGTCCATCAGTAATGATTGTTTGTGTGGTCAATGGATACGTCAGCTCGTTGAACGTCGAAAATCCTTGATAATATGCCTGACCAATGAGCCATCCGAAACTGTTCAAAATGGCTTGAGCTTTCAATGCGTTTTGCTGATCGACTGGATCGATTTCGTTGTAGGCTATTTTATATTTGTGCCGATTGTGATAGCACAATTGGCCGAATTCATGCTCACTCCCTGGCCAAAAACCAGGAATCGTTCTAACGTGTTGATAAACACGTCGATATCCCAAACCTTGAGGATCGCATCGTGATTTTGGTATTTCTTCAACGTCAAAAGCCTCACTTTCAAGATCGTCGATGACTGGCTCCAATGGCAAACGATTTCTCACCGACAATATTGGCTTGCCTGGGGGAAAAGATTTTTTTCAAATTTTAACAAGAACCAAATTCCATTTCATTGAATGTTCTTGATTTATTCTTTGATATTGAATGAATTTTGTTCGCTTCTTACTCACCAGCATATTGGAATGGCCTATCGACTGGTTCATTCTTTTCTTCATCCGTCAATGGTGTCTTTCGTTCAATCCAAATCTTCTTATCTTCTGGTGGTTCGATTCCTATGAAGTTTTCATTGAAAATTTTAGAAAAATCATCGAAATGAACATTGAAGTATATTCTTGAATTACCTCCAACCATCCAAAATGCTTCGTGTCTGGGTTCAATATCGACTTCGGACTCCTCCAAATGCGGTGCAATAGAGTATAGACTCTTAATAATGATGCGATTCAAATCTTTGCAAATTTGTGCGGTTCTCAAACGTGTTTTTTCCTCGTCCGATAGTTTCACGTTAGATTCGTACTCGCGTCTTGATTGAAGTGGAACAAATAATCCATATTAAAAGCTTCAATTGGTTATATCACGGACATAGACAATTCATTACCTGAAACCTTGATATTGAAACGAAATGGCTTCGATGATCTGCTCACGAATGCTATTCACCAGACCGTCAACTTTTTCCGCTGAGCTCTTGAACCAACCACTTGGCAGCCCGTTTTCGTATTGTGTTCGTGTCCAATGTTGAAAATATGGGAAACAATTGTAATGGTATTCATCGTTCACAAGCGGCGTGGTGCGTAGACCCCAATAAGCTGGCATATTCACTTTGATCAACTTTTCTTCGATGGTCAAACAGTTTTTGACTTGTTCATGCCATGCCAACTTCTGTCGTTCAGCTACCGCTGCTTTTGATTGATCCACAATCGGTGGATATTCAACTTTCACTGAATCTTCGCCACTTTGAACGACTGCATTTTGAGCGGCACAGTATCTTCTTAGAATGGAAATGGCCGGCCTTAAATGAGGTGCCAAATGTGTGTTAAGTTTGGTGCTAAACAGTGATAGAGCCATTTTTTGGCCGATCTATTCACATTGCCTAGTTTTTTTTTGAGGTTATGTTTTGACAGGAGATAAATGATGTTTTCATCTTGTGTGACATTTGCTCATTAGGTCAATCGTTTGAATTTGTTTTGAGTTTATTTTCATGGTGAATGGACATTAGCTGTGGAAGACAACATTATTTATGCCAATAAAATTACATTGAAATTATTTGATTGAATATTATGATTTGAATTTTAAGAAATTTTTATTCATTTTTATTATTTTGAACCAACCGCTCCAAAACGATATAAAACGAAGCGATTTCGCCGTGCATGACAGAGACAGCATGTTAGGTTAACATATCATCATCTCTGTTGCACCAATGTGACAAACGAATGGAACGGTGTGTCAAAAACGGGCGCAATTCTCATATGAACGAGGAATCCGTAACAGCAAACGTATTGTTTGTTTGGTACAAACGGCGACAATAATGAAGCGACAACCAACGAGAAAGAGATAAACGAAAATCCTTTCATATTCTTATGCGAATATATGTGTGTGTGTGCTATTTTATGTGTATATCCATGTCTGTATGTGTGTGTGTGTGTGTGTGAATATTTTGTTGTGCATAAAGTGCGAACGCAATGATACATAGAGCACCACAGCCAATGGGGCGATTTACTTCGAGTTTGAAATTTTGTAAGGGCAGTGCACAGGCAGAAGAAAGTGAAGCAAATGCAGAAAATTCTTATTTTAGCCTAACAACAACAAAAAAATTTAATTTATTCAGTAATCTATAAGCTATTTATTCAATCAAATTGTATATATTCTGAATGGATTCTGTGTGTGATTTTCTCGTCGATTTTTATCTTGAACGTTTTTAAAAGAGAACGAAAAATTCTTTCTGCTGGTGAATTTCAAAGTCAGAAGTGAACAATTGCAGTGTGTGACAAACGGAAAGAAGAATTCAGTAAAGAGTTGCTGTGAAGAAAAAAAAAAGAGTTTGAACGAATTCAAATCTCTTAGTTTCCATTTCTATCGCCAAATTGTGTATCAAGATTTGGACGATTCTATGAGGGGAAATCAAAATAAAATAGCATCACGAATCGTCAGTCAGAGCATCTTGTGATAGGAAGAAAATTCATCGAATTGTGCATAGCGATTTCCAATTTTTGCAAGTGTGTGACACATTTGGAGGCGCATCAAAATTAATCGTATATCGTTCGGTATTGCCACATTATTTGTTCTTTTTTTTATTGTGTGAAATCAGTTAACAGTGCGACGACAGAAAAAATAAATACCGAAGAAGGTGTCAACACAAAAAAGAAAAGAAAAAGTTGAGTCGAATAATCTGGAAAGCGACTATAAGCGAAAACCACAGATGATGCACAGAATTGAATTCACAAAGTGAAGCGTCAGTTAACTGTAAACGAAGATCGAAGCGAATGAATCAGGTAAAAAGGCATTTGTCAGCTAACCAATACAGAAAAATTAAACGGTTTTGTTCATTGTCATGGATTTTTGGGATATTTGGGCATTTGGTGTTCATAGTTGTTGTATTTTTTTCATGGTTATTTGGGTTTTAGTTTACGTATTGTGATTTTTTTTTCTTTTATCAATACTTCCTCGTGCATAAATTGATAATTACTTGGATAAACGGCATATATTTACTCGTCTACAAATAACGCAGGCCGTGTCATAAATTTCGATATCAAAAGAATGGGAAATATACGATGAAAGAAAAAAAAATCGTATATATCACATTGATTGCATGAAAGAACCAAACCTCTGGCACAATCTTAGTGTGACGGCATTGTGTGAGTGCTGGTCGAGCGAATGTTGGTGCGTATGTACATTTGCATGTAATGCTTTTGTTGTTGTAACCATTTGCTACAGTGCTGTTGCGTTGCGCATCGCACATAGTGTATATTCCTTGAACTGTGTACGCCGTGTATCTCACTCTCTCGCTTCATACAAAGGAGAACTCTCTTAATAAACATGGCTGCATGCAAAAAAAAGTGAACTCGACATTAAAATGTGTGTGTGTGTGTGTAAATAAAATTACATGATTTTTATTGTGGGCATTTTTTTCTCAACCAAATTTTATAGCACATAATTTCGAAAATAATTCGAAGCGGAAATTTTCTAGGTTTCTATTGAATGGTTGGAAAAATTAACATGAATGTTTGCACTTGTTTTCGGTGCAACCCAATCATAGATATATATATATATATATATAACTACAGTACAGTCATATATTGAACGATTTGCATGCACAAGTGGATTTGTTGTTGTCGTTGTCACATTGGTCTGTGTGTCTATGGCACTGGCCTCTCTCTCTCTCTTTCACTCTCTTCACTCTCTTCACTCCGCCGCAATTTTTATGTTTTGAAAATCAACGGTAGTTTAGCACGCGCGCCTATCTCTCTACTCGTAGAGAAGAAGAGAAGAAAAAATCGAAACACACAGTGTTGGAAAAGAATTGCTCTGCTGTTCTCGGCCGCTGCAATATAGACTGTGTTGTCGTTTCCACACTCTTTATTTAAACTCTTCCGTTAACTGTTTGAATCAGAAAATTGCATAGGTCGTAAATTTGACCTCTATTGTAACTTGTTGCGGCTTTCTTTTGCATTTCGAGTCGATAGATTTTGTGTCTTGAATGTTTCGTGCTCGTTATATACATGTATTGTACCGTTTTCACTTTTGAAATACCATTATTTGCAGCTACTGCTTTGTATGAGGAGAGAACTTTGTGGTGTCCATTTTAAAATTGTAAAACCGAATATCTTTTTTTTCCATTTGATTTTTCTTTTTTTCATTTTGTTTTGTTTTCATTTTTTCTTTCTTCTTTTTTTCATATCGCACATTTTAGTTTTATAAAAACCCATTTTCGTTCTTCATTTTTTGAGAGCCTGTGGATTGCATCAAATCAAATCACATGATTAAAGTAATGCAAATAGAGTCGCTTTATCCATAATTGCACACATTAAGAGCACACATACAAATTGGCACATTAAAAAAAAATTCAAGGCGATTTTCATCACTTGCACACCCCCTACCTACATTCGTAGAATTAAGCAAAGAAAGATTGTTCTGAGAAAAAGTTGAAAGCAAAAGAAAAAAATACGTGAAAATGAATTCCTTTCTTGATGTCACAGCAAACCAACGGCCATCATTGAGTGCACACAAAAATTACAGTGCCATAAAGCAATTGTCACCGAAATTGGCTCATACACCGTTGGCCCAGCAATCCAACAATACAAATCACACAAAATCACAGTCCAGCCAGAACGGTTCCAATCAAACGAAGAACAACAATAACAACAACAATAATAATCGACGCAAACACCATACATATCAATCGAATGGCAAAAAACGAAGTTTTAACGGTGCACACAATTCAAATGTAGGTGTAAGCAACAGTAACCACAACAATAACAACAACAACAACAACAGTGCTGACAATCGACAGTACCATCGTTTAGGGAATAACAACAATAGCAGTTCGAATCACAATGCCACGGTCTCAGGCAAAAAAGGAGATAAATTTCAGACAAAGGACAATTTCGATCCAGTGCGATCAACGAACACGGTGTCTAGTGTAAGTAGCATCAGCAGCGAAGGCAGCTCCGAAGGAGGCAACAGCAAATCAAGCAAAGGTACTTGAACTTTATTATTTACAATTGTTTTTATTTGGAGTGTGGTCAATTAATTGAACTATTGTTTCAGATCGAATTTCAAGATCGAATACAAACGCTAAATCGTCTACTATGGACATACGATCGGCCAGACTCATGATTCCGCATCCAGCGGTCCAGCACAATCAGCCGCCAATGTCACTCTTATCACCGAGCGCTAAGTCACTGTACAATCTCGAGTATTTGCACCAAGTGGGCTCACAAATATCCGATCGATATCGATCACAGCAAAACGATTTCTACAGTGCAAATAGTAATTCGAATGGAAATCGGTTGTCTTACTCGAATGAACGAAACAATGGGTCACGTTACAATAATTCGAATGCAAACAACAACGGAAACAAGTACACAAATAAATCATCATCAGCGCAAGCTAGTAATACGTCCGCATCACCTCCATTGTCGATCACATCAAGTGGCAGCTGTACGACGAGTAGTAAAAATGGCCGGACAACATCGAAATCGTTCAATGGCAATAATACGATGAACTCCGTTAATACGCATCGAAATATGCCAACGACACCAACCATACAGCAATCGCACAATGGCTACTTTCAGTCACAAAACATCCCATTTTTCCATTCGAATTCATCGAACGGTATGCAACAGATGTTCTCGTCTGCAATGAGTCCTAGCAATCAGTCACAGCATTCCAATCAGTCCGTTGGATTGTATGTGCAACAAAATTCATCGTCGGCCTATCATCCGAACAACAATTATCACAATCACAATCGGAATTACAGTAGCAACAGTAATGGAAATGGCAACAAGAAAAATTGGAATTATTACAGGTAATTTGCATGTCATTTCAATTGGGTCTAATCCAGGAAACCAGGACCAAATCTTATGAATCATTTATTGTAAACTCCGGTTTCTATTTTGCAGCAAATCAAAGTCCGAGGTCAATGGAAATTACAGCAGTTCAAACAGTTCAACTACGAGCAGTACACACAGTACTGGGAAAACTAATTTAAGTAAATCAACACTGCTACCGCCACGTAATGATACCCCTCCATCAGCCACTGAGAGCTCGATCAAAAAGCCGAACGCATCGGATAAGTTACCTGTGAAAAAGCTAGCAAACAAAAGCACTCAAGTTGAATCACCGCCTCCAAGTCTGAAAACATTTAGTCTAAGTGATAGTGAAACGTGTAATTCAAAGGTGAAGCAATTGCCACCGAATGATTACTTTCGTTTCCCAAAATCAAAAGCATCCTCATCGCCGGTTATTAGTGCGAATTCGCCAACGATGCTAAGCGATAAAAACTCACCAAAACGAATGATATCACACACGTTCCTTGCGTCAATTGATAAGGATACTTTAAAAAAATCCGAAATGACACCAGCACATCACAGTTCAACGTATGAAAAATCGGAAAAAAGTTCCTTTAATCAAAACCAAATGAGTTTTCTACAGAATCAACGCACCGATTTTTCAATGTCTTCGCGTTACATTAGCACCGGATCAATGCTCACCGAAGAGATGCTATTGAATGGTAGTTTGAGTCGACTTCGTTACATGAACCCACAAAATATGCATCTGCTGAGTGAAGCGAACGTTTGGGCAACAAGCCATCTCGGTAATACCGATTGTTTCACGAATTCACCAGCACGTGTGAAAAACTTTGTGCCCAGTGTTGCACAACAAAAACGGAGGTAATTTGCACATTTGCAAAAGTGTTAATGATTTTAAAATCGATGACTATTGATCCATTTTAAATTATTCAATTCACACACAATGTCATTTATTAATCTGGTGTGATACTTTCATTTGTAAATATGTAGATCAGGAACATCATCGAGTGCTACGGTTACACGAAAACCAAATGATTTCGAAACCCAACGGGCAACGCAGTATCGTAATCGGGTGAGCGAAGTGAAAATTCCAAGTGATTTGTGCAATGGAACTGAATGGGATACACTATCTCAGAAGATATGGGCCAAGTTTGATGAACGTAGACAGCCACAAGAATTGTATGAAAAGAAAATTCTACTTTGGGTACATCTTTGCCAACAAATCAAGGTAAAAGGAACATTGCTTCATAGTGGAAAATATCTTGAAAATTTCATCATAAAAGGGAAGCCGTCCAAATGTGATCGTTTGTTCTATTTCAGACAATATTTTCACGGTATAGCTTGTATTTGGTTGGTTCAACGGTGTCTGGCTTTGCCTTGGATTCATCCGATGTCGATATGTGTCTCGTTTCCCGCTTGAGTACAAATCTGGATCATCGCGCTGAAGCGTTTCTTCATTTGGACAAACTGAGAGCTCATTTACAGGAACATTGTCGTAAGTGACAGAAATTAACTTCGAAAAAATTAAGTTTATAATCATCCATTCAACTAAACGATCACCGATATTTTTCTCCCTCGCCAACAGAATCATTCTTGAGAAATTTCAATTTGATTCCGGCCAAAGTACCGATTTTGAGATTTGACGACGTACATCACAGTTTTGAGGTTGATTTGAATTACAACAATTGCGTCGGGATTCGTAATTCCCATTTGCTTTATTGCTACACCCAATGTATGTACAAAAGAAGTTCACTTGTAGGCTTTTGTTCGCTTTGTCATGTTCATTCATTTCGAATTTTAATAACAAAACTATAACCGTCATTGTGGTTCTAGTGGACTGGCGGCTACAACCATTGGCTGTTATTGTTAAACTGTGGGCTCAACACCATGACATCAACAATGCTAAGGATTTGACAATATCAAGTTATTCGTTAATTTTGATGGTGATACATTACCTGCAATGTGGTGTTCAACCGGCCATTTTGCCCTGCTTGCATGCCATTTACCCAGACAAATTTAATGTGAGTGCCACTTTCATTCAGTGCATTTCATTTGAAACGCCATTTAATCAAGCGCAATAATTAATTTTGTAGAAAATCAACGGCATCGAGACGATTAATATGAACGATAAAATCGAGCCATATCATTCGGATAATAAGCAAACGTTGGGTGAATTATTCTTCGGCTTTTTGGAGTACTATTGTACTTTTAGGTAAGTATTTTCGCTTGGTGTTTCTTCAATATATCGTTATAATGAATGAAAATTAACTTGAAATTGGATCTGTTTTTCCATCCAGTTTTGAGAAATATGCAATTTCCGTGCGAACAGCCGGTCTTTTAAAAATCGAAGATTGTCGCGGTCATAAGTCCTTCAAGAATGATCCAACCGAATGGAAGCAATTGTGCATTGAAGGTGAGTGATTATGAAAGATGATCTCAGCGTAAAAACTAAATTCATTTTTATTCACAGAACCATTTGACCGATCGAATACGGCGCGTTCGTGTTGTGATGAGAAAATCTTTGAACGCATCAAGAAAATCTTTCATGAATCGTGGCTACTGTTGCGACAGACCAAAGATCTTGATCGATTGTTCAGCGAACCATTGGTGCCGCCCGCATTTTGCACCTTCTACGACAATTACACGCCGATACTATACCAGCCAATGGACTACATCTTGCGATAATATCCATGAGGTACATTAAATGAACTAACCTGACCAAAACAAAAGCCATTTGTTGAAATGATTTTTATTCCCCTCGATTGCTCACGAATTTGGATGCGATCATGAACATAATAACTACTGTGAATTGTTGATATATATATTCTTCATGGATCAATCTTGTGATTTTTCTAATCTCTTAGCATTTATTTTATCGACTACTTTCTGACAAATTGTGATTTTTCGTTCGTATGAAAGAAATGAACTTGATGCCATAAATTGATTGGGAGGGAGGTAGAAGGTAAACATTTGCAATAAGCTTAAGCATTAGAGTTTAGTGCAGTACGGAATTCAGCATATAAGATAAGGTCAAAGAAAACAAAACGAAACAAAACACACACACACACACCAATAAACGCTTTCTGTTTGATTGCTTTGTGGCAATCAAAATGCCACAATGTGCATCCAAAACGGGACCCATCGATTCCTGGTAGCTATCTATCACCGCGAAGACTGATTCCGATTATTATGAAACATGATATAAATTGATACAGAAAATAAAAAAACGAGAAACCGAATCGAATCTCTCGATCGAAATCTTTAGAATAATTTGTGATTCATTGAGTAAAAATTTGTGAACGTTGCACAGCACATTGAAAGAAAGTGAACAAAAGACGAAACAAAAAGCAGTATTTTAAACGGTATTTTTTAGACGAGTAAACGTGTTATCTAAACGTTAAAAAAATATTGTAGATAATCAAGTGTGAAAATAGATATAACAACAAGAAGAACAACAAAAATTGTTTTCTGTCATCATTATTACTATTATTGCGAGGCGTATACAATGGAGTGCAGCCATTTCGTTTGATGCGCATGGATTTAGGCCTAGTGCCATAACGAAAACTGTTTATAACCAACAACAACAACAACAAAATACCGAATCGTATTTTTAAGTGACTAAAACGCTTTTCAATTTGTTCCAACAATTTTTTTCCTTTTCGTGTTTGAACTATAAGACATGTTGGCCACGTAGGATACTGATACAATATCATGCGTATGTATTTTGTAGTTAAGGATTTTGTGTTTTTCATTTTTAAGAATATACATAGGATTATGAATTTTTACCAATATTATTAGGCTAGCGTATCGATAGTGTTAAAGAGATAATAACTGGAATATCGCAATTTTCAACAACAAAAAAACAACAAAACAAACCTAAACAGTAAGTTCAGTCAAAGCAACAAATGCAAATCATAGAGCTAATCGAAAAGAGAAAACCAATCGAAATGAACGAATGGAACGTCGTACTTCGAATCAAAACTTACTAGAGTTTAAAAAACAGACAAGAAGCATATTTATGGGATTTTTTTCAGTTCGCTTTACGATTGATTGATCTCACACCGACTTCGCGATCGATTCTGGACGATATTATTCTAGTTCATACAAAACAAATATCATTTTCGGCTCTACACATTAAGAAATGTTATAAACGAAATTCTGTCAAAACGTACGATTCATTGATCTCAATTCAGTTTATTTTAGAAATTAAGAGATGAGAAAAAAGCATGAAAAGAAAGAAAGTGAATCTACTTTAATATTTATCGTAAATTGATATATATATCGTTTTCCTTACGCCAAATTCATCATATTATTTTTTACGGTTAATCAAATTGCTCACTATTTACAAAATGTGTTCGATGGATAAGAATCATTATTTTCGTAACGAAGTAGGAAGAGGAAAAAAAGAGAAATTTTCTATAGAGTCAAACGAAGTATTATCTATTTATGATGTTCCATATTTGCAAAAAGCTCGAATGCATTTTGTTTCAATTGAATTGAAGAGAAGAAGAAAAACAAAAAAAAAACAAAATATAACATTACTGTTAAGTGCCTAGACATAAGGTATGAAAACGTTTAACGTTTAACGAACCAAGCAAACACAGATCCACTGACACAAACAAAAAACATTTTGTTCCATTCAGTTGCATAATTGATTGCGCAAAGAAGCACTGAATGCATGAATCGGGTAAATTTGCAGATAGAATTCAACAGAATCCAACATTCGGACGTTACGCGGGAGCTGTAGATATAGTCATTAGGAAGTTAGTCATAGACACACACATACATTTTTAAATGGCTGTGATAAAATTTTATTTTAACTCATTTTTATTTTTGTTTCTCTCTCGAACCGCATGCGATTTTTAAAGATAAAACAAAAAACACACAAAAATTTTAGTTCGATAAACGGCGAGCTTATCTCAACGTCAACACAAATGGCAATTTTTGAGCACATCGATTGATGCTTTCGCAATGAAACTCGCAGGTGATATTTGAACCTCCATTCTAATGATCACACATTCTGTGTCATCAAATCAAAAAGTTCTTTGTTTTCGTTTCTTTTTCGTTTGATATCCATCGATTTGATTGACGAAATTCGGTTTTTGCTCTGAAAACGCACAATGGATTCATTCCAAATTGACAAAGACAACAATATGCACGAAATTGTTCCATTTTCATTATTATTTTATGTTGGCACCACTTTTCTAAATAAATGTTATCGCACCCATTTCAGATTCGACGTTTGTTAAGTTTTGAATGAGTGAGGCGTTTCAAAAAAGCAATTCAAGAAGTGAACAATGAACGGCAAATGACAAGAATAACATGAAAATTGAAATTTCAAGCACATTTACACACACATACACATGAACACACAAATCGAAAACATTATTTTTGTCTACATCACGTAAAATAGTACAAAAACAGCGAAATAATTAATGAAACAAACATCAAAATAATCTCAAAATAAGAAAAAATGAAAGCGAAAAAAAACACACAAAAGTCCAAAAATACACTTTTTTCAACCAAAAAAAAAAACAATAAACGAAAATGCAAAACTAATAAGAAGCAAGTAAGAATTGAAGCCAGAGCAGATAAAATGTACCATTGTTAGATATGTGAATACAGCAAATATTCAACACAAACCAAATGCAATGAGCAAGAAAAAAATGTCAAAATAGAAAACCACAAAAAAATCGTTGGAAAAAAACCGCAGTCTCATGTTCGGACTTAAAAAACACACACAAATGAATCAAATATATTCAAAAAAAAAATCAAGAGAAAAATACAAAAAAAAACCTACAAAATCAAAATATCTTATTAGAAAAAAATACAAAAAACGAAGAAAATATTGGCTTTTTTGATTTGGTTTGTGTTGAATCGCACAATAGCATTTGTCAGAGTATTATTGTAGAATGGAACATTTGGGCAAGCAACTAAGTGAGCGAAAAACTGAAATGAATTACGCGACAAACAAAAGAGCTAGAAAGAGAGATGGTATTGCATGAATATTGTCATTGTCTTCATCGAATATTCTTTTATAAAAAAAAAACAAAAACAAAAAAACAAACTGAATGCGCGCACGAAATTAGAAACAGAAAATGTCAGCATCAACCAATGTTCCGAATGTATCGCTCAACGAAGCGAATCATGAAGTGAAACTTATTATTTTTTTTCTCGTATTGTTTCTTATTTAGTTGCGTCATCTACGATACAAAAACGTGCTCAAAAGTATTAATTTCTTGTTGTAATGTAAAAAAAACGTAGTCCCAAAAAATGCTCAGAAAAAATCAATGAAAAACGTTATAGAAATGATTGAAGAGAAGAGAAGCGCTTTAAAAAATTTTACCAATGTATATTTTCGGCTTGAATTTCTGCATATATCTTTTTATTTCTCGCGCCAGCTAACAAGCTGTATATCGATTACGGTTGTACAAGTGAAGAAGCGCTTTTTTTCTCGCATAGAATAAAGTCAAACAGTGTGTGAGCAACAAAAAAAACTGTACATATTCCAGCATTTTGTAAGTTGTAAAAACCAGATTTTTGATTTACATGCACATTTTTTTTTAAATTGTTACATTGATGCCGTGTGGACGAGGATTATATTTATTAATTTATACCTTGTCTCATAATCATTTTTCCAGCTTATTCTATTAAGCAATACGCGGCAGATAAAAAAAACCTTTCCAATTTTTTTTAACTCTCGGAAATGCATGAATCGATTCATTGTTATCTATTTTCAATCAACTTTTCATCATTCATCCATTCTTTGTATGTTCACCTCTCTCTTTCGAGTCAATGAACAAAAGAACAAACCACACGTTGCACGAGAACTCGTTATTCAAGCAAAATCGAAATATTCATTTAATCTTCGTGTTCCCAATCAAGTCCGTTCTCTTTTTCTAATCGTCATCACAAACAAAAATCCATATATTAATATATATCGAACTAATTGTAAGTCGAACGAAATTTTTAATTTTTTTTCTCTTCGAATTCGGTTTGCAAATGTTTTGCTATCGAAGACTTGCAATAAAATCAAATCGTATCGCGTTTTGAAGACAAAAGAAGAAACAAGAAACAGGATATATGAATGGGAAAGAATTGAATATTCAGTCGTGGTAAAAGTATAAAATAAAAATCTGGTTTATTCTTATTTAGAGGAAAGTTAAGTGTTGCTTTTTTTCCGCCAATCGTGTAAACAAAATCAGCTAAGAAATTGTTCAACAGAAAAATTAAGAGATGAAAAACCTATGTAAAATCATATTGTTTATATGAACCGGATGAAAAACAATAAAAGAAAACGATGAAAAAAATTAAAAACGGAATAAACCAAACAAAACCGTTGTTTTATTTGAGTCAACATGTATTTGTTTTATTCTTGGTTTTATCCACAGGAAAAATGTCAAAAGCCTCAAAATTGGCTCGAGAATGAGATAACAAAAAACGGAAGTAAGTTTAATCATTACAATCAAAAAAATGTTTTGAAAATCAGTAAATTTTAATCATTGCAAAAAAAAGATTTATTTTTAACATTTCAAGAATTTCTAACCTATGAATGAATGCTTAATTTTTACAATTCGTTTCAGAAACTGGGAAAGAATTTTGTTTTTTTTTCTCAAATACACAATTTTACTTTCAAATGAAAGAAACAGAAAAATGACGAATGATGAATGTACTAGAGCTAATTTATTTCAGAATTGCAACCGCTTTTTGGGAACGGAAACACCTTCGGCAATCGCTTCAATTTTGCGTTTTAAGTTAATGCTCGGCTTGTGCTCTTCGTCATCGTTGTTATTGCTACCATTGGAAACTGGCATTGGCAGTCTGTGGCCTTCCATCGGCGCCGGTTTGTTTGCGAAATATTCCATTCGAAGGGCTTCGCTGGCCGTGCATCGATTGTGCGGATACAGTGCCATTAATTTTTCGGCTAACATCAGCAGATCATTACTGGCCGCTGTGAAAACTTCTTTCAATGGAATTGCAGGAAACGTTTTGAATTGAATGTAATCCGGCAGTAGAGATATATTTGGCCTAGAATATTCAGAGAAAACGGGGCAATTGAGATACATTTGGCCAAAAGAATTCAGAGAAACATTTGGCGTGAAAGAGAATTTCATTTACTTTGAATCAATTCAATGAACTCACCATGTTTCGTTGGTTGGCGTTCCGAACATTTGGAATATTCTTGTGAGCTGATCGATATCACTGTCGCCGGGCAGGAATGGGACTCTATTTAGAAGAAAAAGTAGAAAATTAGAGGAATATTGAAATATTCATTTTGAGTAAAATTGAAACCTGTTCAAAATGCTTACCGTAACAGCAATTCAGCCAAAATACAACCAACAGCCTACAAAATGAAAATTTCCATTTAAAAAAAATCATTCGATCAATTTGCCTAAGCCTATAAATTGTATCATATTCTCGCCCGAATCTAAATAAAATCGCTCAAATTAACACTTACCCAAATGTCAACACCAGTGCTATATTGTCGTGCACCGAACAGCAGCTCAGGTGATCGATACCACCTGGTGACGACTTGATGTGTGTAAATGCGATTGGGAGAGCCGAAAAATTTGGCCAAACCAAAATCACCAATCTTCAGAATGCCATTCGAATTAACCAGTAAATTGTTGGGCTTCAAATCTCGATGCAGGATCCAGTTCATGTGCAAGTATTCGAGACCTTTGAGTGTCATAATCATGTATGACTTAATCATGGCCGGTGTGAGAACGGGTATTTTTGGGTCTTTAATGATCACCTCGAGATCTGTATCCATGAAATCAAACACCAGTGACACATTCGATTTGTGCCCAAATACATCCAGCAATCCAATCACATTTTCATGTTGCAATTCGTGCAACAATTTAATTTCACGTAACGCTGTTCGATTGATACCATCTCTGGCTTCTTCGCGCGAACCAATTTTTATCTTTTTCACAGCGACAATTGCATCGGTCTCTTTGTCCCGCGCTTTGTATACGGTGGCAAACTGTGATCAGAAACAAATAAAAAAAACTTAGTCGCACATTGTCCACATTTCTAAATGAAATGATTTTTATTCTGATTTCTGTACATACCTGACCTTCGCCCAAAAAGTCGAGTTTTTCATATCGCACCGTTTGCGTTGGATGCATTTGTGAGATTTGAATAGCGTTTCACTTTGTGTGGGGAAAATGTATCACAGAATGAAAAATGTTCGGTGTGCGAATTGCTACCAGTTCAAGAATCGTGTGAAACGATATTCAAGTTACTGTCAGTGTCATTGCGGCGCCGTCGTTCGAATGACCGCCAGAGTGCGCTCCAATCAACTAAACACAATGATTATGTTTGACAGTTGTGCCAACATAGCCGATTGCACATACAGTCTGTGTAAATTACCAAGTCATAGTAGCAATTTCTCGATTCTTTCCTCATTCAGGTTTTTTTCGCCTTTCAAACGCAATACACATCTAGCTAAATTGACAAATTAAAATCGTACATTTTTGTTTTTTGGCTGCAATTTTGTTTTGTTTAGTTGATTTGTGCAAAAAAGAGAAATGGCAGAGGGACAAGACGCTTCGAATAAAATCACGATTACAGTGAAAACACCGAAATCAAAAGAATCATTTACGGTGGACGAAAATGCTGAAATCAAAGACGTAAGTAAATTGGAAATGGAAATCGGCTTTAATTGTGTTGTAGTCATACGAATGTGTGACACACGATAAAAATACTGCTGATGAATAATATTTTGGTGGAAATACAGTGTGAACGAGTTACGATCGTATATTTTTGTTGTTACATATCTGTTTCGTGTGTGCCATGCATTATTACATGAGCCATTTCAAAGATTTTCGTTTTGAAAGACGTGTTTCTTTGACATTTCTAGAAAGAAAAAGAAAATGGAATTGCACATTTTTATCTGTGATTTTATATAAACGATTACAATGCATGGAAGTATGTTGCTCGTGCCAATCGTACTTGAACTATATTGCAATAGTGAATGAGTGTTTTTTTTAAATTAATTTCCGCTTCAAATCGTAAATTGTGGTACTAATTGTTTTTTATTGCTGTTTTTTTACAGTTCAAAGAATTAGTCGCACCAAAATTCGAGGCTGATGTTGAACAGCTGTGCCTAATTTTTGCCGGTAAAATCATGAAGGATAACGAAACATTGAAGGAGCATAATGTGAAAGATGGACTGACAGTGCATCTGGTGATTAAATCGAAACCACAGGCCGAACCGGAACGACCCTCCCGACCGCCGGCTGACGTTCGTCAAACACCATTCGGATTGAATCAATTGGGTGGATTGGCTGGATTAGGCGCATTGGGTGCTGGCTCCAACACCTTCATGGATCTGCAAGCTCAAATGCAGAACGAACTCATGAGCAATCCGGAAATGATTCGCACCGTTCTGGACAATCCACTTGTGCAGCAAATGATGAACAATCCGGAGACAATGCGATCGCTGTTAACGTCAAATCCACAAATGCAAGACTTGATGCAACGCAATCCGGAAATTTCTCATATGCTGAATAACCCAGATTTACTGCGTCAAACTATGGAACTTGCTCGAAACCCAGCAATGTTACAAGAGCTAATGAGAAGCCACGATCGAGCAATGTCGAACTTGGAAAGTGTGCCCGGAGGCTATAGTGCGCTACAAAGAATCTATCGAGATATTCAAGAGCCAATGCTTAATGCCGCAACTGAATCGTTTGCGGGTAATCCATTCTCCGGCTTGGTGGACAACTCGTCGGGAGCAAATCCTCAGCAGGGCGCTGAGAATCGTGATCCATTGCCGAATCCATGGGCATCGCGCAGTGGAAACAATCAACAACAAAATTCAACGAATGCGGCACCAACAAACATTCTGAATACGCCATCGATGCAAAGTTTACTTCAACAAATGAGCGACAATCCAACGATGATGCAAAACCTAATGAATGCCCCGTATACACGGTCAATGATGGAGGCAATGTCGGCCGATCCACAAATGGCAGCCAATCTTATCAATCAGAGCCCAATGCTAGCCAACAATCCGCAAATGCAAGAGCAAATGAGAACCATGATGCCGCAAATGTTGCAGCAAATGCAAAATCCCGAAGTCATGCAAATGATGTCCAATCCACAAGCACTGGACGCCATAATGCAAATTCAACAGGGTGAGTTAATGAGAACAGCCGAAACTGCTAGTGTGATGAGAAAATCCAATATTCCAAGTGAATGAAAAATGCAAAAATTTATTGTTTTTGTTTTTGTTCTCGTCAAAAATCATTTCAGGTATGGAACAATTGCGTACGGCTGCACCAGGTTTAGTTGGAAACTTGGGCGTACCACCGCCCCCACCACGTTTTACAACGACATCAAACACCTCAACAACTGGCTCGACCACAACCGCTTCGAACACAGCTACAGACGCCAATACTACCAATTCAACCACACCATCGGCTCAAGCAAATCCAGCACTATTCTCTGAATTTATGTCACGAATGATGAACGGAATGTCAACCGGTGCCAATCCAAATTTACCACCGGAACAACGGTACTCTACACAATTAGACACACTAGCATCCATGGGTTTTGTCAATCGAGAAGCTAATTTACAAGGTAAATTCGAACATTGTTAAGAAAACATCCCTAATTTTAACATATATTTGAAAATGAGATCAATTAACCATATCCATTTCATTTATTTTATTCTATCTCTAGCTTTGATCGCAACATTCGGAGATATAAATGCTGCTGTTGAGCGACTGCTTGCTTTGAATCAGCTATCGTTAAGTTAAATTAAAAACCAGAACAAACGAATGAGAATGTGAAACGGCGATTGAGTTTTGAACCACCTTCAAGTTTAAGTGTTATGATGAAAACCATTTAGTTAGAGAAACAAATAAAAAGGGAGAACACATTGAAACCTAGAGAAGCTAATCCAATAAGATTCACACAGCTGAAAATGAAAGAAAAAAAAATGTTTTCTAAATCAAGGAACGGAAAAATTACACTTATTCTCGTTTATCTTTTATTCAAAATTATTAAATATTCAGAAGAGAAAAAACCAACACACACATGGCCATTTTTGAATCTATTCTTATAGCAATTAAATGAATGTCCGCCCAAATGAACTGCGGCGGATTACACCACTATCAATTCGGAAATATTGCATAGAATTTTATTCGAGTATAATGAAGAAGAAGCGAAAAAAAATCAATAAAATGCAAAAGAAAATCGTGAAGCAAAAAAAAATATCTAAATTGAAATTACAATAAATGTATAGATTAGGGGTTACAATTTACATATGATAGATAAGACTATTGCATGAAAAAGTCGTCTTTATTTTCAATATTTTTTTTCTCTTTCGTTCGGTGAGTGATTCGGCCAATTGGATAATTTTAGGTCGAGCAAATAAAAAAATACTTGCGAAATTCGCAATCACGATGTTCTTTGTAGTTGGAGAAGCGGTACTAAAGCATTGTAGTAATCATTTTTGGTAGAAATATTCACACGAATTTTTTTTTTGCTTCATATACGTCAGATCAAACATGTTTCTGTCACCATGCCATTTAGTTAGTTCACCACATTTCCACATATCTTAATTTCCTTGTCTTGAATTGTTTATCACATTCCACATGCATCTATCTGTCTGTCTAAAGGGAAACAGTTATTACAACCGCAAAATTTATTCATTGATTCCGACCTCGGAACTTCCCATTTTGAAATGGTATCATTTGTTTTGGACTTGTCTGCAAATGAACTTACTTTAGCGACAACAACAACAGCAACAAAAAAATCAACACCTTTCCATCTACTGTTTTTTTGTGTATAGCTTTAGTCGCTTAGCTGTTTAAGAAATGACTTCATAATAAAAAAAAAACCAATGAAAATAAATGAATTGTGTGTTTTGATTACCTACCTCTTGACCATGCACCACGCTTTGACACTTGAAATAATGACGAAAATTTAAACAACATTTCATTTTATCGGAATAACAAAAATCAAATTTTATTAGTTGACATTTTTTGTTGTTTCAAATTTATGATAAACAAAAATTAAAGATAAAGAAAAAAAATTCCCAAAATTTGTTTCCCTTCTTAAGATTCTCTTTTACGAATAGCCAAATTATTTTTGTTAAAAAAAATTTCATCAGAATCATTTATATGACATTTTTTTAAATTTAAATTCCGATTTATGTCCAATTAGAACAGAAAAATGGAAAAAAGAGGAAGCATTTTTTATAGAGAAAAAACAATTGAATGAAAGAACTATTTCTTTCGACAAATATTGAACATTTCATTTGCTGAATCATTGTTCATAGAATTATGATATTTGAGGTGACAAATTTGGGTTTTGGGAATTGGAAAAAAATTTATGGTAAACTGAAATTCACAATAACAATGGTTAAAAAGACAGTAAAAAGAAAGAAAAAAACGTAAGTGATCTTGCTCTTGATTGCATCAAGAATGCGCAAATGAATTGAAAAAATGGAAGCGGTATATTGAAGATTTTCATTTTTCTATTTTTCACTGGCAGAACACTACCCATTTCGAAGCCGAAAATGAAAAAAACAAAATTCAGTATATGCAACAGTCGAAGTTAAACCACATTTGTTTCGTACAAACGGTGATCTTAAAACAGACATGCTCGGCGAGTCGCTTTGTTTCTGGAGTGGCCGGAAGATGTTCAGCCATCTTCCAAGAAGTATTGAATGTCAAACTACTAAATAGCCACAATTTTTTTTTAAATCAAAGTACATCGTTTCAAGGATCAACCGCTCTTCTTCGGCCATACTCTCACTCTCTCTCTCTCTCTCTATCATATTCTGCCGAGGCCTTTGCTAAACCTCAGTTCTTCTTCGACACGAACGTCACATTTCTTTCGCGTGCAATGCAAAGCATATACAGCTGCTCTGGTTCTGACATTTTCTTTCGCATGCAGAAAAAAAGGTTTGCGTCTGAATCTTGATTTTCTAACTGTATTTAACTCGAATGATGTGCAAATTTCAAATATAATTAATTCAAGCAAATCCCTTCCGTTTTTTGTGTTCTTAATGCGCATTTTGTTTATTTTTGTATGTGTGTATGTTTTTTGTTTCATTCCCTTTTTTTTATTTTATTGATATTTAGTTAAAAGTTTTCCACTTTAACGGTACGCTGATTGGTTTTTATTCTTTTGGTTTTTTGCTGTTGACTTACCACAAATTTCATTCTGTTTTTTGTTGTTGTTCCGTTTGATGTGTGGTTACTTTCATTTCACATCATGATCTCTCTCGTTCGTTTCATTCAGCAGCCTCCCGTGTTGTCGTTGTGAGTTGAATGAAACAACGATAATATTTACTGTGTAAAATGCTTCGATTTAAAACGTACCGCTTTTGATTGGTTTTATTCTCCATGTGGCCTTATGGTCTCCTCATTTAGATTGTTCTTATAACGTAACTCAATGTCTGTGTAAGTGTGTGTGATCTCGTTTCCATTTGTTATTCAAACACCATTCACGTTTGTCGTTAAGCCCAAGTTCTGTTACGAAAATCGATTTGATGGCGGAACACCAGCGGTGCCGCTGCCAAAATTTCCGCCCTGGCTCTGGAGAAATGGAAAGAATGAAAATTAGAAACATATTCAGGTGCCTTTTGAGTCGAAAGAGGACGGTCAAAAGCGAACAAAAATGCAAAGTATCAGATTTTGAGTAGGTATACCTGGAAGGATGAGTCTTGTGACAAGATGTTGTCCATTTGTGATTGATAGTCGCCACTCATGTAGTCGTTGAACAGTAGATCGGGTTGCTGTGACAAACTGAAACCCGGTTGGCTCATATTCTGTGACATTCCCTGTGTAAGTGGGTTGCCTTGACTGAAACCGGCTTGTGAGTTGCTTGGACGCGGTTTCGATGGAGTTTTTGATGTTGATTTGCGTTGCCGTTGATTTTGCTGGGCTGCCTGAGCAGCTTGATTGTAGAAACGTTGCGAAACATTTGACATGGTGTTCATGAACATACCAACCGGCACCGGCATATTGTTATTCATAGCCGCTTGAACACGATCTTGTGATATGTAGCCAATTGGATCGTGATTGCGTCCAAACATATCGATAGAGTTTCGCTGAAAGCCGGCATTCGGCATGGGTTGTTGCAAAGGCATTTGCTGTTGCATATACGGTGCATTGTAACCACCTAAGCCATTGTTCAGAGCTCCATTGCTCTTATCGTAGAATGAACCGGCTCCCATGGCCTCTTTTGCATCGTACATGGCATTCGACATGAAATGTGTGCCAGGATTAAATGTGTTGACAATCTTTTTTGGTTTAGAGAACTGAACCATTGACTCTTTTAGATTATTGAGTGAACCTTCGACCAATAATTTACGTTCTTTGTAGAAGTTCAACAAATGATTCCATAGTGGTTGCTTTGACAGCACTTTTGGGTTACCAACAATGATTATACCGTACTTGGCACGCGTCAATGCGACGTTCAAACGACGTGGATCATTCAAAAAACCAATTCCTTGATGTTCATTGCTCCGAACACATGACATAATTATAATATCTTTTTCACGCCCTTGGAACGCATCAACACTGGCAATTTCAATCTCTTGATACAATTTCGAGTGCAATGAACCTTGATACTGCATGTACTGTACCAAATAAGCACGTTGACCCTCATAGGGTGTGATGATTCCAATCTGCTCAGGACTAACACGACACTTCAAGAAGCGAGTGGTGATTTTTTCCACATTTGCCGCTTCGGTTCGATTCAAATACGATGTTCCCGAGCCGGCAATTTCTTCTTGACCTTGTGTAACCAAAAAAAACATTGGGCGGTCTGGCTGCGGCCATGGGAAATCATTCTTCATCTTCCGTTCATCGGCACGCACACCATTCTGCAGACTGCCCTCGTAGAAGAAATTCGACGGGAATTGTGACAGTTCCGGGTGCATACGATACTGAACTTCCAAACGGAACGGTCGAATGCCGAGTACAACCAATCGCTCGAATAAACTTTGCGATAAACCGGCTTTAGCCGCCTTTTTACACATTACAACTGGGCCCAACTGGCAATGATCACCCACGAGAATGAGTTGCTTTGCTCCAAGCACCACTGGCACAATACACTCCGGCTCAGTCGACTGCATACTTTCATCGATCAAAATTGAATGGAATTTGATGCGAGATAATCGCGGATCACCGGCACCCACACATGTACAGCAAATAACGTCAGCCGCTTCCAACAGTTCACGTTCAGATGTTTTCTTCAATGCTCGGTAGCGTTTTTCATCGCTTGATGACAATTCACCGGTTTCATCTTTCAATTGCTGCAACTTTTGCAATTCCGAGTTGCTTTTCATGTTTCGAATTTGATTGTGCAATGCCAGAAAACTGACGGGTGAGTCGATCGCTTCACGGGATTTTGCACAAACACGCACCACTTTCAAATTGGTTTTATGGATTTTTTCCGTCAATTGATCGACGGCTGTGTTACTTGGCGCACAAACTAGGACTGGACCACCATTTTGACGAACAAGCTGATAGACGATGGTGGCCGACGTAACAGTTTTACCAGTACCTTTGAGGCGAAAAAAACACGAATTTAATCAATGAATTTCATGACAAATATACAAATAATGAATAGCAAAATCTTACCTGGTGGCCCTTGAATCAAACTGAGTGGACGTTGAAGTGCATGCTTAACAGCGTACACTTGTGATCGATTCAAATCGGGCAAATTTGGTGCGCTGAAATGTTTCGGCAGCGATTGGTTGCGGAAGGTGATTTCATCGGAACCATCTTGTCTGCCGTGGCCAAGCAGCCGTGAGTAGATATAGTTCGAAACGGAGTTCTCATCCACAGCAAATTTATTCAAGGCATACTGCATGCGGTCGAACGATGTTCCTTTCCAAATAAAATCAATAACAAAATTGGATGTGCATTCGACTGGAGCACTGGCGCTATTTTTCAATTCCAAACCCACATCATCGCCGTACTAAAGAAATGAAATGAATTCGAATTAGTATGAAAAATTGTAAATGGCCTTGATTTTAATTCATGGTTACTTACGTTGTCTGGTACTTTGATCACGTGTCCATTGCTAGACCATGGTTTGTGCATTTCCCCAACGTACGATAAGCGAAGCTCATCGCCGTGCATCAGTTTCATATCACCGTCGGTTTTGGCCAACGTAAAATATGCGATGGTTTTCTTATTCAAGCCAACATCCCAGCGAACTTCAATATTCTCTTGCGTTTGCGACTCCTTTAATCGCTTATCGTATTCGGCTTCCAAACGAACCAATGGCCCAAAGACTTTTTGATATTGAAACCCGTCTTCATAACGCAAAAGTACCTGAGCTGGCTCCGTGTCGACACCCGGTTTCTCAAGGTCTTGAAACGTTGCATCATTGTTCTCCTTCCAAATGTCTTCCAATTTGTTGATTTGCGACGCGGAAATTTGACGTGCACGCATTTGATCTTGTTCATTTGGTACTTTGACCAGCCAGCTCAAAAAGCATCGATCGGATATCAGTGGTTTCCATTGTTCTTGGTCCCAGCTCATATCTTTCAGTGAACTTTGAGCGGCACATGGTTGTCGACACAACAAAACCACCACCGAATCAGCTTTGGCTGGTATAAAACCCAAAATAAACACATTTCGAACACCACATGAATAGCACTCTAAGATCGTTTCGCCCAATGGACCGTCTGAGTGAAGTGTAACTTCTCGATGCTTTGCACGCACCAAATGGTTAACAATGTGCGATCCAGACGTATTGCCACGTCCGTTGCAAAACCATTTTTTACACACATTACACATGACAACGGTGCTCGGTTCATGAATGCCACAGTATTTGCAAGCGTGCAACGGTAATTCCTGTACTTGTGCTACCGCATCGTCGTCCTCCTCTTCGAATTGCAATTCAGCCATGCCACCGGTGATAATTGCCAATTTCTGGTGTGTGCCGTCATTTCGTTTGATTGCTCCAATGCCATTCAACTGGAAATAAACCGAATAAAACTGCTTAGTCAACATAACCTGCAAATTGTGCGTATAGCTTTGTACTTTCGCTTTTGATGAAATCATGACAAAACCAGTTTGAATATAAAATCGTCTATCGAAAGTCAAAACAATGAAATTTGGCTGATTCATTGAAATCAATTGCCGGAAATGGCTTTGATTTGTTTCATTCGGAATTTACCTGACTCGATCCGCCGCCCGTTAAATGATCCAATTGTGAGGCTTGTGTTTGACTTTGTGACGGGATGGTGAAATCACGAAAGTCAAAGTCCGTTCCTTGTGTATCCGCACCACCGATCAACTCATGCTCTTCCGTGTCCAAAAAAGTGAGCGTCTGTGAGCTCGAACCGTACGCATCAACACTCATGGCTCATCAATAATTCGGTACTATATTTATGTGTGTATATCTTTGTTATTGTTGTTGTAAGCACAAATTTCCCTTCAAAAAATAAAATCGCGTTCAATCGATTTGTGTAATGCTACCGTTGCCGTTTTTCGTTGAGTAGCCACTGGCAAATCGCTATTTTTTATTTCGGCGATAATGTGTATACATCGACGAATTACACAACAAAACGATCATTGATTCGTACTTCGTCTGTATGTCTCACAGCTCCAATGTACTCTATGCTCGTTCTCGTTCTCTTTCTCGTCTCGTCTCGCTTCTATGTAACAATTTTTTTTTTTCAAGTTTCGTGGAATTCTTTTCCACGTTGAAGTTGCTCTATACGTCGCACAACATTTGCCACATGCGACACACTTGAATGTGACGAAGAAAATTTATCAAGTACGGTGCAAAATTAAAAATTCCTCGTTTCCTCAAAACAATAACAACATTACGAACGGATTCTATTCCTTTTTTCTCTCTTTTGTTGCGTATAATTTCAGTTGAGTTGGACACAATGAGACGTTTAATGTGTGCGTACTCTCTGTATTTTATCGCGTAGATCTTTGATGTGTGTTGCTATTTGACTGCACACGATTTCGCACTGAAATGGATGGCGCCATACTTGCTTTCCGTCTACTTGACATTTCGTCCAGTGGAATATTTGACAGATACAGGCGAAACGTTCAGTCTCAATCAATGTGGCGGCGAAATCGAACAATTCAAACTAGACGTCAAACCAATTCCAATATGAACGTCTGAGACACGCATTTATCTGTGTATTGGTATGCTGTTGCTCTGACTCATATGATTGCCTGTTGAACAACCATTGCCAACTTAAATCAACCTCCAACTCTTTTTTTTTTCTATTGTTTTCCTATATTTGAATGTGTATGTATCGAAAACGTTTGGTTGTTCAAATGTTGGGCTTCGGAAATTCATTAACGGATTTTTATCATGTGGCACATTTATCTGAGATGAAAATAAACTTTTATAGATTTTCAAAGCAAAATTGCTATCAAATGACTAAGAATATATTTTGGAATGTCCCTTATTTGCCTTTCATTGTATTTACCATTTATTTTTTTTGGCGTGGATTGACTTTGATTGTTTACTCATGATAAGGTTTAAGTATACCTATTATCCATCAAGTGTTGCTTTTAGCCGACATTTACAAGAACATTCGACCATAAGCAAATCTTTGATGTGTCAATATCAAACACGTCGTGGCTTATCAGTTTAGAAAAAAAAACAGATAAAAACTGCACATTTTAAATTGTGAGCCAATTCCAATATGGCAATAGCCTTCACACTCAACTCTCTTTTGTTGAATGGTTTTGTTTTTATTATTATGATTGAATGCGATTTAAATAGTTCAACACCAAATGAAAGCGAAAGCACTTGAAAAATTAATTGAGAAATTGGATAAACTAAATGATTTAAAACTAATCAAAATGTTTTAATTGACTTATATCATGAGAATCAAACACAAACACCAAACATTGTCGTGGTTTTTCCATTGATAAATATATTTTCGCCGAAATAATTAATAAACTTAACATAGCATGAGAAAAGAAATGTGCGTAGTCGGGACAACTGTATTTTATATAATAATGTTGATGATGATGATGATGATGTTTATGTTTTTGTTGTAGCCGATAACATCACGATTGATAACAGAAGCCGTTTAAAATAACTGTGCATCGTCCAGATTGTCAACTGAGGTGTGTGCTGCTTTGCATATACTCGCATTCAGCGTCGTTGTTGCTGCCGCCGCCGCACATAGTATTTGTTCTGTGTAAATCTGTTGTAATGAATGTTTGTGTGTGCGTCGCTGTAGCCAATGCTAACGATATTGTTTTTACACGTACCATTGAATAGGATTTTGATACAACTGGTTGCCAACAAAATGTTCTCAGATTTCAGTTGAACACAGCTTGTGGATGGACTAACAACCCCACCTCAATATTTCAAGTTCCAACATAAACGGCTTTGTTTTTGCCGAACATTTTTTAATATTGACGGTTGTCGAATATTTTGAATAAATATCTATTGATTTTTTAATAGATAGAATTAATTAAATGTTATCAACTGTTACAACGATCGATCGTAAATCAAATAAATTAGAAAATGGCATGCATATTCTTTGTGACGTTTTTGAAGTTTAGTGTGATAATTTACGATTTTACTAGTTGAATAGTGGAAAACGTATTTTCGGAAGAAAAACAAAATTCAAGGAGTGATTTGAATTGGTTTTTGTCTGTTCATAAGAATTCAATTTGGGCGGCAACAATGGTTGAATTTTGAAGAAAATAAATCTGGTTTTTATGTCTTGAGTGAAATCAATACCGCTATCGGTAACTTGAGTTTACCAAAAACTCCAATTAGAAATTGTGATTACTTCTACAATCACTTTTTGTAGATGTTAAATTAGATAACCAACGATTTATACTTGATTTTAATTAAAACTATTTGATCATAATTTAGTAACAAGGTAATGCAGCATACTTTATACTAAAGAAATCACTGTTCGTTTTACGTTTGCACTAAAAAAAAATCTTACTTGCAAATTTTTACTCATTTTGTTTCACACTTCGATATAAATGTTGTTCTTAAAACAATTGAATAATATTCAGGTTTTGCATTTATTATCAATGCAAAAAACATGAAGTTAAATGGTGTTGTGTCGCTTCCAAAGAAGTTAAATCTTGCTATTTTTCATTTTCATTTCTGCTATTGTTTCATCAAATCCATTTGATTTAATTGAAATATGTACGAAAAATCAAATATTTATCTAACCGGAGACATAAATCTGTGCTACTGTTTTCCATAATTCCGCGTCGTCAAAGTACTTCGTTTGCTATTATCCATAATATGAAACAAGAGAGTCGTCAATTTCAGTGCAAAATTTTTCGTACACTGATTGACTTTGAATGTGTAGTTCAGTAATGATTATTTCATTCGTCTGTCTGTTTAATTTTTAGCAGTCATGTGCTAATATTTCTGATTGGGCTCTTGTGCACAATGAAGTGATTCTTTGTGTGTTGGATGCTTTTGTTTTTAATATACGAGTGCTTAAGCACTTATTTCACTTCATTCATTTAGCGCAACTGTAATTAGTTTTGGCGCGTCTATTGGTAAATGAATGTTATAGCATTGAATGAACTCAATTGTAATACCATATTGCATCGAACATGTAAACAAACTAGATTGTCGGAATTTTTTCAATCAATTTGACAATCGGTGCATTCAAAATTTTCCGTAAAACTTGCGATAAGGTAATTTGCGCGAAGAAGAAAAACATTTGAATCTGGAATAACAAAATTCATTTACAATGAGAATGAGTCAGTATTAATTGTTTATTCAAGATTATAAACATTTTAATCATATTTTCCAATCTTTCGTTCATCAAGGTACATGTTTGACAAAACCCTTTTACCTTGGGATTGTTTTGAATAATTTCAAATTTTACCTCAATACTTTGATTACATTTCGAAAAGAGTTACACATTTTTAATAAATCTATACCTGTTTTCAATATTTTATTCATCAAATGGAATATTTAAAAACAACCAAACGCACACACAACCATGAATACGTCCTTTGTTTTGAACTTCGAAGTTAAGGCGAATTTTTCCCATGACACTGAGAACTTCTGATCATTTTCTCACCGAACTCTGTTCCGTAACAGCTACAATAGGAAAACATGAATATCGATTTATATCGATATAGAAAATCGAACGTCGTGCATGGATAATGGGTATAGTCAAACGTATTTGGAATCAAAAGTACGGCTACTATCGATAAATCATACGCATAATTGTGTTTCGTGGTTAAAAAGTTCATTTCAAAGTGCCAAGGCCAAATCTTTGTTTGTATTTATTTTTTTCTGTTGAAAGATATGGATTGGATGTTGATTTACACTCATCGCCATCGGTACACACATCGCCCGTCAAAAATATGGAAAATTTACAATCAAAAACTTATGAAAAAAAATCGTCCATTTAATGTGTTTCCCAATAAATCGAAATATAGTTTTACAATACGATTGTGTTTCGTTGGAATGCGGTTCGTTTGGGTTGACAACCGTTTCTTCGTTAAGGATTTTTCCGATTGCCACATGTCGCCACTCATTTCGAATCTACGGGCAATTATAACAACAACAAAATACGCTCTAAAATCACGACACGAGTAGAATATTATTAAACATTTTAAAGCAATTCATTTCACTTCATGTAAAACGTATTTTTTGTGGCTGCTATCACAAATTGGACTGGATGTCGAGTGTATACATTTCATCGCATGAATAATTCAGGGAGAAAAAAATTGATTGGTTCACTTGATATTGCCCCTCAAAGTCATGGGCAATTTGTTTGAAAATTAATGGCCGAACATGCGAACCCGCATGTTGCATTGCCCCTGTGACGTTTTCAAATCATTTGGGTTGGATTCAAATTTTCGCGCACATTCTGAAAATAAACTCACCGTCAAATGTTTTATTATATTGTTTGTGCGGAAAATGAACCCACCTCAACCGTTGATCAATTTCCATGTTCATTGCATTCGATTAACATTGAAAATGATTTGACCTACCGTGGGTGCGTTTTATGTTAAGGCACGCCAAACAATTTGTCAAGCTGAAAATCAGGAGCGCAATTATTGCTTTGCCAATGGAAAACCATCGATAAATTATTGTACGCACTTGTGTAAACAAACACGCAAACCGAAATGGCTAATCGCTACCGCACACGGATAATATCTCTCCATGTTTCGATTTCACTTCCAACATTTAATCCTGTTTACATTTAGATATGGCAATTCGATTACTTGCTTTTTTTCCCTTCTGTGTCATTTTTTTTTGTAAAATAATATCCAAATTACATATAATTCGGTCATTATGGATGATAACCGGTACATTAAATACACATTATAATGCCCGTTGAATGGACTCAATTTAAATAAGAATCAAATTGACCAATCTTTCTTATTCGATGGACATACATATTTTTTTGGGGCGTTGATAACCATAACACATTTTCGGCAAATCGATGCGCGAGTGGAAAACTATTGAGGCTTCCAGCATATGGATATAAAGGATAGCAAAATGACATCGGAAACTGCTGAATGTTTAATTGAAGGTTCTCAACGTCATTGAGTGCTCGTGCAATTAACAAACAATCCTAAACTGACTAATTATGAATTTTTCATACTTGCTTTAATGGGAGTTTTCAGTGCCAAGGGTTTTTTATTGATGTAAAACATGTGTATGATAACGGTAACCGTTACAAAGTATTCCAATCGATATTCAAGAAGCTTTCCACTCCACTTGATATGAAAAGTGGAGGAAAAGCTACTTCTAACACTCAACCATTGAACAGTTTCGTTAACGGTCATTATTACAGCGATGTGATTGGCTGTGATGAATTTAAAGAATTAATCGATTCATTATCATTTTTGACAAATATAAAAAATAAATCAGTTTGAACATTGCCAACAGCAACAAGCTGCAATGTATCCCATGATTTTAATTCGATAAAACTAACTTGAGATACATAGTTTTCTTTTACGCTTGATTTGATGAACCGAAGCCGCGATGGGAGAAAATTTCAAGATTTCAGAATTAAAATGTTCAAAATTGTGTAAAGTGTATTTGAAATCTACTTCATGACTAATCTCAATGACGTTGAGAACCTTCAATTAAACATTCAGCAGTTCCCGATGTCATTTTGCTATCCTTTATATCCATATGCTGGAAGCCTCAATAATTTTTGATATATATGGATTTGAAGGTGGTAAAATCTACTAACCCAAATGAACCATTTGCGGAGATATCCAGTGTACAGCGGAGCTGTGCGGAGTTCGGAGGAGATACCGTACATACGCTATACGTGTGAGCGAAACAGCACTCTTTGCTGTGTTTACATTTCTATTGTTCAATACACATCTAAGTAGCCATGAGCGCACTGCTTTAGATATAGTGTATGTATGGCATCTCCGCCGAACTCCGCACAGCTCCGCTGTGCACGGAATTTCTCCGCAAATGGTTCACATGGGAAGCCGGTTAAATTCTATGCAATTTTTCAGAATTTCTAAAATGAATTGGCTTTGTTCAAATGTTTCTCAATCAAAATCGTCTTCGATAGGGAAATGTGGTGAGCCCATAAAGAGCAGTATTCCATAATAGATGTGAAAAATATGGATTTTTTTATAGATAGCAACAGCTGTTTCAATATTCATTTCAAATTAAATGTCCATCGAATTTGAATATGAACCGAACTGAGGTGCGTGCAGCCCATGGATGAAATGGATTCAATCGTGGAAAATGGATAGAATATGCAAGAAAATGTTATAAACACTGATATAGTTGTATGGTTTGCATATCATTAATATTCACTGGCGAATATCTTACAAAAACTCAATGAGCCTGGCATGACCTTGCAGTTGAAACATCATCAACTCTTGAAGTGGTTGGTGAAATGATGTTTGAACCGAATAAAAGTAAATATGTTCAACATGGATTATTATTATAACATAGTAAATACATAGATATCATAAAATATCAAAATTATATGATTTCCAAATGAAAAAATTCCATTTAATTGAAAAACAAGTGGAAACAATTTTCTCCAGCTATGCGGAAAAGAAAAGGAATAGAGAAATTATTTCATTTGAATACGCAAACAGAATACACGCCTGGCCGCTTATATATGCAGTCGAAAAGATTGCATATAGCGGGTGTCGCTATATGCAGTCGGATTTTTTTCATACAACTGCATTTAACCCTAACCGCTATATGCAGTCGAAATTTTATTTTCGTCTTTTGTCTGCATATAGCCGCTGGTGCTACATGCAGCCGAAATTTTAACCTTATATTTATTATAATCATATTTTTCGACTGCATATAGCTGCTGCTGTTAAATGCAGTCGAATGCAAATTAAAAATAAACGTTAAATTGTTCTGTGACCGCAGCAAATCGAATCGGAAATCTCCAGCTTCCACCGAAGAAAAAACGACAAATATCTTCTCAAAAATGAAATAAAATAAAAAAAAACGACTATAATTCCATCTAACATTGATTTTCGCTTCATTTTCTCATTTTTTTTATTCGACTGCATATAGCAGCAGTGGATATACACAGTCAAACGTGAAGAAAAAAAAATCGTCTGCATATAGCGGTTATGGTTAAATGCAGTTTTTTGAAAAAAATCCGACTGCATATAGCGGCTACTGCTATATGCAGACGAATTTATTTTATATGGAAATTTTTCGACTGCATTTAGCAGTGGCCTACACGCCTTGTATTTATACAATGGTTTTAATATGAGTTGTAAATTTTTAATAACACAACGGTACTATTTCTGAAGTCAGAATCCGCTCCAGTGCTTTTAGTGATAAGATATGATAAAAATTTATATGGAGTTATAAAAAATCTATAAGACACGCTAGTACAAATGACAGGAGTGGCTTGAAAAATCAATTCTATGAGTAGTGTGATTCTCTAAATAAAATAAAAACAAAAAAAACTTCAAATAATTTGGGGCTTTAAATTCGTAAAGTTTTTGAAGACATTTTAAAACTTCTTAACCCCACATGATCTGGACGAATGGCGATTGAAGAATAAAAAAGTTCATAAACGGTCCCTAAATAAGCATAACACGTGTCTTGGTCCAACGATGAACCGCATAAGTCGATAAAAAAACTCAATTGTGGTGGTGTGGAGTACGAACTCTCCACGTCAACGTCTCATTTTCACTGTGGTATTCTATCCATATTTTTCAACTCTGTCCCGGGCAAATGTTTTTAAATGTCAGCAAATCGATTGAATTTTCAAGCACTGCCTGGTGAATTCAAACTTGCACTACTAATCGATCCATTAAAGATTCACACGTATTTCAAACTGTAGTCCCGTTGACAGTGAATGGTATGTGCAGTGCATAAGGACAAAATTAATTGCGCATACGTTCTGATAGCAATAGAAAATAATAATTAATGCAGACATATTTTTTTACAGCGGCACTGGAGATAATCAGAGGACATTGTGTGATTTTCAACGGCAATATGATGCAGAACAAATAGAATTAGTAATTAAAAAAACGATCGACGAAATAATAAATGACATTGCATCATTGTTTGGAAAAAATTGAAACGGCCCTAAAGAAGCAGCAATGTGCCGAAGATTCATCAACAGCTCTTCGATGGATGCATTTGCAACAGGGAAAATGACGGCCGCATCACATTCAATCACAAATTGCATGCATCGATCGATATCCATTTTATTGAATGTGCCTTAATACGGAAAGTGAATTAATTAAAATGGTTTGACAAGTGCTTATGAAGTGATAAATCAATCAAACAAACTGCTATTAATAAAACTCAAAGTGGAAAGCAATTTTTTCGTTAGTGCCTAAATAATAACAAGTTATTTTCTTTTACGCGTAGCAAAAAAAGAAAACACACTTAAATGGTTGCTGCTCCGTACGAGATGTTCAATATGGGAAATAAAACACACCCACAACAGTCCGACATAGGTAATAATCATTTGTATTTTAGCACCAGAAATACGTACAGTCTAAGGCCAAAGAAAATTCAGTATATTTCATTTAAACAATTGAATGAAACAATAATTTAAGTTAAATGACGACTCTTTGAGCATTTAATCCTTGGTATTGAATGCCAGTAGGCAAACCAAATGGTTAATTATGAATTATTTTTTTTTAAATAAACCCCATCGATAAAATGATCAATGACATGTAATCGACGAACAGGTCATCATCGACTCCAGTATTCTAGTTTATAGTCTACATCTATGTATATATGCATCGACAGTACATGGCAGCAATTACGAATATATTAAACTTTTCGATGAAAGTCATCGTTCATTGGCATTCTCTTACTGGTTCGTGCATCAGTATTTATTGTCTGCGTCGGTAGTGGCGACGGCGGCGGCTGAGGTGATACTCGCGACTCACGTTATAAAAACAAACCTTTTAAACAAACATTCCAATAAAGCCGAGGATAACAAACAAATGTATTGATAGCCATTGGACATTTGCAACGCAACTTCCCACCCATTACATACACGTATGTCCCTTTGCATTGCCAGCGACATCACAGCCAATTGAGAAGGTGTCGTACGACACGTGAAGCCGCACACGCGTTGAAAAACATTCAAAGTCATTTCTCAAATTGAACTTGAAACGCTGATGTTCGCCATGGAGGACCCTTCTAACAAAATTGGTGTTGACACTTAACATTACAATACATGACCAAAAAAAAAAGTAATGCCGTTAAAATATGAATTTTGACAAAATATGCTGAAGCCAATTTTCGATGCCATCAATTTATATTTTAAATACCTAGAAAATATTCGATAGGCTTTAGTTGGAAATTCGATCGATATGGAATACATCGTTTGAATTATTTAGTAATAAATCTGTCATCAACATATTTACCATGTGGGAAAAAAGAAATTAGTTCATAAATAATGATGTTTCAGTGCCATTTATTCATATATAGATTAATAGTTCGGATTTAATGGAGAAAATGACGAGACCTTCAAATCGACACAATGAATATTTAAGAGAAACCGTACATCCAGACATCTTTTATTGTATTGAGTTTTATCTCGGACGAATAAAAGCATTTCTGATAACATATTTGAAGAAGAAAAAAAAATGGGATTTCGCGGTAGTCAGGTGTTGATAATTATGAAAATAGGCAGTGAGATCACGATATGATTATGAATAGCTACGTCTAAATTTATTCATTTCAAGTAGGTTAGTTTACAAAGATTATTCGAAGCGATTAAGGGTTGCATGTCACTCTAATTATAACAATAAACGAATGTGTTTTCCGTGTATTTGGCCGAGAAAGTGAAGAACGAAAAAACCTCATACTTTTTTCTGACTTAAACTGAGGCTTGAATTAAATGCCCAACATGCCCAACATGCTCTCCTCTACTTATCACTGATAGAATTGCACTTCGGTTGAATTCAGTTGAAGTGTGCCATTTTGTCCGACAACGTTCCTACCATTATTTGCATATTTCCATTCATATCCATTTCCATAGCAAATGCGATGCACTACAGTGCTAGCCTCTATGCCAACCCGTTATTGTAATGTGAATTGTCTACCGTTATTTAATGCTAACGGTTTTATGAATCGTGAATTATGAATTGGATATTCGTCAAGCTTCGCCTTCGGTACGCCTCGTACGCCTTGTCCGATGCTTCAATCGAATACATCGAACACATATATGTATTCAAAATAGTCCCATTAAATCCCCGTGTGCGACTACTAAACTCATTTGCCTAATACAATGAAAATGTCGTTCACATTTTTGTGCTTGTTTGTATTGTAATGATGTTGGATCATATTCAATCCTGTATCGCATGGCGCATTTTTAAAACACCGTTCACATCGTGTTGTCTCTTTTCTACGTTGATACCGTGTTGAATCAAATTGCTTTTTGTATCGAATAGACATTTGTTTTGGCTCGAATAATGTGAGCATATGTGTTTACTTTCATTCGTTTCGTTTCAATATAAACGTATAAATGTGTAGTGTGTACACTTCTTCTGGCTATATGTCGTTCAAGTGAAGTTTATTGCTTGTTTGTCACAAGGAAAAACAATTGACCACTTGTTTTCTTTCTTTTTTTTCGTCATCCTTGTCACTCCTTTTGTGTGTCTCTTCGAATACCGATTGTATGCTACTTCACGAGCCTTAATTGCGTTCGGGTGTTAGTATTCAATTGAATGTGAAACAAGTAACAGGAAAATGCACGCGACAAATGGTTTACGCTGTCAACATATTTACAAAAAAAAATAAACTATTTCAAGTGAATCACGAGCATTTCGTGTTGTGTTCATTCGAGTTCGAAATGCAAAAACTCTAGTTAGTTTGTCTTTGAATTTTGAAATGTGTCTAATGTGTCTATTTCTGCTACTTGCTTATATTCGCAACCTAAAATGATAAAATTGTGTGCTTCAATTGAATGAGTATACGGAATTTTCCTTCTTTTTGGCTTCTACGAATGGTTTTGTTTTTTAAATAGAAAAAATATTGACTTGATCTTGAACAATGCCGCTTGAGTGGTTTGAAATCAGAAGAGAAAAAAAACGAATCTGTGGTTTTTGAATATCGATCTAATTGTTGGTGATATAAAATAATGAAATGTGTCTGAAACGATAAAAATCCGTCGATTCCATTGTAATCATACCGACGACGACGACGACGACGATGACAATACACATAGATATCATAACATATTATCGGTTTTATTGATTCAGAAACGTATAGCTCTGACCTGTGGGCGAGACGAACATGCGACACACTCAGCAGTTCGACGGTGCTTGCTTGCCCTCTCGTTTCTCTCACTCTCTGTGCCACATGACCGAGACGATATAAGTGAAGTAAGGATATTTCATGTTGAATAGATTATGATGTGCTTTTACAACAAGTGAACGAGTGCAAGGATAAAAACATATACGGTATTTCGATGCACGGCACGACAACTAAGATCACTTTCAATAGTGACAGGCGCTCTAGCTCAAATCATATGCTCGCACACACAAATCAGGCTCATCTGACGCATAAGCCAATGTCATGCAACTTCACTTGAAACTAATTTGATTCAACAACAATTTTCTGTGCGCGTCATCGCACAATGTGCGTAGAATTAATGAAAAAACGTGCTTTTGAACGGTGATTGAATCATCATTTTCAAAATAATTCGTGGATAGAAAAATCAAGCTCTGACTGAATGCAGACTGCAATCGGGGAGATCTTAAGCCAATGAACGATTCAAGTCCCACATATTAAATGGAACATTAATCGAAACCAAAAGCGTACATTTTGGCAAGACATTGGAAAAATGTACAACAACTTGAACATTGTACTGCACAAATGCATTTCCAAATGTCCGCCCAGATTATGGTAATTGGCATGTGGAGTAAATATATAATCAGAATATACGTCATTCTAAACACATTTGTGTTACACTTTGTGAAATGTGTTTTCTCTTTCGTTCACTCACCAATTTTTGCTGTACATGTGCAAATTACTCGATTGGCTTCCGTGGCCTGAATTGGTGGTGGCTTTTGGCCGAAGGATTTCATAATAAATTCGCGTGATTTCAAGTACTTCCTCATTTTTTATTACGTTTTTATTATATTTGTGATCGAATAAACCGCCCCATCTGGTTCAAGCGTTACACGTGTCACCGTTCATCCCTTCCGGAAATGGGTTTGAAAACAACAATTTATTGCGTTCAAACAACGTTTTATTTAATTGCTATTTTGTGGTTTTTGGTGAAACCGGAATTCGGTTTACTTTATTCATAAATTTTCATAATCGTCTCATTCATTCGAGCAGAAGTTTATGGTGGAACTGCGACATTTGTACTCAATGTACTCTGCATAATAAATGCTCGCGAGAGACAATGAATGGAATAAGTTTTCGAAAAGTTTTTTTTTTCCGCTTCCAACAGAGTGTGTATATGATCACATTTTCCCCCAGTCAGCGAAGGTCATTGCTGGAATTTGTTCAAAAGTCACACCATTGGTTTTCTTGGTAATTTTTTTTGATTAGGCGTCAACAGTTTAGAAATATCGTGTCATCAGAGACAGTGAGAGTCTTTTTATTGGAATTTTTCCTGTTGATGTCAAGAAAATTTGGTTGAAAACACAGTGTGAACATCATTTACCAAATGTATCAAAATGTTTCATTAAATTTAATTAAATAACTTGAATATCCGTTGTTTAGTTTGAGCGACCGTATGTATGTGTTTATGATTGAAGCGGTCTTGTGTCGCACGAAATGCTTTTCCGTCTCATTTTCATTGGCACTACACCACAAAACAAGTTAAAAAAACACTATTTGTCACAATACAAACATGACGTCCGTCAACATTGATTGAAAAGAGATAGCAGAACATACAATGACAAACAATCCACGCGCTGATTCAATAGACTCAACACTCACACACACACACACACACACATATATATATATATATATATATATATACAGGATAATAACCGTTGAATCAAAATGAGTTGTGGACAAAACTTAACGAAGTGTAAAAAGTGGAGAAAATCGAAAAGCAGCCACATTCGATGAAAAATTGTGTATTTGAAATAATAATGATTGATATTGATTTCTTTGATTCTGCTTTTCATACATAACGAGTAAATCACTCGATTTGATGTCGGTGCTCGATGGATGGATGGACGAATGGAGAATGTGAAAAAAAATATTTAAATAAAAAAAGCGCCGGCGGAACATTTAATTCAAATAAGTTACCCATCAACAAATATAACGTATTTTGCTCGCACACGCAAACCCTCTCACTCCCTCTATCACGCGCGCGCGCACACGCTGAAAATGTGAAAAAGTAATACGAAGTAGCCACAAAAATCACATATGAATTGTTTGTTATAGGATTCCTAGCTATTACCATCCTCTTTTTATGTTTGGTTTTCTACCCATCCACACCCGTGGCACACTTCGTCATTTAATTGGAGGTCGATATTGAAAAGTTTCCCAAGTTGAACAATTCACAATTGTATAATATTCATCGAACAGGTTTTGATTTTGGTCTAACATGGGTTAATTTCAAAGAGATCCATGATCAAATGAAGAATGAACTCATTTTGGTTTCTTTTCATTTTGAATCGGTGCCCATGACGTTTGTCACTCCAATGTGGATGGGACACTTTCGATTCACTTTGGAAAAATTGATCATATTCCATTACTATACCGTTTCACGGTCACTTCTGTTGTTTCAACTTGTTATTTGTTATCATGGCAAGTTAGACATTAGCATGACACTGAAATGTATCCATAATTCCATTTATTAGTCATTCTGTTGTCGCTGTCGTCGTCGTCGTCGTCGTCGTCGTCGTCATCGTTTTTATATGATTATTGTTCTTTCCAAAATATTCATAGAAATAAAAAGAAATACATTGGTAATCCCGAACTTTTCCGTACCGTTGTCCTGCGTTGCCCGTATGTATTTTTGGTTATTTTCTTGAAATAGAGGCAGTGAAAATATAATAATAAAAATAAAGTGAAAAATCGGTCACTCTAACTAAAACTTCGACAATTTTGTATGAGGAAACCGATTCTTATTGGCTTTAAACTTTCTGAGATTTCATTTTTTGGAGAAAAAATAAGATCCTGAAAGTTTCATGTTGTTTTCCGAAAAAATTTCGACAAAAATTGAGGACAAAAAATCAAACTTCCGCAAATGCGATCAACATGAAACTTTCAGAATCTTATTTGTTCTCCAAAAAATGAAATCTCAGAAAGTTTGAAGCCAATCAGAATCGATTACGGGTACCTCCCATACAAAATTGTCCAAAAATCGGTAATTTTAGTCAAAATTTCAAAAATTTTGTATGGGAGGTACCCGTAAATCGATTCCGATTGGTTTCAAACTTTCAGAATCTTATTTATCTCCCAAAAAATGAAATCCCAGGAAGTTTGATGCCAATTGGAGTCGATTAACAGGTACCTCCCATACAAAAGTGTCAATTTTTTGAGGTTTTTCTTAGGGCAAGTACCCCAGGATCAAATCGAAAATGGCTCTCTTATCTTCGAACTTAAACTAAGTTTTTCGGATACAAAACTTTTAACATTTCCAGATTTGGATTATCTCAATTATTTTTTGAGTTATCGTGTTAACAAACACCAACGACAACGACGACGACAATGACGACGGCACACGTCTCAAAAAGTGGTTTTCTACGCGTTTCATGAGTTTTTATGATGATCTAAACCAATTTTGCGAAAAAAGTTTTCGGGACCAATTCCTATACTTTCCCTTGACACGGTGTGTACGGAAAAGTAAAAATTCCCAACTTCAACCAACAATTGACAATCAATACAGTTGACACACATGGCTATTTGGTCAAAGCGCGTACATATTCTCTGTCGAATCACTCATTGGCTGCACTGATGAAAGAAGAAGAGACAAGCACGTAATCAAGCTGAATGAAAAAACTTTTTCCCGTCGAATCGAAGGAAAATGTCCGTATAATCGTGTGAGATCACGTGTTCGATATGATTCATTAATCTTGCCACTAAAAATTAATGTCATCGATGTCGCAATGTGTCGCAAATGAAAAGCCAAACACCACATGAGTAATACATTTTTAACAGCATATGGAGAATCCTTGTCAACGATTTTCTTTTGATGTGAAGGGATTCGTCTATCAAATATTAAACCGTTGAAAATAGTGATATTCCGTCCAAGAAAACATGCAGCACTACTGCGTGTGACATTGAAAATCGATAAATATTGATAGAGTCCGTCTTTAAAATATTTAATCAAACATTTTTCGAATCTGTTAATTAGATTTTTTTAATTAAATTTCTTTCGTATTGCAAGGAATTACGTAATCCGGGCAACTATATTTCAATTATATTTTCTTCTAATTTGTTCGCCACCAAATTATTTACCAACGTTTGTCAGCTATTTTTAGCTATTTATCATTCAAATCGTTGACACACTTTTCATTTTTATACCCAAAAAGATTCCTAATCGAAAGCAATCACACACAGGAAAAAAAAACATTTGATCCCATGACAGTTATCAACCATTCAATAAAGTTACAACACGCGCCGCTTTAACGAAAAATAACAGTTGTTCTTTTTCCCACAGAGAATTTGAAACAATAATTAATTATGTACCAATAGTAGCCAAGTTATTTGTGCCCTTATTGATTACGACAATGTGAAATACACACGGTAAAATAGAAAAGTGATTGAGATTGAAACGTGGACAAAGAAAAAACGGTTCGAATTGAAAACAGTGTGTGCACTGGCGGGGCAAATGAATATTACGATGTAAAATATGTCGGACATAAATGCACCCATTCAAATACCGAGCGAGTTGAATGTGCCAGAACCAACAAGTGAAAATGAAACAATTGAACCAATTAAGCCGAAATCGGCTGCTACACCAACATCAGCACAAAGTGCCGATGGAAAGGAATATCCAAAGCATCGACTGCGTAAAGAAAACAAATCACGGAGTATGTTCAACTTTTCGGCAACACCATTGCGTACGGCCAACGATGAGGAGCCAAATGAAGAGAAAGAAACGAACGAAGAAGGACCGCCGGTGATAAAATTATCTCCAGCATCCTCCACATTTCGTCGAAGTGCCGAACGACAGTCGACTGCTTCGTTGGATCACATAGACAAATTAGTGGTGGCGACGACGACGACGACCGCAACAGCGGAGGAACAATCAGCTAGGCGGCAAATTAGCGCCAGTATAAATGAAATGAAGTTGAGTGTTAACCGTAAACGTGCCAATTCCTTGGATCCATCGCCACATAACGATCGAGATGACGATGAATTCGACGAACTGCGGGTCAATGGCAATACTGGGTCACAGCTACGCATCCGTTCGTCGATTATATCATTGTTTGGGCGCATGGGGAAAATGCGACGCACCAGCCATGTTTCGCAGAATTCGGTAAATGATAATGGTGAAAGTAACGATCGTTCTATTCCATTGCGAGCACTCCCACAAATTGCTGCTACGAAAATAATGCGCGCATTTAGCTACGTTGGTAAGCTTACGTGAATGCAAAATGCTTGATTTTCTTTGACCTAGCTGCGTTTATTTCTTACCTCAATTGAACAATTACATTAGAAAAGCATAACCAATTTCAAAGTTATTATAATCGAACTAACAACAAACGATTTTGTTTCAATTGCCCACAGTACACGAACGACGAATACGTGCAAATAACAAGGAATACAATTCACAGTTTAAATATGCCGTAAGTATATTGGTTACGATTTTCATGGGTCAGAAAGAAAAATTGATTGACATTCACGTCATTCATGTATGTGCATTGTGCATACATTTCCATTTCTTTTTCTCTCTCATTTAACAGAATAACTACATAAAAACCTCGAAATACACGGTCTTTACATTTCTGCCATTCAACTTGCTCGAGCAATTCCAAAGGATCGCCAACTTTTATTTCCTATGTCTGCTACTGTTGCAACTAATACCGCAAATCTCTTCGTTAACACCCGTTACAACTGCCATCCCATTGATTGGTGTGCTTGCATTGACCGCCGTCAAAGATGCCTACGATGATATTGTAAGTGTATGCGGAAAATGAAAAAAAACCCGTATGCATTGTATGCATTACTAAGGCTAACAAAAATATTTATTTAAAAACGTCATTTCGGCGTTTTTCATAGTTTTCACTTAAATGGTAAAAGATAGAGACGTGATGTGATGTCTTCAGCAATGTTGTAGAGTTTGACAAGTTCTATAATTGTCACGAAGACACATATTCCTTATCCCTTATCAATTCCAGAAAGACCGCGAAAAACCGTGAAATTTTAGTTTTTCGCGATTTTCGTCGAATTGATAAGAGATAAGGAATATGTGTCTTCGTGACAATTATAGAACTTATCAAACTCTACAACATTGCTGAAGACATTACGTCTCTATCTTTTACCATTCAAGTGAAAACTATGAAAAACGCCGAAAATGACGTTTTTGAATAAATATTTACCTTACCATTGAATTTTAATATAATATCATAGCGTGTGAGCGTGGATTTGACCGTGAATTCGTTCGATTCACAAAATCCCGTTACTGTGTTTATTTTTTCATTCTTGTCATTTTCCAAATGGATTTACAATGTCGTTTACAAGAGAACACAAATGAAACACGGCTGTTGTGTGCGCGCATGTTCAGGCTTGAATGTGAAATTGAACTTGAAGTCAGAATTCATTTGCTTGCATTGTTGCATTGCACGCGTAAAATTACAATAAATAAAAATCGTTGAACAATTCAACACTATGTGTATTTGTGTTGAATTAACACCTATTAGCGTTTAACGCCCATGAATACGCGCTTTTTACAATGGAAATCATCAAATCCACAGATGAATGGAACAAAACACATAGTTCGTGCTGCAAATATTCTGCATTGTATAGGTTTATTGCTGCAAATGTTCACGTTAAAGGGAAACAAGTTTAAGACGCATTCATTTAATTCCGATCAATTATTATGACTCATTGTTCACTTCGTGTTTGCGGCATGTGTATTTTCTTTCGCTTCTGTTCGGCCAAGCAGTCCGGTTGTGTGCGTTTTTTTTCAGTGTTCATGTACTCTTGACTGCGAACGCTTAAAAATAGACGCTCTCTGTGATGCAAATGTCAAGATGTAATTTAATTTCTTGGCACTTTGAGGCTTTTTTCAATTTATTCGTTGGCTTGCACATACCTCTGAGTGATTTTGCTCGCTTGTGTGCTGTAAAACGCGCCTAGATCACGTGCATATCGCATTTTCTCAATCGGCAAATCAATTCATCAATTCAATTTCATTACGTTTCATTGAGTTTTCCCTCCCGCCTTTCGAAACGTCCAAAAATGTAGAATTATTAATAAAATCAATTTCGATTTTTTTTCCTAACCTTTCAACAATTCAACAGCAACGGCATATTTCTGACAATCAAGTGAATAACAGACGATCGAAAACACTGCGAAATGGCAAGCTGAAAGATGCAAAATGGTCGGCGGTGCAGGTAAATTCACACACACACACACACATACACGTCATTTTTCAACGTTATGGCACTTTTAACAACAACAACAAATAAACATAACCAAAGGGAAAAGAAAAAGTTGAAGGAAATTCTAGTTAAAATTCCATATGGGCTGCCGTGATCATAACCTTGAGGACCTTGATCGACAAAAAAAGCCAATGAACAATAGGCTTTTGTATCCACTGCATAAAGTAAATGGATGATTCGATAGCCTTCTTTTCAATTTAATGGGTTAATAAATATTCTAACAAAATGAACATATCAAGAGCTGGCTCACAGCCCGCACTTGTATCGTCACTTACACATTCGTGTGAAAAACAACAATAAAAAAACACACAAAAATATGGTTTTGGCAAAGACATTGGTAGTGTACATTGGTGTGGGGATGCAGCCCATTTGCGCTAACAATGCTTCCATTTGTATGTGCCATTTGTAAATACTTTATGGATGTTGTGTGTATATTTTTTTTCTCGTATTCGTTCATTCCACGTCGACACATAAAGCATAGAATTCAATCACCTTCAACTTCACAACGACGTTTTTATTTAAATGTATTTTCTACCGAATAACAAAGAAGAAAATAAACACATCGACCAATTCCGCGGTCATAGCATTTTATTTGACCGAGACCTAGAAGATTTTGTTTACTCAAACGAAGCATGCCTTCATTCTTTCTTTCCTTGTTTTATTTTTGTGTATTACTTGTATTATGCCGTTCAATAAGTTGGTTTTTTTTGTGTCGTTTTGTGTGTGGATGCATTCCATTCTTTTTTACCTTGGTAGGTTGGCGATATTGTCCGCATGGATAATAATCAATTTATTGCGGCCGATGTAATGCTATTGTCAACAAGTGAACCGAACGGATTATGCTACATCGAAACGGCCGAATTGGACGGTGAAACCAATTTAAAAGCCAAACAATGCCTGAGCGAAACATCCGAAATGGGACAGGATCATGAGCTATTGTCAAAATTCAACGGGGAAATTGTGTGTGAACCGCCAAATAATATTTTAAATAGATTCGATGGTACGCTTATTTGGAACAATCAACGATATCCAGTCGATAATGATAAGATTCTGTTACGTGGTTGTGTCTTGAGAAACACACAATGGTGCTATGGTGTTGTTATTTTTGCGGGCAAAGATACCAAACTGATGCAAAATTCCGGGAAAACCTCATTCAAAAGCACCAGCATCGATCGATTTCTAAATTATATTATAATTGGTGTAAGTTACTATCGACCATTCGTCCTACATACCAAAGCCAGCCTTAAGTTTCTTTAATTTTAGTTCACTTTGCCATTGAATCATTCTTGTTTATTTACAGATTGTATTATTTTTAATATCGATATGCTTCTTTTGTACGATTGCGTGCGCAATTTGGGAAATGATGATTGGACAACATTTCACGGTAAGTTGTTGTGAGGAAATGCAAAATATTATTTGTACTGTTGTTATTGGCTGTATAAAATTAATATGTATACCGTTACTAACAATTTACTTACATTTCTCCATGAAATAATAATCAATGAATTAAGAAAAACCCACGTTTTTTTTCGTTTTCATTTCAAAGGTGTTTCTGCCATGGGAGCGAATAATTCCCGACGATCCGGTGCGTGGCCCAACAATTATCGGCATACTAGTATTCTTCTCGTATGTAATTGTCGCAAATACGGTTGTGCCAATCAGTTTGTACGTTTCTGTAGAGGTCAGTAGAGTTTTTATTGAAATGAGAGGATGGAAAATACAAAAAAAATGATAAATAACGTCATGTTTTGGTATAGGTAATTCGTTTAGCTCAGTCATTTCTCATCAATTGGGATGAGAAAATGTATTACGATAAGAATGATACGCCGGCTCGTGCCCGAACCACAACGCTTAACGAAGAACTTGGTCAAATTCAGTATATCTTTTCGGACAAAACTGGCACACTGACGCAAAATATCATGACTTTTAATAAGTGTAGCATTAATGGACGCGCATTCGGCGACATCATCGATTTGAGCACCGGCGAAATTCTTGAATCGACCGAAGTAAGATTAAGCGGTTTTTTTCACTGTGTTGTTTATGATGGTTGTTGTTTTATTCGTTTCATTCACATACACACACTTCACCAAAAAAAAAACCAAAAACAAAATCAAATCGGGTTCGTGCACACGAGAGTATTTCTCTGCATATTAAATTCATATTCGATCACATGAAACAAATATTTCTTCTATCGTGTATTTGTGGTACCATTGTTTCTGAGGATTCCATTCTTTCATGCAGCCATTATCAAAACATCATACTCGTCATCAACAATTGTCATCATACCAAACAGACAATCATGAAAATCAGGGCGGACCATCAATGTCAGAACCATCAATATCAAGTGTGTGCTCAAGTCAGTGTTCGGATAGTTGTAGAGAAACATCATTATCATCATCGTCATCATCATCGTTGCCTGTGACAATTATGGAGCACTCGATAAACAAACAAACACAATTCGAATGCGAATGCGACCAACGACAACAACAACGACCAATTTTGAACGATTTAATCAGTATGCATAACTATAATGCCAATAATTCGGCGACCACGGCCGAAACGAAAAGAGTTCATTTTATTGATTCGTCCACATCGACCGAACCAAGCTCATTGTCGCTACTATTCGAACAAACGACGCACAACAGCGATCCATTGGGATCGAACCATGTAATGATATCGCACTACTTTTATTATCATTCATTGACAATTATATACTACTTCCTTCTGTCCGAAACGCTTATACATTTTCATTGAGTTGCTTATCACTGTGGATTTCACCCGGCAGGTTTGCACTGCACATCTCACTTCAATGTTTAGATTATAATCTCTCTTTTTGTTGATAGATAGAATTTAGTAGTTTGATTTGTTTGATAATATTTTTTTCGGCTTCTTTGTTCAATTTAGAGAATTCGTGCAAAATCTATAAACATTTTCTTTTCATTTGCTGTGATAGAATTTGCGTCCGATCGACTTTTCATTTAACCCGGAATTCGAGCCGGAATTCAAATGGTTCGACACATCTTTGGTGGATGCGGTTCAGGCCGATGAAGAACATACACACACCTTTTTTCGACTACTCGCTCTGTGCCATACTGTGATGCCTGAATACAAAGACGGAAGGTAATTCATTTGCAAAAATTGTCAAATTTTAACACGCTCATTGATTTCATTGTATTCTTCACAGACTGGAATATCAAGCGCAGAGTCCCGACGAAGCAGCTCTTGTTTCAGCAGCCCGAAACTTTGGATTTGTATTCAAATATCGAACGCCCAACTCAATAACCATCGAAGTTCAAGGTCGAACCGAGGTACAAACAGAAAAAAAAATCACCCAGTAATTTATTTATCAACACAGTACTAAACTTATGAATTTTTAATTACAGGAGTACGAACTGCTTAGTATATTGGACTTTAATAATGTTCGAAAACGAATGTCGGTCATTCTGCGGCGAAACGACAAAATTATATTGTATTGTAAAGGTGCTGACAATGTGGTCTACGACAGACTTAACTCGGATCAAATTGAACTTAAGGCGAGAACACAAGAACATTTGAATGTAAGCATCGCCTTTTTTTGTTATCATTTGTTTCACTAGTTCAAAGACAATATCAACATTTTCTTTAGAAATTTGCGGGAGAAGGGCTGCGTACACTTGCGTTGGCTGAACGATACATCGATGAGGAATTCTTCTACGAATGGAGAAAGCGGCAACAGGAAGCAGCAACCTCGTTGAATTGTCGTGAAGATAGACTCGGTGAAATTTATGAAGAGATCGAATGCGAAATGAGCTTGATTGGTGTAACAGCTATCGAGGACAAATTACAGGTAGAATATTGCTTGGTTTAGATCCCTTTTATTCTGTCGATTTATACACGATATTTTGAATAAATTGGATGAAAATCAATTTCTAATTCACAGGATGGTGTTCAACAAGCAATATCGAACCTACAAATGGCAGGAATAAAAATATGGGTATTGACTGGCGATAAACAAGGTTTGTAGATTTATCTTCAATTAATATCATTCACAGATTGAATCGTTGAAATAATTACCTTTTAATGCGCACAGAAACTGCTGTCAATATTGGTTATTCGTGTCATTTATTAACCGATGACTTAATTGATGTGTTCGTGGTTGATGGGACTACCCAAGACGAAGTTGAAAAACAATTAATCAAATTCAAAGAGTCCGTCAAAATTGTAAACACTTTTCATCCAGCGAGTAAGCCAATCACAGAAAATCTTCAATTATTTTTATTGATTCAAAATCCCGTTAAAATTCGACAGAAACGCACCGCAAAAGTTTGATTGGCAATTCGATGGTAGCCAATGGGGTGCAGCATTCGATACCAGCGGGAGGTCAGTTGACGAAGCTTAAGAACAATCATCCGCCTGCCGTTTCAGTGGTCACATTTAGTGCAGATGTTGCCACTCTGTATCGTGAACAAAAAGATCCGGAAAAATTGGAGGAGCTTGCAGAAGAGCTGAGCAAAGATATTGATGAAAATTCCGGTTTTGCCATCATTATCAATGGACACTCTTTGATCCATTGTCTTACGCCAGAATTGGAAACTAGGTTTGTATTTGAGATGAAAAATGAAAAAATGCAGATTTTCCAAACTAAACCCAATGCTATGTACCGTTTAATAGATTTATTGAGGTTGCATCTCAATGCAAGGCTGTGATTTGTTGTCGTGTGACACCGCTGCAAAAAGCGATGGTCGTTGAGCTGATCAAACGAACGAAAAAAGCGGTCACACTGGCGATTGGAGATGGTGCAAATGATGTGTCGATGATAAAGTCAGCCCATGTTGGCGTCGGCATCTCGGGCCAAGAGGGCATGCAAGCGGTTTTATCGAGTGACTATTCCATTGCGCAATTTCGGTATTTAGAACGTTTGCTGTTGGTGCACGGAAGGTGGTCCTATTTTCGCATGTGCAAATTTTTGCGGTAAGGCAATTGCAGTAATCTATAAATGCTTGGATTTCAAAACCAATAAATCCCAAAAAACAATATCTAACTCATGATAAAATTTTCAGGTACTTCTTCTACAAAAATATCGCGTTCACATTCGGTCATTTTTGGTTCGCTTATTTCTGCGGTTTCAGTGCACAGGTATCAGTGATTACATTATTCCCTTATTTTTGATCGGAGAGTTGATTTTAAAGGAAAAATTTTCTAACGACTTTCGGTTCTATCTTTTCAGACGGTTTACGATCCAATGTATATTTCGGTCTATAATCTATTTTATACATCACTACCGGTGCTAGCACTGGGTGTTTTCGAGCAAGATGTATCGGATAAGGATAGCATCGAATTCCCAAAATTATATACACCCGGATTGACCAACGAATTCTTCAATGTGAAAGAGTTTATGCGCAGTGTTATGCATGGCCTTTTCAGTTCGTTGGTCACATTTATAATACCATGGGGCACATATCGTGATGGCATTGGACCGGACGGGCTAGTTTTATCTGATCACCAGACATTGGCTTCAGTGATGGCAGCCGTTCTCATCTTGGATAATACGGCTCAAGTATGTTTTTGAATTGATTTCAATTTCATGCTTGAAAATCAGAATAATTTGCTTAAGATAATCGAATGGCGAATAAATATTTCCTGCCTGTTTTCTTCAAATAGATTGCTCTCGACACAACTTACTGGACAATCGTCAATCATATCACCATTTGGGGCAGTGTGGTTGCCTATTTCGTGATGGATTATGCCTACAATTATTATTTGGATGGCCCATATGTTGGTGCTTTGATGAAAGCTATGGAAGGATACAACTTCTGGTTCACATCAATGGTTTGTGTCATCATTCTGATTTTGCCCGTTCTCACAACGCGTTTCTACGCACACGATGTGAATCCATCGTTGGTGGACAAAATCCGTTTGAAACGAAAAATGCAGAAGAAAACCAAAAGCAGCGAAGATACAACTCGAACACCATCCGCACGACGAGCTCGACGATCACTTCGGTCTGGCTATGCTTTTGCCCATCATGTAAGTTCATAAAATGGCTTTAAAATAACATTTTCTAATTTCAAACATAATAAAAACGTTTTTTCCGATTAACAGGAGGGATTTGGTCGTCTTATTACATCTGGTAAAATTATGAGAAAATCGCCACAGGATTTCGCATTTCCATTGGGCTTGGGAACGAAACGGTATCAACAACAAAACGGTGATGGACCGTTACCGAATAGCGTAAACAATCATATCAACGGAGACGAAGACGCTAACTCAAACCGAAACTCGACTGATAATCGTCGATCATCACAAGATCTAGACACAATTAACCTTTAAAAAGTTAATTTCCTTGTGAATGAAAAAAGAAGAATTTACAAAAACCTATTCTCTATTCATAGAGACACAAATATTTTCACTATTTTTGTTTTGTTTATGGAAATAGAATTTGAGAAAAAAAAAGTCTCTCTCTCTCTTCTCTATTCATTATTTGATTGTTATGGTGAGAGGAATTTAAAACTTGTTACTTTCATTTGATCTGCATTGTGAAGAGAAATGTATTTATACATGTGATTTGAGTATATTTTTTTTTAATTTTTGTTTAAATAGTCAAGTTCAAAAGAGAAATACGTTGTTTTGGATACTATTTAGATGATAAGTCAACCTTGAAACGCTTACAGAAATTTCAATTTCTGCAGAAATATAATTTAATTTAGTAATATATTCTTAGTTAAATTATATATATATATGTAAATCATATCTTGTTTTTGTTGACAGTTCCCTTAACTTTTTATAGAAACTAAGAGTGAGAAAATGAATATTATTATTTTTGTCGGATATTTTTGAAGTTGGATTTATTGTGTGTATGAATGAAGTGGAACAATTTAAGAGGTAAACTTAGTTTACATGTCGACAAGTAAAATTCTTGTAAAATAATTGTCTCAATATAAGCCCTATGTATTTTTCTATACACTGTTGAGTGCTTTTTTTTTCATCAATTATTTTATTTTCCGGTGAATTCACGGAAAAAATTCATCCATGAACAAAAAAAGTTCCAAATTCTATCGAATAGCACTTAGAGTTTATATAGAAAAACATTTTTGCTGGAATTCTTTTTGTCGAAGTATAAACTAAGGTTAAATTGAATGGCAATAGATGAATGGAATTCTGTAAGGGATCATCGAATTCAATGATCAAACGTTGAATGACGCAAATCAATTGCAAGTGAAATAAATGCTAGTAAATGCAACAACATTACAGTACAGGTATTATAAACATCGAATTAGCTTTACTTACCTTCTATCAATGTGCTAAACGGAATTATAAATATTAAGACGACTTTAGTTTTTATAAAACTAAATACTAGCATTTGAATAAAGTCGATCGTTTACATTAGAAAGCCTACCCGTGTCATTTAATTTTAATAATTTTCAATTTTTGCTTTCTTCTTCATCCTGAAAAAATTCCTTCTTGGTTGGAAAAACCGTCAATTTCTGTTTTAAAATTCATAATATTTATTTCACATAAATAATTATTATAATTTCGCTTAGTTGTACTAATTTTACATTTTTCGATTGTTTTTTTTTTTCTCTTGTCGACCGAACACGTTGGGATAAAAACTTCGTTCGAACGACAGTAAAAATCTGTGGCCGACTGTGCCACTGGCAGTATCGTAAGCATGTTTGATAAATCGGTCTATATTTACAGCAATAAATCTATGATAATATTCAATCGGGAATATTAATAAATTGAATGCGAACTTTAAAAAAAAATCTTCCATGAAGTCAATTCGATGAGAATAAAACAAGACACTTATTGGGCTACAATTAAAAGAATCTACTTAGAAGATACGTGAGTAATTGGACTTAAAATCAGTGACAAATGAGTCGACGTCGTTTAGACTAAAGTGGACAATTCATGTGGTGATATAGTCGATGTAACATTGCTTATGTCTAGGGTGCCAGACATTCGCCCGGGTGTGACAGAGCCACTCACCTCTCGCCCAATCAAAATGCTATTGTTTGGATTGGCGTGAGTTTTTGGTGTGGGTGGAGTGGCTGTAGCTGGTCGCAGGCCTGGCAAGAAACTGATGTGTGAGTGATTGGCTGACAAAGGTGTCACTGGGGTCGTATGGCTTATCTGTGATGTATGCGTCAACGGCGTATGATTATGATTGGCATGAATCGGGTTGTTATTGTTATTGTGATGGCTCAATAAGTGTAAATGGGTCGCCGGATTGATGATACCTGGAACGAAGAAGAAGAAAAAAATAATTCAATCGGGTTCAATTAGATCAAATGTCGATAGTAATTCAATTTACCACGGAAAATACTCACCGTTATGGTTTTGATACAGATGATGGGAATGCGAATGTGGCAAATGATGCGGATGAGTTGGTTGCGGTGAACTTATTGTACTGATCGGTGTTTGTTGTTGTTGTTGTTGTTGAGTATGCAATGCATGTGTTTGATGCTGTTGCTGTTGATGCTGCTGATGCTGTGGCTGCGTTTGCTGTTGATTTGCCGTTATGCTTAAGTTCAATGGGTTCATTTTTCGAACGCATATCGTCTTTTCTCGTTGCCAAACGAATACATTGTGAACCATCGCACAACCGCAAAATACAATTCCAACTCCAATCAAAACGCTCGTTATTATCGCCGGCGTCGAATGGAATTGAGTGAATGTATACAAAATGATTCCTATTTTGGCGGAAAATTACATAAACGAGAATTAGTTAGCAATTCTTTATTCGAAGTGCGGAAAAAATCGATAGAAAGCAACTCACCAGTTAGGAATATTGGAATAGAAATGAAAAAGCCTCCAACAGCACACACACGACTCACACTGGACTTCTGCAGATACTTATTACCACTGTAAAAATTGATTAGAATGTGGAATGAATTCAAAATGTTACCAGTAGATTTGCATATTATGTTTGCATGTACAATGAATTTACGGCGATAATGAAAGAAAAATAGTGCATTAAATGTTAATGTGTGTCCACACTGCAAAAATGCGAATCAGTGTTTCATGTGGGAACAAATGTGCGTGCGGTCTGGACGTACAAAGTTGAAACGACTTTGTGTCGTCTTCCGTTTGTTGTTACATCATTTTGAACAATGTAAAAGTGTTATCCATCAGACCGTAAATACATGTTTACTGAAAAAATTTCTACCATCTCTACTTGCTTGTGGCTTTTTAGATTCTAGTGTCTAGTGTCATTAATGGCATCGAAAATAAAATGAAAATTCTGATTAAATCTCATCGTTGGCGGAATTCATTTATTTTCTGTCGTTTTTTTTTTGCATTTTGCCATGCTTGTTAGGCAAATTAAATGCATTTTGTAATGAGAAGCAAAACACAGCACAATAAATTCATGTCACATATGAATCCATATGAAATGAGCGTCGTCATGTATTTACACTGCAAACACCGATTACACTCGAGTGTCGTGCAATAAAACCGGAGCAACCGATTTGGTTGTGGATTAATTGGATTTAGCATTTCTTTTTGTTTCGTACACGATACAGGTTTAGTGGTTTTGTTTTCTTTATTTTTTCTATCAATGACTTGGTGTCCACTTCTTTCGCCATAATATATACATAAGGTTAGTATAATGTTGATAACGTTTTATGCGATGGATACCATAGTAATTCATTATGTCAAAGAACCGACAACACTTCCGTTGTTCTCTTTTTCACATTTTTGTACACACGATCACACCAAACCTATGCCATCTGATATGGAAAAGCGGCATAGCAATAGAAGAAAGCATGGTGTGCTAATGCCGTCGGCTTATTCTCATTATTCATTGTGCAGAAATATTTGCTTAAATGAAAACAACAACAAAAAATTCATTTGAAGTCAGCGCTTTAGCGGCGAAAAGAATGAAGGTTGCTGAAATCAAAAGTGATGACGATCACTCGAAATTTGTGACACATCTAAGCTCAAGTGGATTAGGAATATCTTATAAAATTAAGGAAATACGATGGGAAAGCAGTCCTTCCGTTTTTTTGAACAACCATAATAAGTAGTTGCATGAATTGAACGCAATTTTAATGCAATTAACTATCTGTCTAGTTTACATAAGCATTAGAAATAAGTGTCTCTTCTTAATTAGGGTAATTTCAATTCATCTGGTAGTTTTGTTTTCGGTGGTTTACGTTCAGGTGAATGAGCACGAGAACCTTTCCCCTATGGCATATGTTTGAATCGCATAAATGCATGAGAGAACACAATAACAATGTGCTGTCGAATTCGGAGCTACATTTTATTTCGTCAACCTGAGACACAAGGGGAAGCAATGCACTTCATTCACAATCTAAAAATAAACTGTATTTGGGTCACATTTGTTTGGATATATGCATGTGCAGATCGCCCGCTGCATTTTTAATTTACGTAGTGATGTGTATGCGTATGTATATGTGTCTGTGTATCTACGATCCAATAAAAACTTACCGTCCAGGTGTGACAGGTGCACGCAGCAATTTTACAGCAAATAAAAATTGAATGGCGCAAACCAGCAAACAGCAAAGATTTAGACATAGGGAGAGCGCGCATAGGGCAAGCGTTACATCGTAAACAATGATATAATCGTCCGATGATATTGGGCCGGGTGGCGGTGGTGGTTCCCGTCCATTCGGTGAAATTTTCAGTAAGAATATCAACGATAGCAACGCAAGCAAAAGTGAAACTATAAAAAGAAAAGACAGAAATATTTTGAATGTTACAAAAAATTTCCATTTTCCAAAATCCATGTCGAACAAAATGTTGAAGAAAGAACGACACATACCCAAACAAAGTAATCCGAGACTAGTTAGAGCTTCACGAGCACCAAGCTGATGTTTTGTATTCAATTGTATACTACAGTGATTTTGTGGCGATGAACATGATGTGGACGGTGTTGTATTCAAAATGGTTTGCATCGTAGTTGGAATGCGAAGGCCGCCGTTTGCGTGTCCATTTGGAATCAGTTTGTTTGGTGTTAGAACAATTGACGGTGCCGTTTGATGTGAAATGGTCGATACGTTCAACGGTTGAATGGATCGATTGAGTATAGCACGTGTGGCTGGTGTTGTTGCGATAACATTTGGCCGGGCATGGATTTGTGGGGGCGGTGGAGGTGGATGTTTTGGGTGTAGCAACAAATTTTGTGAGATATGGTGATGATTATGTGTGTGATTATGTTGTATTTGATGTGAAGACGCTTGGGATTGTTGGTTCTGTAGGTTTTTCTGCTGTTGCTGCTGCTGATGTTGCTGTTGTTGTTGCTGTTGTTGTTGCTGTTGTTGTTGTTGCTGCTGCTGCTGTTGACTAGCCGCATTTCCGGAAGGCGCGTGTTTTAACATCGAATTGAATTGTATTTCTCTTCTTCGCCACAAATAAAATTTTACACTTTCTTTTTGAAAATTCTTCTTCTTCTTTTTTTCTCATTCACTCACTCAGCGATAGAAAGAACAATAGGTCACATGCACAATACACGTTACATATTCGTATTTTTAGATGTCACACTGTTATTTACGCGTTTATTTGGCTATCAAATGTCGGTTTCAATGACCAATGCACAATATAAGTTTATAGTATATTTTCTTTTGTATCATCAAATGAGGTAGCACTACGTATTTTTTTCTTTTTGGTTTTGAACATCCAATCGAATAGAATTGAAAAAAAAATGCTTAAAGTTCAGAAGTCACTGCACTTTATACACGTGAACCGTCTTTTCGAGCTGCTTTTTTTTTCTTTTTCTCTCACATTCGATCTTAATGATTTCGAGGAACGCCACACGAACCGATTGCATTTACACGAAACATTGGCTCGAAATTCAGTTTGCGCGCGCACCGCACACAATTCGCTGTCATTATCATCATCGCCGTTGTCAACATATTACCGTGAAGACACGACGCGATACACTGTTTCGAGCAAATTTTACTTGTGGTTTGTTCACGTACCGGCTGTTTCACTCAATTCACTCGTCGTTTTCTCTTGCATTACACATTTCGTTTTTTCTTCGCGTTATTTACAATTCCATTGAATGCGAAGTTATTACTTCAAGAACCAGAAATACATTCGATGCAAACCGTTTTTTTTCTGATTCTCCTTTCACATGCATCACAATTGCTTCGCACGGCGAGTTGATGCGTTTGTTCAATTTAACAGAACGAAGAATAAAAGCTGCTCTCCACTTCTTACACAGCGATTATATTATCACGATGCGTAATATTCAATTTTCGCTGCTTGACATAAAAAACACTTTTCTTTGGTCGAGCGATGCAAATGAACTTGAACTGGCTGGTGATTTAAAATTCCAATGCAACACACCACAACACAAGCGATTACGATTATGCAATAAAAATAATAAAATCAACGCACACATGGAATTAAAGACGCAGCAAAGCTGGAACTTATCACGATTGTCAACTTCATTGAATTGTCGTTATGTATCTCGACTATCTTTTCTACTTCTTCTGCTACGGCAGTTTAATGTTGAAAGACTTTATGATGCGATTACAGCACTAAAACTCGCGACATCGAATGGAAAACCAGAATTTTCACTACTTCTTCCTCCGTATATTCAACACACGGTAAAAACTCACACACGTACACACCTCTCTTTTCGATTATTTCAAATGAACGCTAGTAGTTTCACACCGATAAGATTTTAATCACAATTTATTCTTTTTTCGGTTCGGTTTTTATCGATAACGTCCATGAATGGGGTCGTCTTTTTTTATTTTTAACTCGTTGATGATGATGAATTTGCATGCAAATGAATTATGTTTTCAATTAATTTATCGTGTCATCGAACAAATTTCGATTCAATGCGCACAATATCTGAATGGTCATTCAAATCGTTCATAATGGCATTTCGTTGTATGGGAATAATTAAATCTGCGATGCTATGCTAATGTTCGAAAATACACAAAAATGGAATAATCATTTCGACCATTTCAACATATCCCATTTTTTTATTTTTGTTCAGAATACATTTTTTTTTCGCTAGCTTTTCGATTTGGCAATTGAACTCTTTCACAATGTTACCGTCAATTTTTACGATATTTTCGATTTTGTCGTTGGTTTTGTTTTTCTTTCGAAAACAGAATGTTCAATGAGAAAGCGACAACAACATCGACGACGACGACCGCGTACTAAACAAAAATATCGCAACTGAGATTTTAACATTCAGAAAAATCCGGTTCTTTAGGTAGAAAGAGAATGATGGCAGCGGCTGAATATGTTCAGAGAACGAACGTACGTTTTATGTTGTTTATATAATCCAATGTGGCATGGCGCAGAAGACGGCGAAAAAAAACCAACGACAAGCAAGAGCAACACATTTATCGATCGCTGTACGCGATGGTTGCTCCTCTTCTGATTCAGTTCCTTTATCGCGCGCTCTGTATCGGTCGCGCAAGTGAGCGTAGATTCTGATGTCCGGTGACGGGCTTGAGACTCTTTTTCTTTTCGCGCAATCAATTTGCTCGCTCTGTTCTGTTCATATCCATCACAAAAACTACGTGGCTCTTTCACACAGCACTTTTTTTTCTGTCACAACTGGAGCATTTTATTTTACTTTTGATATTATTCTGTGTACTTGTTTCCTGTTTTCAAGCACTTTTTTCTCTTCTTGTTCTTCTGCAATTTCGCTTCTCTGTCACGTTGGTTATTATTTAATGCTATGCTGTTTGACTGCGTGTTCTTCCATCCACACACGAAAAATGCAATGCTCGAACCGCCTGATCTGTATTCTGAAATGAAGAGAAAAGAAAGAAAAAAAAACATTTAAAATCTTTGTTTCAAGAATTCACAAGAGAAAACGTGAGATAAAGAGTTGGAGAAAAAGAAAATACACACACACACACCGAACACTTCGCGCAGGTTCGATCTCGTTTTAATTAGCCCTCATTTGGATTTTAGTTTTCGTTGTTCAGAAAAACAAGCGACGGCAATTCGCTTATTTTAATTCAGTATGAAATAGATACCACATAGTAATCATCGCTTTGTACTTTTTTTGTATGTGATATACAGAAACCGAACAAAAAATACAGTTTTCACTGTGAATTTCGTGTTTTCTTCGTTTAGTGTCAATTACTTATGCCTGCGCGCTGTATGTATGTATCGATGTCGACTAGAAAAAACTTCAAAAGCCTACGATTCGATTTTGTGATGCTAAAAAAAGTGAAGATTTATAACGTTTCAACCACATATGGTTTCTATTGGCGTCGCTTCGTGATTATCACTCATACATCTTACGTGGAAATATATGGAATAAATTCGAAAAATCCATGAAAAATTTGATGCCGCGAGTTATTTTGTGTGCATGATTCAAATGCTAATTTGATTTTTATATATGAAAAAAATTTCATTTTTTCTCCGTTCAGATTTTTTCATCTTCTATTCGTTAGAAGAAAATTTCTAATAAGCGTGAAAATGCCAAGTTGCCAATAATAATGCACGAAATCACCAACGAGTGGTAAGTTTCACCGTCAAATTGGTGTTGAAGTTGAACGAAATGAACTTAATACGTCACGTTTCTAGTGATAAAGGTTTCAATCGACGTTCTGACTAACAGTAAATCATCGATTCACACGAAACGAAAGAAAAAACCAGCTAAATGTAACTGGTTGTGAACGAATAGGTACGTGCCAAAATGGGTGAACTTTTTGTGATTCAAACATATTAAGTAGACATATTGCGAACAAATCACAAAAATCGCCTGGGCACCGAGTAAAATCAGGCATCAGATTACATAAATTCTCGATAAAATGCTACTGTGATTTGAGTTTCTTGGCTTCCAACAGAACGTACATGTATGGATAAAAAATGGACAAAAATCCCAAATGGCTTTTAGTTCCAGAAGAAAAAAACGCGTAAATTTTTCTTTTTGGTTAAATGACTCCAAAAAAAGTAAAAACCACTGGATCGTGTAATTTAAATAAAACGATGTTTTCAAAGATGTTTACTTCACATAAACAACGAACCAAAGAGAGCTGAACGCTACGATAAACGTAAATGTTGGCGATTTGTTGTGGGCATTGTTTTTCCTAATCCACCAAATGGTCGGGCAATAATATCGGGTACTTAAACGCATACATCTCATCTGTGTTGTGAAAATCGTTTTAACGCTTGCTCTCCCTTGATCGGTCATTTCATAAAAATCACGCGTTTAAAATCGGCGTTAATTTGTTCTTCAAGCGGTCGATTGCATCAACAATGATAATAATAAATGATGGTTCGATCGTTTTGTTCGCTTGTGTACGTTTAAAATAGAATGCGGAAGAGATCATATTCAGACGCGTGCCAATAATAAATTTTCTCGGTATTGATCGACATTTGGCTATGCATTCACTGTTTGAAATGTGTCGATCAGAGCGTGTCGCTTGAAATGGAACTGAAATTGAACGATAGGCAAAAACCGATTCGTACTCGCCACCAATTACAGTGGCCATGCGCCACTTGATTACAATTTATTATCATAATATTTGGTTAAATTGCCATCAATTACATGTTTAAAGCGACGTTGACTATAGTATACTGGCAATGCTCCAATAAACAGTCTGCACAAGTTTACTAAACATTGAGATGCGTGCCAGCCATCTCACAACAATGTCTAACGCAAAAAGTTTTCCCGTTGATGAAAGCCATTATTTCTTGTTTATACTTTGTTCAGCTATTTTTTTTTACTTATTCTAATGGGACCCGTTTTTTATACGTTTCAAAACGATGATACTTTTATGAGCGTTGAGCTTGTTTTGTACTTCGAGTGGAGTTTACGCAAAGCAATCAGAAATTAAAAGAAAACATGATGAAAATCTATTTTTTGATAAATATTACTAATTTTTTTTTCTATGGAATTTCTTTTCTCTTTTCCTTCCTTTCTTCCCTTCATTCCGTTGGCGTTTCTGTTTTCCATGCCGTGTAACTGATTTACATTTTTCCCAAATTAAAAATATAAGCCGCTTGTTCTGTGAACTTAAGCCGTTTTGCTGCCGATAAATTGTGAGAAAATTTTCCAATTTAAATAAATTACGCTTAATTACTATTACTATTTTGTCTCTCTCTCTCTCTCTCTCTCTCTCGTATTTTCATGTAACATGGAAGACTCGAAGTCATTTGAATAGATCATAACGATATTAACAGCTTCCGTGGATTGCTTCGTCTATATATCTCTCTACCTGTAGTGTTTTTTTCAAACGTCAGTCTCATTTCAACATGAACATGAACAGCCATACATTTTTACTGCCTTTTCTCTCTATCTAAGTCAAACGACAGACCATTTCGGTCCCGATTTAGTTATCTCGAAATCTTTAGAGCGATCTTGTTAATACCCGCTTCGTACATAACATTTTGGATCGTAATGAAAGAAAAGAAAATGAAGAATCGCATATTGAGTCATCTTCAGTAAACTCTATAATCGTTGTTTCCCATGATTTGCGATGTTGTTTCGATCAAAATGCTGATCGATGATCAAACATACATTGTGCAATATCTAATGCTGCCTACGGCAATGCAAACCCTCGTCAAATCACAGGAAATCTTAATGTAACAGACGAATGATGTACTTAACTTGGTTTCTTTTGTTTACAAAAGCACTCTATATTTGCTTTCATAAATCAATTTCTTTTGTTTCACGCGTTCCTCTCCAGCGTTCATCTAGATTCTCATTTTGGAAATGGAGAGTCATTGTGTCCTCGATTATTCATGGGGACAGCGAAATGGTAGCCAAATCAGATCAGAGAGAATGTAATTAAAAGATTTCTATACAAAAGTGTGTCTCTGTTTAAATGTTTGAGAACAATAGCCATAACAAAAAAAAATGGTTTTCAACTGAACATAACATTGGCTGTGCGTCCAACGGGGTTTAACAACGTGTTATAATTGTTTAACGCTCTCCATTTAGAAGTTCAATTCTCGGAAGAAGCGTGATATTTTAATAATTTTGACAAGCGAACCAGAAGTGATGCTACTGCTTCCATTGAAACCAAAAACTAACAGTACTTTGAATCGCATACACACAGACACTAAATCCAGCTGAGCTCTATGAACACGTACCAAACGTACGTGTAATGACTTTACTGACATAAGGCGATGTATCAAACATTCTATGTGGAAAGAAAATTGAGTGTAAAACGTAGAGAGAATTCAATGATAGAAGCGAGAAATTGCCGTTTGATTGCAGGGAAGTTGATGTGCTAGGTTTTTTTTCTTTCCTTCATTCTTGAGTGTCTAAAATTATAAGTTGCAAAACATGTTTCTAGTTTCGTTTGAGAAATTGCAGAAATCGATCTGCATAAATGAACAACGGCCCTAACAGCTATGCTCATTACAATTACATGCGTGCACATAATTATAAGCGATTGGATCGGATCGATGTCCTTCATAGAACTCCAGCTTTGCTACGAAACTAGCTCAAAAGAAGAGGTTGAAGAACGTTCATTCACAGCCATTGACAGGCCCGATAATTTTGCTGGAATATCCAATAATTGTCGACGAGATATCGATTTTTTTGCCGTTCCTTCTGTTGTCTTTCATCATTATCGTTAATTATATGATGCGGCGGCAGGAAACTCATTCAATAACAATCTCGGAACAGCATTTCATTTTGATCTTAAGACAAAAGCGTTCGTATCTCTTTCACATGCAAAAGAATGCCATTTACTTGTTTTACAAATCAACTTTATGATAAATTGCCTATGACTAAATGGTAACCATATATAAATTGGTTGTGCCGTACAATTTGTATGCAAACCGTTTAGACATGAAAATTTAAAATATGTTTTTGATTGTAATTTTGCACAAGTTTTTAGCAGCGGATGTGCATATAAAGTTTTGTTGACCCACTTCAATTGCTAGCGATTGGCTTGAAATCACGCAACCGATTGACAAAGCTGATTTGCTTTCACTTGCGGCAAATAAGGTATATTTTTCTTCTTTTGCATTTGTTCGTCATCATCATTTGTTAATTTTTAATAACTTTGTATGATGAATGCCGTTAGGTTTGCGAGCAAAGGCCAAAAGGAAGTCGCATTCAATGCTTAAGAACAGGTGAAACAAACAATGAGCACAACGGGTACGAATAGCTTCCACCGATAATAATCCATTTTGATATGCTTTGTTGACGAACGGCAACATGTCGGAAATCAAAACACTTGAGCAAAGAGAAGAAGAAAAAATTCCCTCTCGACACATATACGCGATGAACGTTTATTGTTTTCATGTAATCGTCGATTGTTTGTTTGACCCAGAACAACTTCAAAACACGAGAACAGAACAACGCACAGCTTAATGAACTCTGCGCTACAAGACGTGAAAAGTTGTCGAAAATAAAACTTGGACATAACAGAAGAAAAAGACAAATCGGTCGTCAATGCATTGATTTTACATGAACGACGTATAAGATGATTACGTCGGATAATTTATAGTGAATTCAATCGAATACCGTTATCTCAATGATTCCCTGCGCTCGCAGCACTGTCGTCCATTAGTAATATGCTAAGTGGTTTTTCGGTTCGTTCGATCGTAAATTTTCCAAATGACCACAAATCGAACCATCAAAATATTGCTCTTCAATACATAAATCGTGAAATGATTCTTCCAATTAATAAAAACTTCAAAACGCCAATGTATACACACAGAGACACATATTGTAAGCTTCCTACCCAGATTGGGTTTGCCAATGGAATTTTGAGCGTTTTAATTAAATAAGCATTAAGCGTTCGATGTGTGTCTGTGTGGAGAAGAACGAATA